AATCATATCCGGTAAATCAAAAGTTTTTTTTGCATTCCCGCCAGAAGTGCGAAAAAGAACACTGCTGTCATATCCTCGATGAATGAACTAAAAATAAACGTTTGTTGCAACTCATGCATTCGAACTAACTTGCATCACCCCCGCTTTCACAACTTGTTCATGCATACAATATTTGGCACATGCATTTATTGCACCGTTGACGGTCACTGAAAACCGCTGCTAATAAGATTGGAGTTGCTGTTTCCAGAATCAATTAAGCTCAGTTTTCTTTCAAAGGTGTGATGTTGCCTCGACGCTACCACATCTTATTTGCATGCATTATTTTATCAATGCATTACGACTTCCAGTAACGCAATTTTCTTGTTTCGATAGCTTATTGGCAAGATAACTGAGCAGAAAGACAGAAGCTTATACTCTGCAATGTTGTAAAGCTTTCGGATCCACCCATGCCTCCAAAAGCATATCTAACAAAAACCGCCTGTGGGATCGCCGGTGGACGATATCCGCTGCTACGCCTTGACAGGCTGTTTAAGAGCGCCATTTAGGAGAGGTTTCCAAATATCAGATCAGCGGAGCCGAAGGTAATGATGCAGTTGAAAACTCGCCAATCCGATGAGCATGCTTCTTCCCCGCGGCAGCAGGACAGTCAGCCTGATCAGGCGCAGAATAGGCCTAAATACCTATACCCACCGCCAAGAATGTGTTCATGCTAATTTACAGGGAGGTGGAAGAAGGTGCGGGCAGCGACTGAGGCAGTTGTCATTGTTATTTGGTTAATTAAGCTGTAGCTTCATGGAACGATACGAGAAGAAGCCGGGAAGACTCGTGTTCGTCACCATCTGCAAAGAGGGCCCACCGACACCGCTAATTATGAATCGCCCCGGAAGATAACTACAGAGATGGTCTATCACATGTAATATTTTGAAAAGAAAAGACAAAACAAAGCAACACAGTGTTTGAGATACATAGACTGATTAGAGAGAGAAATTTATGATCAATCGCTGCTTGACGTTGGATTTATCACTAACGTATGAATAAGTGGCTCTTGTGAGAAGCGATACTGCCGCGTAAGACATTGATGCTGATGATGGGCTACAGGTTGTATAGTTCAGCCGCAGCCCAGGGCCGTAGTTTTGCAAAATAATGTGGGGGAGAGACCTTGAAGAAATATGAAACTTACCCTGAACTTCGTCAACAAGCGGATGCATTCCTGGATTTGGCCCACTTTTCTTCCAAATTTGGGTCTGGAGGCCGAGCTGGAGGAGCTGATTTCCCCCACTTCAAATGAATAGGGAACTAAATCTCTGCTACAGGTTATCTTAATCAGCGAGGTAGCCAAGCAGGCTGGGCTATGTGAGTGGAACGGATCATCACGCTATACCACATCATCCATTCGCAAAGTTAGTTAACGGTTATCATCTAACTCACTCCGCAGCTGCTTTCGTTACACCCTGCTCCATGATATCGAGTGACAAAGTAATTCGATATTTTGCAGTGCTCGCCAAATATGACGGCAACGAATGTCAATTCCACTCCTGTTTCAGTCTGCAATTTTCGTCTGACGACCAAAGCGTGTTTGGTGGGAGTGGTTGGGTCGATACTTATCTTTACTGCTAAAAACAGCTCTAACGGTTTTGTGTTGACAACATCATTGCGAAAAAATCGCGACGCCTGACAACATTTTGATGTCCCACTCCGCTACGACGTCAACATAGTTTTTTACGATTATTCCGTTGGCGTGAGCGCGTTGCGCGCAGTTGTAATGCAAAGAGTGGGACTTCATAGCCATGCAGTTGCAGGGCTAAAAAAAGCAAGCAGCTAGAGCCAATTTGCGTTAATTCACCTTTGGCGAGTTGCCCGCCCGGTCACGCACCACTCAGACAGGGGTGAAAAAAAATGCTTTTTTTGTCTCCGACAAAACTTGGGACCGCCTCAGTTGTCACATTGAACCAAATCTTTCATTAACCGTCGCAATACAACTATAAATGCGAAAAGACACAAACAAGAACAAATTAAATGCAACGCGGCATAACCATGAAACATTTTCGTTTCGGGAGCTCATTTCCACCAAAATATAATTTGCTGGCCATCAGACACTGGATGACTGCTGAGACTAACCTACTACAATTATCACATAAAGGTACTCAACCTAGAGGCGTGCAGTTTCCTTTGCAGTTGGTGCAGGGAGGGAGGAGGATTGTGCGTCTTGACCAGAGATGTAAGTTCGTATGTTTAGTTATCATTTAACTATTATTTTTCATTCATCATAATTTTTAAGGTTCAGCCCCAAAACTAATTTTGTGAAACTGCACACCCGTCCCGAATCGTGAAACGGAAGTACGTCAAATCTGGGAACGTAACTGTTCTAGGTGCATTTGGGAAGCAGCCTCAGCCATTTTTTCTTCCTCCCCCCCCCCCCCCCGTCCCTTACTCCCACGTATTTTGCAAAACTAAATACGTCCCTGTAGCCCTATATTTACCAATAACGTGGTTCTATACGTATTTCAAAACAATATCACCTTTGATTTTGTGATGTCATCGCGTAACCAGCTGGAGGCGTTGACGACCTTCGCTATCTCCGCATAGTTATTGCCGATGCAGCACTCGCACTTCCTAACGTGATCCCAATTATTTAGAGCAAAATCCATGCAATATTGGTATCAACAGATGCGAACGACATTTTTGGACATCCCTAACGCCTTTATTTAGCTTTATACTCAATAGCATGACGATTAAAAACTTTTCTCTCACGCCTGTCCATCGATCAGTACGTTAAGTCTGAGGTGCAATGTGCGATGTGAGAGGACTACACCAGCGACACTTAGCCTCGTTCCTCAAAGCCACTGTTCCTCTCAGTAGCAGGAAGTGCCGGATGAATCCTTGATACGCGCCGCTGCAACGTCCTCTGTTTACTTCTAAAGCTACAACTCAGGTATCGACAAATAGCAGTCATCCCTGATCAGCAGGGCTTTTGACGCTATTACCTGTAAGAAAAAACTTACGATAAGCTACGTTTTTCTAGTCAGTCAGTCAGCTTCTCACGACATGAACGCAACCAGCAACAGCCTGCAGCCTTGCAACGAATCCAACGCACTGCCGCGCGGCGAGTACTCCGTTCATCTCTCAAGTGGCACGATGTTTTAAAACGCTGCGTGGCAGACAATATTCGTTGCAAGATATTGTGGCCAGCCACAATTCTTACGACTAGTAACATTCGGCATTTTATACTGCTTTGTACATAAAGTGAATCCCGGCTGAAAAATCTGTGAAAGCACTGATGTGGGTGGCGTTGGAAAAGCATTGTGTCACCACTGACCTGTGACGTTAGCACCGATATAGTATAGTTTTTAGTACATTTCTGTCACCTGCAAAAACCATCCTGATTAAAGTTGCTATGCATGACAACATCTTTTGGCTTAACTTACTCATACAGCGAAGCGTCATTTTTCAAGCGTCAAGATTTCGACACATGCTCTACACATGTTCACGCTACAGGCGTTAGCGAGTACAAGACCGATGCAAAGCGTTGAGTTTCGTCTAGCTGGCATAGTCTGCTGTAACATGGTCTGATCGGTTGAATTTCCATTTTCGCAATTTTGTCGCCAACTGGCTCGCAAAATTGTCAGTTTTTGTCACCGATGATGTCCGAGCTTTTTTCACCCCTGTATCCAGACGAGTCATCCGTTGCGTCCCAGAACACCGGCGGGCGAGCTGTCGGCGGCCTGAGTACCTCCCTCCCCCTCAGCCTCCTCTCCCCTGCCATCGGCGCCGCCCGCATCAACCCCATGGTGATAACCCAGCGGGCTTCTGGCCACTTGCCTGCCCGTCCGGACGCCGTCGGCTCCCGCGCGCGCCCACTCTTCTCCATCTGCCGGCGCCGGCAAAGCCGGCCCGGATTAGCGACGTCACGTAGCACGATCGCGGCGGCCGTCGCGCGCTGCCGACATGGGGCCGGGACACCACCGACGCGGCGGCGGGCTGGGCGGGTCCAGGAGGCCGGTGGTGATGCAGGGGAGGGAAGCTCGCGTCAAACGTCGATGCTTTCTCTGGTTGAGGTCCTGACTCGTGCCCGTCAGATCGTAACCCGAGGCAGGCTTACGATTCTAACAGATATGCACCGGGGATTCGTGCATGGTTTTCCACACCAGCGCTTTATTAGATTTGTGAGATTTATTCATAAGGCGCCGCATAGAAATTCTAGTGAGGAGGCAGATTTTTCCCGTCACTTGGCGTGCGGCACATGTCTGGGACATTACCGAAAACCTCACGCAGGCTGCTTATCCTGTAATGGAAAAGGATTTCAATTATTTCATCTGGCTCCTTTTGTCATAGACGAGCAGCATGAGCAAACCTTACAACATTTATGTCCTGTCGATGGGATGGTGCATCGTGCAATATTATGCTATGTTTTGTCAACACAACCATGATTATGTTGAACGGATGGCCCTTGTATTCTGCACAATTTAGGCACAATATGTTGGATGTCAGCTGAATGCAACGAAGTATCGCTTCGCTGAGCGTCGCAACTAAGCGTCGCTAAGTATCGCTCGAACGTCACCATATCAACAGCACGTATGATCGATTACGAAACGAACCGGTCCGCAACGTTGAATGTCTACATGGCAGTTGCACCACGCTCCTTCTCCGAACCATGTCCACAATTTCGTCACGTGATGGGCCTGAGAAAACTGTGAGACGTGTCAGCTTTCCATGACGGCTTTGATTTCATCCGGACCAGAATTTAGCCGAACATTCATCTCGGGCAACGGGCCAGCCTTCCGCTCTGCCCTGGCAAGACCGGTTTCATATTCCGCGCTCCCCCTGCCTGAGTGCGACCCAGTGTGCGAACATGGCCTGGCCGCCCAGCCCGTCGCCGCTTGTGGCGCTTATGACGCTCGTTGTTCGGCGTGCTTTTGAGCTGCGCTGCCATATTTCCCCGCTGTTGACGAGTCATGGGGTCAACTGCCAGCGCGTTCTGACGCTGCGCCGTCGCGTTTCAGGCGGGACCTGGAGCCGGAGAAGCCCAACCATATCCTGCTGATGACTGTGGTCAACCCGGTGTATCCCATCACCGTGGTAAGTGGGGCCGGAGAAGCCTAACCATATCCTGCTGATGACTGTGGTCAACCCGGTTTACCCCATCACCGTGGTAAGTGGGGCCGGAGAAGCCCAACCATATCCTGCTGATGACTGTGGTCAACCCGGTTTACCCCATCACCGTGGTAAGTGGGGCCGGAGAAGCCCAACCATATTCTGCTGATGACTGTGGTCAACCCGGTTTACCCCATCACCGTGGTAAGTGGGGCCGGAGAAGCCCAACCATATCCTGCTGATGACTGTGATCAACCCGGTGTACCCTATCACCGTGGTAAGTGGGGCCGGAGAAGCCCAGCCATATCCTGCTGATGACTGTGGTTAACCCGGTGTACCCTATCACCGTGGTAAGTGGGGCCGGAGAAGCCCAGCCATATCCTGCTGATGACTGTGGTCAACCCGGTTTACCCCATCACCGTGGTAAGTGGGGCCGGAGAAGCCCAACCATATCCTGCTGATGACTGTGGTTAACCCGGTGTACCCTATCACCGTGGTAAGTGGGGCCGGAGAAGCCCAACCATATCCTGCTGATGACTGTGGTCAACCCGGTGTACCCTATCACCGTGGTAAGTGGGGCCGGAGAAGCCCAACCATATCCTGCTGATGACTGTGGTTAACCCGGTGTACCCTATCACCGTGGTAAGTGGGGCCGGAGAAGCCCAACCATATCCTGCTGATGACTGTGGTTAACCCGGTGTACCCCATCACCGTGGTAAGTGGGGCCGGAGAAGCCCAACCATATCCTGCTGATGACTGTGGTCAACCCGGTGTACCCCATCACCGTGGTAAGTGGGGCCGGAGAAGCCCAACCATATCCTGCTGATGACTGTGGTTAACCCGGTGTACCCCATCACCGTGGTAAGTGGGGCCGGAGAAGCCCAACCATATCCTGCTGATGACTGTGGTTAACCCGGTGTACCCTATCACCGTGGTAAGTGGGGCCGGAGAAGCCCAGCCATATCCTGCTGATGACTGTGATCAACCCAGTGTACCCCATCACCGTGGTAAGTGGGGCCGGAGAAGCCCAACCATATCCTGCTGATGACTGTGATCAACCCGGTGTACCCTATCACCGTGGTAAGTGGGGCCGGAGAAGCCCAACCATATCCTGCTGATGACTGTGGTCAACCCGGTGTACCCCATCACCGTGGTAAGTGGGGCCGGAGAAGCCCAACCATATCCTGCTGATGACTGTGATCAACCCGGTGTACCCTATCACCGTGGTAAGTGGGGCCGGAGAAGCCCAGCCATATCCTGCTGATGACTGTGATCAACCCGGTGTACCCTATCACCGTGGTAAGTGGGGCCGGAGAAGCCCAACCATATCCTGCTGATGACTGTGGTCAACCCAGTGTATCCCATCACCGTGGTAAGTGGGGCCGGAGAAGCCCAAACATATCCTGCTGACGATGTATACTGTCTGTTGTACCCCATCACCGTGGTAAGTGGAGCAGGAGAAGCCCAACCATATCCTGCTGATGACTGGGGTCAACCCGGTGTACCCCCATCACCGTGGTAAGTGGGGCCGGAGAAGCCCAACCATATCCTGCTGATGACTGTGGTCAACCCAGTGTACCCCATCACCGTGGTAAGTGGGGCCGGAAAAGCCCAACCATATCCTGCTGACGATGTACACTGTCTGTTGTATCCCATCACGGTGGTAAGTGGAGCAGGAGAAGCCCAACCATATCCTGCTGATGACTGGGGTCAACCCGGTGTACCCCATCACCGTGGTAAGTGGGGCCGGAGAAGCCCAACCATATCCTGCTGATGATTGGGGTCAACCCGGTGTACCCCCATCACCGTGGTAAGTGGGGCCGGAGAAGCCCAACCGTATCCTGCTGATGACTGTGATCAACCCGGTGTACCCTATCACCGTGGTAAGTGGGGCCGGAGAAGCCCAACCATATCCTGCTGATGACTGTGGTCAACCCAGTGTATCCCATCACCGTGGTAAGTGGGGCCGGAGAAGCCTAACCACATGCCGTGTGGGGGCGGTGCCGAGTGGGAGGGGTGCGGGTCCGGGCGGAGTACTCGCATGGGAGGTGTGGCGAAGTAGGAGGGGTGCCGTTCGGGAGGGGCGCCGGCCGGGAGGGATACCTGTTGGGAAGGGTACCGGCCGGGAGGACGCCGGGTGGGAGGGGTGCCGGTCAGTGCATGGTACTTGCATGGGGGGTATGGCAGAAAAGGAGGGGTGCCAGTCGGGAGGAGTGCCGGGCGGGAGGGATATCTGGTGGGAAGGGTACCGGCTGGGAGGGGTACCTGGCGGGAAGGGTACCGGCCGGGAGGGGTGCCGGTCAGGGCGTGGTACCCACATAGAGGGTGCGGCAAAGTAGAAGGGGTGCGCACCGACACTGCGGTTGAAGCTGGTACGAACTACGTGTGCTGAGACGTGGCGTGGAGGAGAGGGCTGGCACTAGCTGTTTTCAGCACAGCCTAGCAGGCCAGCCTATCCACCACTCAAGCCCCAGCGTGCCAGTGTTCGACACCTGGTTTCCCTGTGAACAGAAGGTCAAGGACCTTTCCTGAAAAGGCATTATATCTGGCGATCAAAATCACCGCGCGCTTCACCATCGCTTTCCAACAGAGGTGGTGAGGTTCCACTTATGCACGCATCTCTGGCTTTGCGATTGATGCGCGGCCGCATTCGACCCAGCGCCGAAGGCGGTGCCGTCACGGAGATGCGCAATGGTTGGCGCAAAATGCTGCAGCTTTGCGCAAATAGTCGTGCTCGGCTGAAAGTTCGCGGAAACATCCTCTCGAAATGACACCCTGCAGGCGGCGGACCGAGCGTATCAGCATTTAACTGCGCCACTTCACTTTGTGACGCCGCAGGGAGCGCGTGGGTGGCCGACAGAGATGCCTTCTGGCACTTCGTGTGCGCTTTCGAAGGCTGTAGCACCGTCAGCACTTGGCAATCGATGAGCCTCCCGGTGTTACAAATGGCAACGCTGATCGAGTGAGGTCGTAAATCTGCAAAGGGACGATGACGGCTGAATATTTTGCCGAACACCAAAACGTTAAATTGATGAACGCGCTGTTTGTGTTTTAAGATTAAGTTCATGCCTCGAGACGCATAATCATCATCACTCAGCGTTCCGCGAGATACGACTTTGATATCACGTGTCCCCATGACGAACATAGTCGCATCCGGCGACTTCGACCCCGCTGTGCCCGCCGTTTGGGTGCGGGAATCACCGCTGTCCCAATTTTGGCACTGGTCATGAATCTCACCGAGGCGTCATTCCTCTGACGTCCATCGCCCAGCTGCCAGCTGAAGCATCAAGCGAAGCCCCACTAGACCGCACGCGCTTCTAGTTGGCACACCTCGTCCGCGTCCCGATCACTTTAAAGCCCGGTAGGCACGCGCAGCACTCGCGTGGGATGCGACGAACCCGTCGCAACGCAATAACACGTGTTTGGTTGAGTTCGGGGAAACATTTGGCCTTTTGAACGTAGCTTCCGGCATAAGGAAACCGTGTTGGAGCTAGTTTTTATTGTAATGTGATTTCGAGTAAACTGCGCTTTCTTCCCAGTCTCTACATTAGCTGAGCTATGGGTTATCTTCTAGAGACCTTGCCATACAAACCTAACAACATAAAGGAAGCACGGTTAGCGGATACCATGCTGCAGCCAGGAGCGACCAAGCAATGGCATCTTGGAATGCCGTGAAGTCGGGTGCCAACCTGCGACGAACATAAAATAAATGTTGATAACTAAACTAGCTCTGGCCTCGCTCTCAGACCAGCGAAGACGAATGCCAGGAATGACGTACGGCCGCCGTCCCGGCGTCTCTCCCCTTTGTGCGCCGAAGACGTCAGTGTCGACGTCCGCGTAGAGCGTGGGCGCCACAGGACGCAGCGGGGCGCCGAGCGTGGGCGTCACAGGACACAGCGCGGCGCCGAGCGTGGGCGTCACAGGACACAGCGGGGCGTCGAGCGTGGGCGTCACAGGACAGGACACAGCGGGGCGTCGAGTGTGGGCATCACAGGACACAGCGCGGCGCCGAGCGTGGGCGTCACAGGACACAGCGCGGCGCCGAGCGTGGGCGTCACAGGACACAGCGCGGCACCGAGCGTGGGCGTCACAGGACACAGCGCGGCGCCGAGCGTGGGCGTCACAGGACACAGAGCGGCGCCGAGCGTGGGCGTCACAGGACACAGCGCGGCGCCGGGCGTGGGCGTCACAGGACACAGCGGGGCGTCGAGCGTGGGCGTCACAGGACAGGACACAGCGGGGCGTCGAGTGTGGGCATCACAGGACACAGCGGGGCGCCGAGCGTGGGCGTCACAGGACACAGCGCGGCGCCGAGCGTGGGCGTCACAGGACACAGCGGGGCGCCGAGCGTGGGCGTCACAGGACACAGCGGAGTGTCGAGTGTGGGCGTCACAGGACACAGCGCGGCGTAGAGGTGGGTGTTACCGCACACAGCGCCTCTGGCTCAATAGTCGAGATAGACAATTTTCTCATTTCTCCCTGCAAACATGCTATTGCCATGATGAAAATCATCGCTGATGAGCGGCGGGGTACAATTCGCGGCTGGTGAACGTGGAACGTTCGCCAGCCGCGAAATGCACCCCGCCGTCATGTCGATTTTTTTGTTGAATCATATGCCTGCCAAATCACATGCCTGTATAATTTTCTAAACCATTTTTGGAACTGGGCTACAGTTAGGAAAATGGAAAGACCACAGCTGTTGGTTTGTTTTGGTCACAATTTCTGTGGCTATGCATATAATGAGGGATTAAATATGGCAGTCGCCAGCCCTCCAGAAATGGCTGCACGACAACCAGCGCTGAGTGACATTTCAACACGCGATTGGGTGGGGAGGGGGTCAAATTTCCCCCCGAAGGTTTTCCCGGAATGGTTTTCAAATGGCGCGGTGTAGCCGCGCCAAATTTTGCACAGCTGTAAGCAATTCAATAGCGGATCGTCTGGCATAAACAATTTAGACGCACTTTGTAAGGTCGCTGATTTATGGTAAATTAAAGTCAGGCTTTGGTTACAGTGAAGGCAATTTCTAGGTAATCGTTCAACCTAATCCAATAACGGAGTGTAAGACGAGGCCATATTTCTGTGAGATACTTTCTTAGGCAACACAACAATTGAATGAACACATAACAGTGATCTAGGGTCAGGTATGAAGGTCAGACCAAGGTCAAAGTCAACATGTTTTATTACTCCAGGGTTTGCTGTGTGTGGTAGTTTTTGGCGCTGATTTTTAATTTATTGTTTGCAGGAACCGCATTATACACCTTTCATGGGCTTTTTCAAGTTCAGAATATGCCACTGACCTAAAATGACCCAGGTCGACATTTTGTTTTTAGAAGCATACTGCCCGGCGTAATCTTTGTTGCTCATTCAAAAGGAAAACCCAACGCAGTCTTGTATGATTTTGTTCGCCATGACCTCCAAAGGCCAATCAAGGTCACTGACCTTAAATGAGCATGTGACCTTTCGCTCAGGATAGTTATCTAAGTTTTAGGTGCCCTTTGGAGACCAAGCAGGAAATTTACTTTGTTTACCTTCCTTGACCCGAAAGTCATGAGCTAGGAACCTTAAACTTTGACCTAGGTGAGTTGACGTGCGGTTCAACACACCCTAACAATTTGGTGTCTCTAATTCTCTTAGTTACTAGGATCACAGGGGGTCAAATTGACCTCTCAACCGAGCGAAAGGTATCCAGCCGGCCACCCGGGCGCATGTTAAAAGAATCAGACGTAAGCAAGCAACATCTTCGCTGTTGCCATTGGCGCCATGGGTTCTGTATACTTTCTACCAGAAAATTTTAAGTCTGGAACGAATTACTTGCGGCACCCCAATCGTTATTTCTTTTCACCTTGAGCGCTTTCCTGAATGGTGTCAGGGCCGTCCCTGTGAATAATGTATTTCTCGCCTTTTTGACAACCTCAGTTACGCACCAAGGAGCAGACGCCTGTCAGGCACGCACCAAAATCAACCAAGACCCATCTTCACCACGCCACCAATCATGTCGCCCATTTTTCCTGTTCCCGTCAGCACTGTCACATTCTTCATAGTTTGCTGTCGTGAATCGCATCTGTTTTCGCAAGCGCGCCGGCGCCAACAACCCGTAAACGAAGCGAGTCGCCATAAGATCTTACGTCTATTGGAGCAAATTTTGAGGATTTTCCCGATGCTGGTAATGGGGAAGGCTTGACTGACGCTGCTGTTGACGAAGCTAGTATTGGTGAGACACGTGACCAAGGATATGTGCATTGTTAATGCTGACGAGAGCGTTGTTAGTGGCGACAGCGCCAACCTGCCTACCTGGCCGTACGCTGAGTGACATCGGTTTTCCTGCGTGCTTCTCATCCCCCGGTCATCCTCTGCGGCGCAGGACGTCATCAAGACCATCTCGGCCAGCCACGGCCAGGTGCTGAGGATCGTCATCTTCAAGAAGAACGGCGTGCAGGCCATGGTGGAGTTCGACTCGGTGGAGTCGGCCTCGCGCGCCAAGCAAGCGCTCACCGGGGCGGACATCTACTCCGGCTGCTGCACACTGCGCATCGAGTTCGCCAAGGTAAGGGACCGTCCCCCGGTCGAGGAATGTCGAGTTCGCCAAAGTAAGAGACCGTCCCCAGACGAGGGAATGTCGAGTTCGCCGGGTCGAGGCAACGTTCCCCGGGGAAGGGCGTAAAATTTGTCGTAGGGAGAAACCATCTCGTAATGGGAAGTCATCGAAATAGCCAGGGTAAGATATCGGCGCCTGGGGAGGTCTGGGAGGTTGTAGAGGCAAGGGAGCACCTCGTGAGGCTGGTCCTGTGCAGGTTCGATCACACTAGGCTCGTCGACTGGCTCATGGTCTGCTGGGTCTGCTGGGTCTGCTGGGCTGGTGTAGGCGACGTCTGGCCTAAGCGGCCGTCAGGAAACTTGATATTAGAGAAGACCGACAGTTCTCCCCGTTATCGCCGAAGTGTACAAAGAGCGCACTGGCTGGTGGCATTTTTTGTTCTTTAATGCGCGGAACGAGCCGCCACATAGCGAGGGATGAAACGAGAACCAACTTGCCGGAAGTACCACTACGCCGACGTCGTCGCATACAAAGGAATGCATTCGAAACTTCAAGGACCATTCAACTTCCGACAAGAGACGGAGACCCTGTTGAATGGAGGCTATTTGATAGTTTCTCGAACATCGACAACAGCCAACAACAGTTTAAAGGGCCAACCACGCGCACCGAAAAACACGAACCGGTCTCACATTGAAGAAAGACGTCATGCCTCGTTTTCGCAGCCTGAAAACGGCCACGGCGTGTACTCAATGCACCCTTTATGCATGCGACGGTCTACGGTTTTAGCTTAATCGAATACGTGTTACGTTGATATGATTCAGATATTTTGCGCAATCATAATCCACTCAATCATCGTCATGCCTATAAAAAGACCATGCGTCCTTCTGAGATTTACGGAAGTCGTTAGAGGAAGTTAGCTGCCGCTGGTCGAGCTCTAAATACTGACCACCCACAGATGCCGCTGGCAAAATTAGCTTGCAGCATCATCCATCAGCGAAAGCGGTTTGAGGCCCGGCGAATTACCACCGATGCCAGTCGGGACTCTGGCGTATTGTTGCGTAGCCGCCGGCCGTCCGTCGCCTCTTTCAAAGCTGCGAGTGGGGCTGAGCTTTACCTACAGCGGCACGGGCTGGAGAGTCATCATCGCTGCAGCAGGGGCCTGCGCCCGGCTGGTGAGGCATGCCCTGCTGCTGCCCCTCCCGCTGTCCTCGGCTGCTGAGGCATGTCATGCTTCTGCCCCTCCCCTCTCCCTGGCTGCTGAGGCCCGCCCTGCTGCTACCCCTCCCGCCGTCCTCGGCTGCTGAGGCATGCCATGCTTCTGCCCTTCCCCCTCTCCCTGGCTGCTGAGGCCCGCCCTGCCGCTGCCCCTCCCGCTCTCCCCGGCTACGGCTCCGTCGTGCGCTGCAATGGCGGCTGAAAATGCTCCTCTGCACAATGTCGTCGAATGTCGCCTCCAGGGAAGAGGAGAGGAAGAGAGAGCCGCTGTCAACCGCATCATTACGACCTCGTGTCACTCGTCGCCTCGGCCATTTCCATCTGTTTTGGCGCGTCGGAGCAGCACCACAGGTTCCAGGCAGCTACGCTATTGATTTCCCTTCTCTCCTTCGCTCACTGAAGGGCAGAGACAGGGCCAGTCGGTTCCTCTGCCGGCGTGCGATGAGCACGAGCCAGACCGCTTTCCCGGTAACGGTGACCAGCTGATTGCAAAACTGTGGGTTCTGGGAGGGCTGCGACCAGAAGACGAGCTTACTTCGGTGTGAGTCGGAGCTAATGCCCGAGTAGTGAATCTTTTGCGTGAATGCGTGGAATACTTATGTGACCTTGAAGGCAATGTTCCATATTTTAAGATATTCATGCAAGCATTAGATATGATAAGAATACCTCACTTGGTTTACTTTAACGCTTTTAACTAAATTAATGTTTTTAAGTGCAAAATACTTCTCTGAATAATAAAATTTTACTACTTAGTAGATATGCTACCAAAGACATCATTATTTGATTACTTCATGTAACATTTTTATACGTAAGAGTCACTGATGGAGTTGCCGTGTCAGAATTGCCCCCGAGGTGAAGGGCGCGACCCATTTACGGGACTTCTATGTCCCGCTAGGTTACGTTGTTGGTTAATGCGTGCAGGTTCAACGTACAAGCGTTATGTGCATGTATTTTGGCCTTGTCACGGTGCTCTTGTGTATTTTCCGTGAGGAAATGCTCCTTAAATTGCATTTGCATTTTCGGCTACGGCGCCATTCTTGCCTTCTTGGGTTCTGATTCTCGTGCCCATCACATCTGGAAATTACCCGACTGTCTGTGTTATTGGTGGCAAAACGCAGTTCGTGATCGAGGCGTGCAATCAGCAGCGCACGCGGACTATTAGCCGATTGCCTTCTGTCGTTAAGACACGTCGTGCTGCTTCACCGCAGACAGAAATGTTTAAAAGGCCATATTTTGCTTGACCGTGAACACAATACAACCAATGAGGTGGGGTGTTCGCGTGACGTCTTCGTGATGTCATACCTGTCGGAAGGACTTTCACGTAGGCAGTGCGTGATGGGCTACCCTAGCTCGTGTGCATGGAGCTCAGAAACAGGAGAATTTCAAGTCTCAACAACGGCAGCCGTTTTAATTTACGCACACACATAAACACACAGAAACATACACACACACACACACACACACACACACACACACACACACACACACACACACACACACACACACACACACACACACCACACACACACACACACACACACACACACACACACACACACACACACACACACACACACACACACACACACATGCGTTGAAAAAAATGCTTCCAGTTTTCACACATGCCTTTTCTGAGTTTTCTGAGCCACTGCCCTCCCTGAATACAAATCATAATGGATAGCTGATCAGTTGAAACAGCTGTACAACTTCTAAACAACTGAACAGCCTTGCTGGTAGGTGGTTGCAAAGACCTAGGCGGCTCAGTGGGTCATGTTTGGGTTAGACCAGACTCGCTATGCCGGAAAACTTAGTAAAACGTTTTGAGCTGCTTAAAGCAAATATTGCCTGACTTACCACGCTCGCAAGATCTTGCAAGCTCTGAACACCATGAGTTAAAGCAGAAACAATTTACGGAACAATGGATGGTCCGCAATAGGCTTGATGTCAACAAGCACACGTTCGCAAGTTGTCAATCATAAATTCATTCATAGAATATTTTTCCATTGTATTTCCTTTAAGTGATACACTTTCTGCCCGCTGCCCAATGGTTGGGCTTCCCTGTGCTGTGCGCGAGGCGTCTGTCTCACTGTGCGCCATGTTGGCGCCGCTGTGCGGGCTTTTGCCACCGCCGTCAGGCTCGCTGGCGTCACTGTGGAGCCTGCTAGTGCCGCTATGCAGGCAGTTGGCATCGTTATGCAGTCCGTTGGCGCCACAATGTGACCTGCCGGCGCCGCTATGTGGCCTGCTGACGTCGCTATGCAGCCTGCTGGCGCCGCTATACAGTCCATTAGCACCGCTGTGCGGCCTGCTGGCGCCGCTATGTGGCCTGCTGGCGCTGCTATGCAGCCCGTTGGCACCACTATGCAGTCTGATGGCACCGCTATGTGGCTTGCTGGCGCCACTTTACAGTCTGTTGGTGCCGCTCTGTAGCCTGCTGACGTCGCTATGCAGCCTATTGACGCCGCTATGCAGCCTGTTGACGCCGCTATGCAGTCTGATGGCACCGCTATGCAGTCTGACGGCGCCGCTATGCAGCCTGTCGACGCCGCTACGCAGCCCGTTGGCGCTGCTGTGAGCAGGAGCCGTCGGTGGGGCTTGTGCCGGCGCCGGTCTCCCCGCCTGGTCCGCTCGCGCCGGTCGTTTCCGAACGGCCGGGACGTCTGTTTCCGCTCGCTCCTCAGCAGACGGACCGAGCGACGGCACGCGTCATTAGAGGCTTTGTCGCCGGCTAATGCTCCAGCAAATGGCTCGCCATGTAGATTAGCGGGATGCTCTGCGCCGGTGGCGACTGAAGACCACCTGACCGCGTCGCTGCAGTGGGAGCCCGCTGTCCCCCGTCACCTCCGCGCAGATTATAGGGCCGCCACATGACTCACAGCACACTTGTCGAGCCGACAAGGCAGGATCATGATAGATGGTCCGGACGGAGGCCGGGCTTTTGCTGCTGGCAAGTGTTTGTCACATCTTGTGTCTCCACAATCCCACTTTGCATGAATTTATTTATAACGACGAGCGCAGCTTTGTTTTATCTGCGAGATTGCAGTTTCCATGAATTGATTTACAACGACAAACGCAGCTTTGTTTTATCTGCAAGGCTGCGAGGCGTTTGCTCGAATGAGCTGCAGGTGTGGTGCAGTGGAAGGGCGGGGAAGGGGGGGGGGAGAAGGCAGTTTCCACCCAGACAGGACAGGGGCAACTTATTTTTGCCTGCTCAAAGGTTTGAGAGACCTCCTTTTTCCCCAATGCAAGACATTGCAACTACGCATAGAGTACCAAAATTCACACCAAGGAGGCCCCATGCTTTAGCTGGAGAGTAATAAATCGGGTTCAGAAGACCGCTTGGTACATTAAGAAACACGTTTTCTAGGTCCTGAGGTCACCTCCATGAATAAGGTAGCTAATATTCTACATCAAGGGGCCCAATGTTGTGTTAAGGAGGCCCTTCTGCTGGTTTGCGAGGCCCCTTTACAAACTAGGAGGCCGCTGTTCTGGCTAAGGAGGCATATGCAGGAGGCCTTATTCCTGGAACAGGAAAGCCTTTTCAAACATCAGATGGTCGCGGATCCGGACCAGGATATCCTGTTTCGGGAAAGAGAGGCCTCTTGGAGACCGCTTCGTCGACCACAAGCATTCTGCTCTGGATTACGAAGTCCCTCTTTGCACCAGAAGGCCCTTTTCTGGAAAAGGAGGCTCTGTTTTTGATAAGTGAGACTCTTTGTTGAATAGTTAGTGTCCCACTACATATTTTTAGCTTTCGACATTTATTTACTTCGGTATGTTACATTAACAAGTTTTTAAGGGGGCACGTGACCTTGGTGCCCCTCCCCCCGAGTACGACGCTGTGCAGAAGGCTTCATTTTGTTCGGGAGGCCCCCTAGAAAATCCTGCCCCACCCCCCACCTCCAGTTAAAAATCTGTGGCGCCGCTCCTGCTGCGAAGTTACTGCGGCAGGTTTAATGCAGAAGTTACTGCATTGGACGTTGCATGTAAAATGCTATTCGATCAACTAAGCTTACAACCTGGCCCGCCATAGTTTGCCTATGAACTGGAAGTTACGCATCTTGATGTGGGTGTCGAAGTTTTGGCAATTGGTTTGGAAAATAGATAGTGGCGACGGAAATGGTGAAGCCATTAAAAATAAGCATGACGTTAACATTGTCACTTTCGCGGCCTACACGTCCGATAACTGGATGCAAATGAATGTGATATTCAGTCGCATGGTCCCTCGCCTATGTTGATTAGATACCGATGTCCCTATTCAGCCCTCATCGTCACGTGCGAGATCGTGATGCGTTCTCCACAAGGAGAGGCCCATTACAACAAGGTGATTGTATGGCCATCCGGAGACACGGCGCAGCACGTTGGCCTTCGTGGGTTGTCTGGCGCCTGACACTCATCGAATGTCACTTTCGGTAATATCAATATTTTAGGCATACAAATATATGTACACACACACACACACACACACACACACACACACACACACACACACACACACACACACACACACACACACACACACACACACACACACACACACACACACACACACACACACACACACACACACACACACACACACACACACACACACACACACACACACACACACACACACACACATATATATATATATATATCTATATATATATATATATATATATATATATATATATATATATATGTGTGTGTGTGTGTGTGTGTGTGTGTGTGTGTGTGTGTGTGTGTGTGTGTGTGTGTGTGTGTGTGTGTGTGTGTGTATGCGTATACATATAAACATTTTGTGAATACCACCAGGGCTTTGTATGCACTTTTAGAAATATCTATCTTTGAAGCATGCAGATACACATATATGGATATATATATATATATATATATATATATATATATATATAATATATATATATATATATATATGGGGGTGTGGGGGGGGGGGTGTGGGTGTGGGTGGGTATGTGTGTTTGAGTATGCACATAAACATTTTAGGAACATCACTGTAAATTTTATGCACTTGAGCGGGTACGCACTTGTGTTTATTCCGTTATCTTCCGTCGCCGGGACGCCTCTTGCTCAAGGTCGATGCTGATTGCCGCTTCTCACAGACCAGGTGGCACTCGAACCTCGTTCCAATGCTAGATAGGGCGAACTGCTCTTTAGCTTAGCCTTCGAATTGTCAGCATCGATCCCGGTGCACCCGCTAAGTTTTCTTTGGTTCTCAAAGCCTGCCTGGGGAGGGGGGGGGGGGCCGAATGGACCGAATACCACGTCCTGATGGATCCGCCAAGGAGCATGCCGACGTGCGTCTTCAGCGGCGTCAGTATTCGGATCACCTCCCAATATCGGGAAACCTTATCTGTGGTAATCATAGCGCGCTGCCAACTGCCGATTTTTTGTTGCCTGATGGTGATGACGGAAGCCTGCTAACACCGGCACCCTGTCGAGAACCGTTTTGCAGCTCGGTGATGAACCATGACCTGGCCGGCTACATGAGTATCTCTTAGTGCCTCGTAACATCAGCTACTGTCATCTTCGATCACCAGTGGGGGAGCGGAAGATGAATGGAACGACGATCCATGCAGCGTAGCTACCCCGGGCATGCTGGCACGCGACGTTGCATCTCACCTTGGTCACCCTGTCGCTTCCGTAAATAACAAGAGGAAAGATGTTGGTGGGCGCCGAAGCCTCATATTTTCTTAATCGGCGTGGCGAGCGGAAGGTTTATGCAATGCATTGATCCAGACCGAACCCCTTGGCGCGATTTGGCATGAGCATACCTGCCCCACAGAGTTTACATTGGATGCTGCAAGAAATGCAGCGACATTACGTCTTCGTTTTCTCCCCAGTCCCGCGTCAGTACTGGCTCGTGATCTATGCCGGTGAACAGGGCAGGAATCAGGCTCTCCAGTGCCACCCACGAAGTATGTGGAGAAGTGCAAATTCGCGGCGGAAATTTGCTATGAAATTGACCATTTCCGGGTCGAGACGGCCGGCTCCGTGCCATTTGAAACTCATCGGAGCACTGAGGAATGTGCTTATCAGTTGTGAACGTGTTAGCTGCAAGGTGACAGCTAGACTTAAGACTAGAATATATCAAAACATATATTTAGACTGACTTTTACCCCTCACACGATTTTTTAACATTACGAGTTGTTATGTTGCAACTAAGTGGCCTTCAATACATCAGGAGGTACCGGTTAAACTAAATTATCCAAGCAAGCATTAGCACTTATGGCTTAAAACGCCGCATCAAAATGTCGAGCTTTTCGATAGCACATACCGATGCGTACGTCATCACGGCGTTTAATCAGCACCTCATGGAAGGTGGTCAATTGTTTGCGACAGATGCACACCATATGTTTTGTTATAACAAGCCCAATGCCCTGGGCGCTGCTGGGCCTTTCTGCCGACATCCAGCCTGCACTTGCCGTCTTGTCCGTGATCTTGTTTACACGACGCTTTGGCCACTTGCTTCTCTGGCTGCAGTCAGGTGTTTGTTTGGCCGAGAACGTGTGGCTTGTAACCGTGTATGTATCACAGCCTCGGAAGTTTTTAGTAGCTTTGAGCTTAGAACCCACGTTCTTGCCATTCGTAGACTGGCAACTCAACCGCTGCCCTATCGTGGAGCACAAATATAAAGAATATGAACGATCTCAGGTCTTTCTCAGAGCGAACTAAAACATGGCAATGGCTGGAGAAGTAACCGGCTAAAACGCTGCGTAGCAATAACACCACTGAGGACGACAGTGTTGAAACTTACAATTGACCTATAATTCCAATTTCAACTCTCTTCAGTATCCTAAATGTAATTCTTAAGCTGAAGTCTTAAGTCCAAACCGTCTCAAAGCTGGGCAATTGAAATCAATTAAACATATCAGATAAATTAAAGTTGGGCTATCTGTTATGGTCACCTGACCAAAAATGCTACAGGTGCCACGATATCCCGAAATAGTCTTCAGGGGTATTAAAACTTGCAAGCCTCGAAGGCGGTACGGCGTCGATATGCAAGGTGCGAGGCTAGATAATTGAGAGCCATGGTGCTTTCAGGAGTTACGAAGCTCATAAGGCATTTACCAAGCTGAACAATGCATTAAAATAATCAGACCACGACAATGAGCCCGGTGGCCAGGGACCAGGGGCCAGGGGCCAGGGATCCACCGGCACCAGCACAAACATCACCTTAACGGAAAAAGAAACATAAAATTGCAAATCGTTAGACTTGATTCGCAGACTTGGAGATTCCATGCACGCACTGCTGCTACAGGCACTGACCTGTTTTACAGCCGTGCGCACTTTCAGCCCGGAGGACCGGTCGCGTCGGCTGACTTATGTCAAGTGCCTGACTGACACCAAGTAGCCAGGTTTGGACGAGAACCTATCACTCATCCGTTTTCTCTCTTTCAGCCCGCACGTCTCAACGTGTACAAAAACGACGCGGAGAGCTGGGACTACACCAACCCGGGCTTAGGTAAACAAAGCCAAGAGCCGCGCCGATGGCGCCGCCGGCGGCCGGCCGTGCCCTGATGCTAATCGCTGTTTATGACGTCGTGCGGCCTCAATTAATGCATCTGGCGTCCACTTTGAAGCCGAAAATATTAGCGCCAAGTTTTACTGTTGTCTCATGGGCCTCAGCACGATGAAAGAGGAGGTGGCGCGGCCGGGCAGCCGTTGGACGTGAATTCCTGTCGCAATTATTCTAGGCCGTACCATACGTCAGCTCCGTTTGAGTTTGCTTCAGGCGTACTTTTTGTCGTTAATCGGATGTTGTTAAAGATAAAAGACTCTTTTTGACGGATGAGTCCTCAAAACTAGCATATCGTGGACAGGGCGTTGTAAATATGCGTCGCACCTGAATGAATTGACTTCCGCCGTTCATCGTTTACCTTTGAAGCGATATGGTGTTTGCAATGACCATTGACTGCACCGACCTAGGGGCAGTGATAGCTATATATATATATATATATATATATATATATATATATATATATATATATATATACATGGTGGGCGTATGTGGGGTGTGTGTATTTACATCGTCAGTTGTACAGCACAACAAATAAAGCGTTTACAGTATACAATTTACACCCTATGTATATGTGTATAATATATGCGTTTCGCTAATTACCCGTGCTGCCCCCAATTCTGTGCTTGCATGCCATCTATTTGAATTAGATAACATGTGTACAGCTTATCTCGTAGTAACAAACATAACCCCCAACAAATATCAGTCCGGGCATTCGTGTACATGCATATATCTACATAGCAATGGCATCCGACGGCCGCTGTCCTCCAGACCGCGGGTGCCCCGGCTTGCGCGTCTTTCGCTTGCGACGCCGGCGCGCGCTGGCCAGCAGCAGCTCGGCGAGAGCCGGGCGGCGCTGGCTCCGCCGCCTGATCGCACATACCGACATGGCGCTGCTCTTCTGTGCAACCCTGCTGTCTGGTTCTGTTGAAGGTCCCCAGCCCAACATGGACAACACGACCGGGTCACACGTGCACACGGTACACGCCGCCACGTCTCTGCAACGCCCCGCCCCTCGACCGCAGCGCCCTCTCTGTTGCAGGCAGCGACATCTGTTGCCGACCGCGGGTACCATGGCACGTGCGACCCGGTCGCGTTGTTCCTCACTCCCAGGTCGGTGGTGATAATCGTCTGTAGGCAATGTGCGGGGTCTATTGGGTTCAGCTTGAAGACAATCTAGGTCATTTTCAAACTGCCGAACGAAAAATTTCCAGTTCAGTATAAATGCTTATTTCGCTTTACAACTACATGGGTCGTGATGTGACGCTATAACGGAAACTATTGTCAGCTGTTTTTACATTTCCCCATCCAGCACATTCCAGTAAAAGCAGGCACTGTTGGGGTCAAAGCAGGTACCGCCGCATTCAACTGTGCTGGCGCCCGCTCAGGATTCACGAGGTTTCAAAAGGTCAAAGATATTAATTGCGATGCGCGCCAGCCACAAATAAGCTGATGCCAACAGACGCATGGGAGGACCTTTTAAACTACGGCATAACTAACGAAAAATAGCTTTCGACACATGCTTGAAGCTGTAGAAATTCCTCTAGCACGGTGTGAAATTTCATCGCAGTTTTCAATTTCATCGTAGTCATTGAAGCCCTGTTCGAGCGTCGCGGGGCAACACGACCGAAGCCGAGGTGGCAACGCACGAAAATGGAGCAGCTGCTGTTAACAACGCCTCTAGCACATGGGAGCCCTTCCATATTTTGCAGCCTTCCCTCACTCGCGAACCGACTTCACGATCAGTGGCCAGAGAAGGCGCCGGGCTGGAGAAAGTGGCAGACACTCGTGATTTTTTCAACAAAACGAGCCGGAGAAGGCTTTATTCAGTGTTTTCCGCACCTCACCGACAAAGTGATGGGCGCTCGCAGCAACAAAGAATGGTTTTGTTAGTAGGAGGTTGGAAAGGTAAATGGGACGCCGACAGCTACCTCGCGTTTAAAATAGTGTTTGGTGGCTGAATGTGGTTTGAATGTCGACAAAATTCACCGCTCTTGAGGGAGATCGGGGCTGATTATTCAACATTTACCTAGTGAAATCTGGAGCGCTTGTGCTTTATTATAGCTGACCATTTTTGCATCGCACAGAGTGAAAGTTTGTGTTTCTGAAGAAAAATGGGACCACAAACAGCAAAGTGCTCTCGATATTACGACATTTTAAGGCGCCCATTCAAGGTGACGAAATTTGCCGTGGTGCTGTAAGTTATCACATCTGTTAGGATTAGCTGTGAAACGCTATTTGATTGCGATCTAGTTAAACCCAGTCAATAAATCAAAGGCGCAAGAATGCAAATTCGCTTCCACTGAATAATGACGAGATCTAGACATGCTGGCGCTCATGCGAAGGGAGAACGATAAACCTGTACTGATACTGTGATGCCTTGTCATACGCGTCGAATACAAGTCGTGACAACTGGTCAGAGTACAAGCTGCAACAACATATCGCGGTGACGTTTTTGGGTCCCGTGCTTTCCGCACGACCTGCTCTCTAATTCTAGCAGCTGACGCGATCACCATGTCAACCGAAATCGATCATCAAATATCACTGACCAATAAGTGGAGAGGTGACAGCTAGGGCAGCAACCATAAGTGGAGCAGGCGCCGAAAAACGAGTGAAAGAAGCAAGTTAAATCACTCTGAAGTAAAAACGGATTTGCATCTACACTTGTGGACTTTCTTTAAGCGGTTGACATGACTGACTTGCTTAAACCAAACCTTCCGTCGGGTAGATGTTTGTTATCTTTCAGACTGAAGCGTTGGACCTATAAGCTCTGCAGCATGCACCCCACGAAACAAATAGCCCCTCTTCCTTTGATCTAGTTGTTCCACATATTTGCTAAGGCAGAAACTGATGCTGCTGTAATACCGACAGAAGCAGTGACATCAATACCACACATACCTGGTGGTCAGGACGACCCGTTGTTAATCGGCTGCACTGACCAGGAGTATTGCCATGTAATCGAGCTGACGTGCACAGTAATCGCCTCATACTTCTAGCATAATCATTCCGTGAACAGGATACATTGAATCATGTCTTTACTGGCGGGACCGTGCAACAAGCTGTGAAACTGAATCGCAAACTAAACGTCATCTGCTGTCATTTTCTCTTTTGCGTCACACAATGGCGCAGATATTAGTGAATGCTCTCGGCGCAAGGCTCTTTACCCCAGTTTGCAATCGTTCACGCTTAATTGGCGTACAGTCCATGGCCATAGGCAAAGAGGGCTGCAAAACCAGCGCCACCGGAATGTAGGCGTTGGTAAATAACGCATGACAATGGCTCCGAACATGTAACGGGACTGTTCTGATGTATGTGACATGGCGCATGCTTTTGTCTGACGTATTAGCTGGTTGATTGTCCGATAAAAGGCAATTGAAGGTTCCCTTACTGGATTTTGGCTCTCGTGTTAGACAACATGCAAACTGAAAATAAAGCAATACGTTTGTAAAGCCTGAATGCGGATGTCAGCTGATTTGTCTTTTGACGAAGGAAAAATGTATTATATTCAACGCCACATACCCATGCACTTTAATGTTACCATTGCCGGAACGTTTACCAAACATGATGACCGTCATTTCTTGGAAAGCAGATGCCATATGTTTTGTATCTCCCAAATTACAACTCTGAAGTGTTTCTTTATACTTACAATGCTCGCTGGCCACCTCTACGCATCCTGCAAGATTCACACGCATCGCACATTTTGCAGCTAATGCCCATGGACCCTGACCGTTCAAGCCGCCCCAGTCAGGACCCAGATTCAACTTGTAATTCCTATAAGTATACCTGGCCGTTAGTCTCACATAAGCTTGCCAAGGTCTTCGAATAACATGCAAAGTGTGTCGCGATTGCGAGTGATTCTTTTCCACTTCCATGGGATCGATCAGGCCATCACCACCGCAATGTTTTCCGCTGGATTTATTGTTTTCTGAACGTCGTGATTGCATCGCATGCCGTGTGCAATGACGCGGACGGTCTGCATCGTCCCGTGAATGAACCACTCGATCGGCCCATCCGTCACATAGTATGAGGGCACCGTTCAATGATGGTCTTGATTCGGTCGATCACGCTTTCAACGCCTACTGCTGAATTGCTGTGGGCCCCCGCAACAGACCGCTCATAGCCTATCGATCGCGGCTGTATTGCGACGCCGGAGATCGGTGTCCAGCGGGCGTGTTCCACGAACTGTGTGTGTGTGTGCGTGTGTGTGTGTGTGTGTGTGTGTGTGTGTGTGTGTGTGTGTGTGTGTGTGTGTGTGTGTGTGTGTGTGTGGTGTGTGTGTGTGTGTGTGTGTGTGTGTGTGTGTGTGTGTGTGTGTGTGTGTGTCGGTGTCGTGGACCCATCCCACAGCCAGCTCCATACAAGTCCAGTTATGAAATGAATGAAATTAAAACTGGAACACATGGTGGCAGAGTTTCGAATCAACTGGTCAATTATCTTTGATTATGTCGGATGTAGGAGGCGATTTGCATTAATCATTACTGCATAATTCTGTGCGGATGATCTCTGGATTCGGTGAAATGTTCTGGAATTTTGGAGGCTCGGCAGAAGGCGCCCTCCGCCTCTGTGTCAACCATCCCCGGAGCGAGTTTGTGTTGCGTCTGTTTCGTGGGCGCTGGCCCTGACCGCACAGACCTCGTGACCCATGCGGCGGTCCAGCGCAACGGGCCGCCGCAAGGTGGCTGGCGTCGGCGGCGGACGCCGGACACGCGCCCCCGCCCGTCGCCGCCGGTCGGGGCTGGACCGCTGACGCTGCCGCCTTCGCCCCAGGCGCCGCGGGCAAGTCGGAGGTGGTGACCAAGACGCCGCTTCTGCAGGAGCCGCACTTCGCTGCCTTTCCACTGCCTTACGGTGAGCCGAAGGAGTGCCTCGCCGAGCCAGAGCTGCGACCAGCTCTGGCTCGGCGGGCCTTCAGAAGGTCGTAACCCCCCCCCCCCTCTCGACCCCCCTCTCGACTTGGTGATGTGAAAGTGTATGAGCGAGGTCCACTGCGTTATGAAAACAAATTTCAGGAAGTTGGCGGCGTTCCTCGGTGCATGTTCACATGATGGCACGCGCCAAACGATGTCTGACCATTGAGAACTACGTGATGTCGCGCCTCCCACCCAGAATATACAGTTGTATGCGCTCCCGGCGAAGCGGCCTCAGTCGCCCACAGTCAGCTGCGAGCAGCCGCCCAGGGTACCGAGTCAGCAGCTGGCCTGATCCCCTCTGGGGACCCCGAGCTGATCTGGTCTCCACCGGAGGCAACCTGAGCTGATGAGATCCCCTCGAAGGGACCCGAACTGACATGATCCCCCGATGGGCCCCGAGCTGCTCTGATCCTCAGGAGGCAACCTGAGCTGACCCTGATCCTCAACGCAGGGACCTCAAGCTATCCTGATCCCCCCGGCGGGACCCCGAGTTGATCCGATCCCCCGGCAAGATCGCGAGTTCACTTGATCACCCACTGTATCGGTCGTCGTCTGTCGGGGGAGGCGTAGCGAGTCCGGCGCGATCGGCCGAGCGGCCCCAGCTGACCGGATCAATTTCCGTCGGCGACTTCGTCCGGCGTCTAATGACGCTCAGCGGCCTCGACGACCGCTCGCGGCTCGACCCGACGGGGCTGGTCGGACCGACAGCGCCCCAGCGCAGTATGTCAGGCGTCAAAGGTCATATGACAGAACGGGCTTCTCTTTGATTGCAGCCAGATTGCTTTGCGCGCAGCGGCGATGGTTGCGGTGCAAATCTGACGAGCCGGTGGAATTTCGGTCGGAGTAGCATGCTGCCCGAAGGGCAATTCGGTGCATGGGAATCCAATCGGCGCTAATAGTCTGTTGTTGAGTTAATGGATCGGTGGTTCAGTGAGGCAACAGCGCAGGAAATGCAGAATGCGCGTTAGCTTTCAGATGAAGGTAGCGTGTAGAAGTGTATTTAACTCAGGACCGCTTGGTAAGGGACTAAAAGTAGAGAAGTGGGAGGGTCTCTCCATGATTCAGAAAGAGCTCCCTGCTAGACCCAGGTAGGTCTACTAAATTTTCATTATCTAACAGGTCATCCCATTGGCACATGCTGGAGGTCTACATGCTTCTATGGTAGATACGACGATTAAATTATGACTTCATTAGTAGGGGTTCCACGACGGTTTTTGCTTTGGTATTCGCTATCCCGTAGTTCTTTTTTGTTTGTTTTGGCAGTAGACATGAACGAATTTTTGCTTTGCCCCTTCTCTTTAACGCATATTAATTGCTGCGGGCTCGTGTTCTCATTCCGCTCGCGCCGCCCACGTGTTTGCGTCGCGCTGAGTAGCCCAATCTGATGCAGCTAATTAGAGACGTTTGGCTGGCCCACCCGTGAGAGAGAACACAGTACGAGGCTGTACCAGTGTCCCCGATCGCGACGACATAAACACAAAACGTCATTCAACCGTTTTCTTCTCTGTTTGACAGAGAAAAAATGTTGGAGCTGCTCAAAGGGTTGATTTATTTTAGCGGCAGAGAAGACATGTAATCCGAATGTTTTTATTGTAATTTATGGAATTTTTGGATTCTCGGGGACTTTCCCGACCCCTGAGCCACCAGCGCCTTGGCACGCACCGGCCTGATCAGCCAAGCGAAGCCCATCCTCCACCGCTCCAGTGGTTCATCGGGCTGTTCAGCCCATCTGTCCCAGCGCCGCTCCGGCCGTCGCTCAGCTGAGACGCGCGCGGCCGGACCGAATGACACGTGCCGCACGCGCCGCGGCCCGTGGCGCGCCGCCGAGCCGGCACCGCGGCAAAAAGCGCCGCCGCCGCCCCTAATGGGTTGTTTGGCTGTCCCCGTGCCAGTGCGGGAGCGCGGGGCCCCGTCGGTTCGGGCCCGGTGGTCGTGAGACGGACGCCGGCTGCCAAGACGCCGGCTGCGCCGCGCACCACTACAGCCGGCCTGGCGCCGCCTGAGCCTGCACCGGACACTGCACCGGTCCCAGCCGGCAGCGGCTACAGTGGCGCTGACAGATGAAAACAGGCCTGGGCAGAGGACTGCACCAGGGACAGGAGCTTTATGTTTGAAAAGCGCATGACAGGTTACACATACAACCGCGGTCTCACCAATAAACCAGATATTGGGTACGGCTAGTTGTTCTTTCACACTTAGCGCAGGGTGTGGATCTGCGGGGTCCTTTGACATCATAACGATTTTGTCAATGATTTGACATAACAGCCCTTTGACATTCGCGGTGTTGGACAGCCCTAGTTGCTCCTGGCACACGCTCTGCTGAGCTGTCAAGTTTGGATGAATATAAAGAGAAGCTTGAAATAGTTTATTAAAGAACAAAAACAATATGAACATAATTAATACGAACTTTAAAAAATGTCTGCCAAGCGTAATGTTCACACTATCCATCGGATTCGCCACCTCAACTTCTGTTTTGCGAGACAAGACGACCGCAGGGACGACAGCCAATACCGCTGCAATAAGTGTTACTGGAGGCACAAACACCTGTAAAAACTCGTTTCTTTTTTATTCGCTATCGCTTTTTTACCTCATCTGCCATTGCCAGAACACTGGCGGGCTCGACCGCCTGGCACCCACGGCCCGAAGCGTCGCTCCCCCGCGCCCTCGCTACAACCTCAGCCGACCTCTGTGGGGGCGTGCGCTCCGCACAGCTGCGCGCGGTGAACAGCAGCTGTGTGGCGCCGGCCCGGGCCCCACGCTGACGAATCGCACCTGTGTGTGACCCGGTTCCGGCATGGGGGTGCCCCGGGCCGACCGCTGGCCGTCGGGGCGTCCCTCTCGGCGCCGGGTCAGCCTTAGGGCCTCGTCTGACGTCACGGGCGTGACCCCCGCCGGGGCGTCGGGGTTGGTCGGGTCCGTCCCCATTTAGCCGACCGTCGGGGCGTCCCTCTCGGCGCCGGGTCAGCCTTAGGGCCTCGTGTGACGTCACGGGCGTGACCCCCGCCGGGGCGTCGGGGCTGGTCGAGCCTGCCCCCACTTACCAATGAGAAGGCTTGACTATTGTGATTGTCACGCTTGAACGATGTAAAACACCAAACAAAGCTGACTGCGGCACACGAACTTGTAACATGTGGCGAGCCCACTGCATGGAGTGATCCTGATTGCGAAGAGAGCAGGAACAGTGAGACAACGATTCGGGAGTGGGACAACTTAAGTGGGTTGGTTTCGCAGTGAATTGAGTCTAGGTTTGCCGCGACCTTACAGAGCAACCGCATTCATAATTACATGGTGCTGTCTGGAAAAGTCAACGGTCCATAGAGCCGCATTGGCCCAATTGATGCAAAAGTAAGTACGGCCCCTTTTCAAAATGAACAACATAAAATGAAAAACTGTCGTGCGCATTGCAAACGATAAAGTACTTAAAACCCTAAAGCTGCGACGTTCGTTATGATATGGAAGCTAAACACCCTACGGCTATTGAAAAATAATGTGCTCCAACGTACGGCGTATGGCATGCAGGTACGGTTTCCATATCCCTCGACCGCCTGGGTATCCCACATCAAACGGAGCTCGAGTGTTTACCCACGGCTGGAGATCTCGACAAACAGGCCAGCCGGGCCGTGCGGGTCGGTGGAGAGCCGGCGATGGCAGCTGGCCTGGCTTTCAGAGTCAATTACGGCAGGGCTGTTCACATAGGTGGTTAGCAACGAATTGCCTTGTACTTGCTTGCCGCATACCATCCGCGACAATGCGCGGCGACGCCGTTGATTCATCCGCAGCGCTGCCAACGGCCGGACCCTGTTGGTCAGAACATCTGACCAACACGGGGCCCGCGCTCGCATGGCTTGTTGCGCGCGGCAATAAACCGCAGCCGTGAAGAAGAATGCTCCGCAGCGCCATCAGTGTGGGTTTAGACTGCCCCTTCCGATGCGGCGCTCCGTCTTGTGAGCTTGTGCGTGCTGATCCCTGCTGTGAGTCAGCGCGGTACGGACCCCCCCCCCCCCCACCCCCCCCCCCCCCACCTCACCCCCTGAGAGCCGGCACACCACTGACAACGTCCCGGCCGTCCCGCCAGGTCTGGAGGCGGTGCGAGGCTCACCGCTGTACGGCGCCACGCCGGTGCCCGAGAGGTGAGCAGACGCCGCCCTGGCCGGGTCACTGACCGGCCGAGACTGGCTCCGCCGCCGGCGCCAGCGCCGCCCTGCACTGCACGGCATGGCACGGAGGCGGCGGCCGGCGCCCGGCGGCGGTGGTGCGAGCTGTCCCCGCACCGTGTCTTCTGTCTGGCGCGAGCTGTCCCCGCACCGTGTCCTCTGTCCGGTGCGAGCTGTCCCCGCGCCGTGTCTTCTGTCCGGCGCGAGCTGTCCCCGCACCGTGTCTTCTGTCCGGCGCGAGCTGTCCCCGCGCCGTGTCTTCTGTACCGCGAGCTGTCCCCGCGCCGTGCCTTCTGTCCGGCGCGAGCTGTCCCCGCACCTTGTCTTCTGTCCGGCGTGAGCTGTCCCCGCGCCGTGCCCTCTGTACTGCGAGCTGTCCCCGCGCCGTGTCTTCTGTCCGGCGCGAGCTGTCCCCGCGCCGTGTCCTCTGTCCTGCGAGCTGTCCCCGCGCCGTGTCTTCTGTCCGGCGCGAGCTGTCCCCGCGCCGTGTCCTCTGTCCGGCAACAGTGGCACGCGTCTGGCGTGCCTGGCTTTCAGGGCAGCTACACTGGGCCGTCCGAGGCCACTCCAGCTGTGGTCATAGATACAACGGGGCATGGCAGAAAACACCGATAAATATTAAAAGGAGAAAAATTTCTCCGTGCATAACTTTTCAATCTCAAATGATCAGTTTTATGTTAACTAGTTCGAGAAAGCAGAGTATTTGTTCCATTTCCAACATGTGCGTTCCAACACTCGCACCAGCAATGTCCGGAGAAATGTGCGCTCGTCGAAACAAGGGGCGCTGCGATCCTCCCGACATTTACCGTGACAAGGCGCTGTGTGATCCGTAGCCTGGGAGTGGGCTGCAGCAGCCCAGGGCTGGCTTATGCGTGCCAGAGGCGATGGTCAGTGAAGTGATGCTGATAATAGGCTGTGCAGACTGATTTGCACCTCTGGCCCGCTCACTTGTCTGGCTTCCGTCTGCGGTACAGCCTGGCCATATGTCGGCGTTTAACCGGCAGGTGGCTGAGCCTGTGCAGGGTTTGACCTTCACCACTCTGTCTCTGTGCCGGGCGCGGTTGTCAGCAGCCTGTCTCCATACCGGGCTTAATCGTCAGCAGTTTATCTCTGTGCGGGTTTGACTGTCAGCACCCTATCTCTGTGCGGGTTTGACTGTCAGCACCCCATCTTTGTGGCGGGTTTGACTGTCAGCACCCTATCTCTATGGCGGGTTTGACTGTCAGCACCCTATCTCTGTGCGGGTTGGACTGTCAGCACCCTATCTCTGCGCGGTTTGGACTGTCAGCACTCTATCTTTGTGGCGGGTTTGACCGTCAGCACTTTACGAGGGCTCCACGGCAGTGGTGCCACAACAAAAACTCCTACCGACAAGATTACTACGACATTACTTCTGCTGCAAACACTTACACGCGACATGTGCAGCACGGCAAAGCATACACTGGAAAAGGATATTCTCGTCGTTAGGTCCACTTCAAAAGCATATAGTCATTACTTTTACTCCACCTTACTTCTCCAACAAACACTTATCAACGACATTAGTGCTACACGACAAAACTAATACTGATCACTACCATTGCCTCTACTTCAAAAGCCGCACATCAGTGCCACAACAAGGACATTTTGTCAAGTCTTTGCTGTAGAAGCGATAACTGGTATTTATTTTTTCATGATAAGTTTTATCATGCTGTAAGTGCCCATATCGGGTATGACTTTTTCAGCATAAGTAAGTTCACATATAAGTGAAATTTTTGACGGTAGATGTAAACACGTGCACAAGCTTTTAGGCATAAGTTTGTTGTGAAGCACTCATGTCGTGTATAAGTCTTTGCGGCAGGAGTATTGTCGCGCATGTGTTAAGTCTGTATTAGTTTTTGCGGTGGCAGTAATGTCGCGCGTAACTGATGCCGTAACACTGCTGCCGGCGGGAGTTCCTACCGTAACACTTGTGTTGTGACATCCTCTACGAGCATCTCGGTGCTGGGCTGTCCGCCTCTGCTGGGTCTGACCATCAACAGACCGTTTCTTTGCCGTGTTTGACCATCAACGGTCAGTCTGTGCCGGGTGTGATCATCAACGGTCAGTCTCCGTGCCGGGTTTGACCATCAACGGTCTGTCTCTGCGCCGGGTGTGACCATCAACGGTCTGTCTCTGTGCCGGGTTTGACCATCAACGGTCTGTCTCTGTGCCGGGTTTGGTCATCAACGGTCTGTCTCTGTGCTGGACTTGACGGTCAGAGAGCCTGTTTGTGTGCCGGGTTCGGCCATCAGCAGTCTGACTCTGTCCCGGATTTGGCCATCAGCGGTCTGTTTCTGTGCCGGGTGTGACCATCAACGGTCAGTCTCTGTGCCGGGTTTGACCATCAACGGTCTGTCTCTGTGCCGGGTTTGACCATCAACGGTCAGTCTCTGTGCCGGGTTTGACCATCAACGGTCAGTCTCTGTGCCGGGTTTGACCATCAGCAGTCTGTTTCGGTGCCGTATTTGACCATCAACGGTCTGTCTCTTTGCCGGGTTTGACCATCGACGGTCTGTCTCGGCGCCGAACTTGACGGTCAGCGAGCCTTTTCGTGTGCCGGATTCGGCCACCAGCAGTCTGACTCTGTCCCGGATTCGGCCATCTGCGGTCTGTTTCTGTGCCGGGTGTGACCATCAACGGTCAGTCTCTGTGCCGGGTTTGACCATCAACGGTCTGTTTCTGTGCCGGGTTTGACCGTCAGCAGTCTGTCCCTTGGCAGGTTTGCCGCCCTGGCGGCAGCGCCCGCCGTAGGCGCCGCCGGCGGCTTCGGAGCTGAGCTGGCGCTGCAGGCGTCGCCACCGGCCCGCGCCGCGCTCGGTGCCAGCTTCGCGCCGCAGCCGACCGTGGCGCCACAGTCGCCCCGACTCGCTCAACAGGGGGCTGTGCTCATGGTGTACGGCCTCAACAAGAGCATGATGAACGCTGAGAGGCTCTTTAACCTCTTCTGTCTTTACGGCAACGTTATTCGGGTATGTCACCATTTCTGCGCCAGTTATGTGCGAGACTGTTGATGTGAGTGTGTCTTCTGTTGGTGTGAGTGTGTGATAGACCATCAGCTATCGAAAGCGTTTCTCACGTCAATGTAGAGTTAATCGGTAAATTCAAACCTCACTCACTTGCTGAAAACGTTGTTCAATGGAATGTTCAACGGCAACGATAACAAAGCATGACAATTGTATTCAGCAGAATTTGTTCTACAGATGGTTAAATATCGTGTCACAAGTTGTGTCAAAAGTCATTGTTATTGCTCCTCTTAGTATAAGTCTAGGAAGCTAAGCATTTTCTCTGACCAATCAACATTCATCCCGACCCAGCGGGTACTTCTGCTTCGTCGACATGTTCGCACGCACTCTGTTCCTCCCCAACCACCGCAGTTGTAGGTGTGAACCCTGCCGTGGTTTCAGATCAAGTTTCTGAAGACGAAGGAGGGCTGTGCCATGGTCCAGCTCGGCGATGCCCTGGCAGTGGAAAGAGCTATCGGAAATCTCAACAACATCAATATATTTGGCAACAAGCTACAGCTCGGGTAAGCTGGCACGAATTTGTGCCGTCCATTTGGACGTGTGTTGATGTTTTCACAGCTGTAGATTACCGTCAGCGCGTCAGACTGAGCTCCGCCTGGGGTCCGCTGCGATGCGCGCGATCTGTCTGGTGGGCACCGTCGTTGCGTGTTCGTGCGAGCCAGCCTCGGCGAGCCAGCTGTCAGACAGCAGACACGGCGGCCAGAAACTGTCGCACGTGTTCAGTACACGACCATCGCAGGCATAGTTTAGAGATAGGCGTAGCATAGACCTCCTAATGCTGACACTCAAATGTCTCAGCCAAGGTCTGTTCTCAACCGACGGGAACGCCCTCACTTCATCGAGATAGTTTTGGCTTGTGCTGATGTAGGCAAACGGGAGCTTGTTTACAAATAGCATTCACCATTAAATCCAACACTTCAGCAGGGTTTACGGCACTGTTCGGCGCCCAAGCACCACTTCACACGTTCATAACCAGAAATAGGCATTCAGCGTTCAGTGCTGCTGGAACTGCTGTTGACGTAGGCTGCAGTCGCCTTGTCAATGGGCAAGCAAATTAAAGTTGTTTTGAAATTAACGAGGCAACCACAAACTGCGTGTCCCGGCGCCGGAACGAAACCCCTCGGCGGTAGATTGCGGCACCGTGCTGACTTTGAACTATTCCACACCTGCCGTTGAGCCACGCATATCACCCAACCATTCGAAAGATGAGAACAGCGAGCCACACACACACACCCATTAACAGCGAAGCCGGGCTGCCAAGTAACTAGTCATGCTGTTCCCTGACTGAAGTGAGCTTTATAAGCTCTAGATGAAGGCTCTAAATAGGAGCTTAAGAGGTAAAAAGGAGATGGCTTGCAGTGCTTTTTTGTTTTGTTTCAGTTACAGCAAGCAAGCCTTCCTGAACAACGTGCAGCAGCCCTATTCTTTGCCCGACGGCTCCCCGAGCTTCAAGGACTTCACTGGAAGCAAGAACAATCGTTTCTTGAATCCAGGGATGGCCAGCAAAAACCGCATTCAGGCGCCTTCAAAGGTTAGATTATTCTTGTGAAACATCAAAGGTCGGACATGGGTTCTAATTGCATTGCACGAAAGTTTTGTCACGGTAGATTTGCGAAGTGCACGTGGTGTTGAGGTGCATTGAAAGGCAGGCTAACCGAGTCAGGGCACGTGGGGGAGACCCGTGGGCGGCTTCATCGATGACCTCTGACTGGGCCGCATGAGTCGCCGGGGGCCACTGGACTGCACCACGCTGACGTCCGCGGCACTGTAAATAGAGTCCCAGCCAAGCATTTGTTCCGGGCACCCTCCTGGAGACCACTAGATTTGGATCTCCCCGCGCTGCGTTGAATTTGGGACCGTGCAGGCAGGCCGACTCCCTTAAGACTTAAAAAGCGATGCTGCAGCTTGTGCCGTAAGATTTATGATACTGAAGAAGTACTGACGTTTTCTTCAAGGCATTGAAGTCAATCTATAAGTACTTAAGACAAACTTAAAAGCCAAACGTAACCCACGCCCGGCCGGGGAGAAGTTGGACCACGCATAACCCTTTTGTGGGTCATTTGCATTGGCTGAAACTTGGCATAGCAATAGAAAGTGAAAGTACCCACAGTTCGTTTGTTTCATATTTTTCTGCAAAATGTAGCTTCAGGGACCTATAGTCAGATCACTTTTCGATATTTTCGTAAAGAATGCAAATTTGTTCGTATTTTTGTGCAGTTTAATGTTTGTATGTGACTAAAGAGTTCTAACTTACATGCACAACCATCACATGACCACGCAGCTTAATCTTGGCCCAGGTTATGATCTGTCTCTATGGGAACCTTCTGCAAAGCACATGCTGAGCTCAAAAAGGCAGTTTTGAAGGTGATTTTCGACGCAGAGTTCAAATACTCTCCTGAAAACGTGTTGCGATAACACTACAATGCATTTTGAGATTACATTAGGTCATGCAAGGTCATCTGAGGTCATCCAGGGTAAATGACCTATGCTGCTAGTAGCGGTGCGGCTAGATGAACGGGTGCGACGTGTACAACCACCTCCTTATCGTGTTTGTGAAGCTAATGACTTATAATTTCATGTTCCAATGTACCTGTTCTCAGTGTGTTACAAATACATTGCCAAGCGTCGAAGGGGCCATGTATGACGTTGACGACGGCTATACGACCTTGAGTACCTGTAGATGTCCAACACACTATTTCTGACTACAAAAGGTATTACTGGTCACATAGACCCCGCTAGCACTTCATTTTTTTCAATGAGATGATTTATAACTTTGACCTATGTTGACCTCAGATGATCTCTAAATCACCCTAAAATAGTTTTTGTGTCCGGAAACTTTTGTTCCGCAGCTGCAACCTAATACAAAAAAAAACTTGATGAGCAGCCCATTGTGAAGAAAAGTATCGTTCTTCTAGGCTACCGGTGGACCAATTTGGAACGGTGACATAATCTGACCTGACCCACATGGGGGAACAGGAATGGTTCAAATGGACTCCCCACAGCCTTTACGCTTATTTCCGTGCCCTCAATAGTCGTCTTGACATCTTAACATAGGTTTTAACTGTATCCATCTGAACACTCACTTTTGACCTTTCGTGTGCTCAGGTAACCTCACATTCGACCTAAGGTGAAACCTTTGGGTGAATTATTCATGGTCGGCGAGACCTTCAAAACTGTATATTTATTTTCCTCATCCGTCGTCTAGAGGTTGGAGATCCCGGGGGAAGTCAACTGGCTGCGCGCGGTCGTCTCAGACCCCTGGTCGGACTCAGGTTCAAGGTTAACCAAGCAGAAGACACGAAGCTTAAAGGCACCGAACGTACATACATTTTACTAGAAACTTAAGTAAATTGTTGAGCACATTTGCGAGAAACATTATGTATATAGATAAGACAGTATTAACAGCCTTATTCCTCGTAGAAAATAAAACCGGGGAATGGAGAGATAGATGGGTTGATATTTCGCCATTATGGGTTTATCCAAACGAATATCAATCACTGATATTCGTTCGGTAAAGGCATGTTGCGGAAATATCGACACATTTATCTCCCCATTCTACTGGTTTTCCTGCAAGGAATAAGGGTATTACTGCTGTTTTACCTAAATTCCACTTGAGTAATAGCTTAGAGGCTAGATCCCGCGGCAGGGATTTTCTAAACGCCAGTCTGCCCCTGTTCAAAGTCAAGCCCAGTCAGAAAACACGCATGAAATTACCTTCGTTTTTAAGTCCTAATCATAAACCATGGTCATATAGATCATGGTCGTATGGGCCATAAGCAATAGCGCTGAAGAATTAACTTTCCAAGTTGTATTTCCAAAGACGGTGTAGCTGAAGGACTGTGTTTCCGATCGGGGTGATACAGTGCTCCACGGCAGTTACTATGGCACAGGACTGATCCTGCATGCCGGCCCTGTCTACTCAGGGTCAAACGTACGCATGGTGCTCTCGGTGCTCAGGGGCCCCGAGACAGTGATAAGGATAGCTGCAACGTTCAGCATTACTAATGTCTAAAATCGACGACAAGTGACGGCCGGGAGGGGGGCGGGGGGGGGGGGCGAGTCTGAAGTGTCTGAGCTCTAACGTCCCGCCTTCCCGTCTCAGGTGCTGCACTTCTTCAACATGCCGCCCCAGCTGACGCCGGACGAGCTGACCGAAATCTTCCAGTCGGCTGAGGTGGCCACGCCCCTCTCCGCCAACATATTTCCCTCGAAAAGTACGTCTCCGCATGAATTCCTAACTTTAAGAATTAAGTTGGTCAAGTTCGCGAAAAGGCCTGTTTGTTGCTGTATTTTGGATGTAGATTTCGTCATTTTTCACTGTTCAACCCCCCAACTTATGTTACGAAGCTACGGCCACGAACATTATAGCACATCACATCACATTACAATTACAATGATCTGACGAGTATTTTTTCTTTATTTACTGAGGAAGCCTCGCATACTGTGAAGCAGACAAGATGACATGTTTCAAATGTGTTAAAGCCTGTAACACTTTCAAATTCACTGAAATCGACCGGCCTGAATAAAATACCCGCCGTTTCCTGTCCGCGTGCGCTGCAGCCAGATCTCGGCCTTCGTGCACGTTCATCCTCTTCTCGGTGTCATTCGGAAAGCACACAAGCGGGGTAACACACATTTCACATTCCTTTTCAGAAACGTTTTTATGATATCTGCAGATATGCGATGCCCTTCCGTTAATTAGACGATAGACTTGTGCGTGCATATTAATTCAAGACCTGTCTTTTTACCATTGGTTGGGGATCCTCCTGCTTGTGGTTACAAAGCTGATGGGGAAGACATTGGGTGCTAAATGTATGTTAATTGTGCCTGCTTGCGATGCTGTTATTTGACGAATTATAATGTTACATCAGCGAATAAAAGACATCATATCCTCTGCAACAATGTGACCACAGCAATCCGTCTGTTGTGATGGGTCTACCAGGCATTGAATAATGTTTCAGCCTCTTGCACGACTTTTCCTCTAAGACGGCCTTTGTAACTTACGCTTGCCCAAACATTGAATATGAATTGTGTGCAACTAAAACATACACATTTGGTATTGAACACAATTCATGCCTAGCTCACGTCAAAATCTCCACTGATGCTATTTTGCTAGAAGTGTGCTGTTTTTGATACCGTGTATGCTGTTTCCCCCACACATGCAGCATCGGCATGACCACTTCGCGTCTATCTGGCGCTGAACTGCATCATCTACAGGCTAGGCCAGGGTGACATCGCGTCCCTCAGGTTGAGGCCAGCGTGACATCGTGTCCCTCAAGTCGGGGCCAGGGTGACATTGCGTCTCTCAGGTTGAGGCCAGCGTGACATCGTGTCCCTCAGGTCGGGGCCAGGGTGACCTGGCGTCCCTCAGGTCGGCCCCGCCGTTTCCATTCAGCGGTCGGTGTTCGTGGACCACCAGTCGGCATCGGGCCAGAGATGGCGCTGTCGTCTGAGACTGTTGGCTGGGGGCATCCGACCGGCCGCGAATAACATGCGAATGCCACCGACCTGCGGCCAGGCCGCCTCTGCGGTATTTGGTGGCCCAGCGCCTAGCAGTCTGGCATCTGCACCCCGCAAAAACTGCCGCTTCTAATCTCGACTTGTTTTGTTCGAAATAGGCATGAGTCGCGCGCGGGAGCTTTTAGTAACGTGCCGAAACCTTGGGAGCATATTTTAATATACAGAATATGGGGCGTACATTCGACGCTGTAGCCAATCAGTCTATTTCGAAAAATTCCAATGGCCCCAGAATGTCGCCAAAAAGCTTGCCTGGTCAAGCTCGCCTGATTTTGCCCAGTTAAGCATGGAGCGTCCCAAATGCTGAGTCGGTCGTCGACCCGTGGTTTTTGCATTCGTTTATGAATTGTAAAAAGGTCAGAGAAACACAAATGCACGATATACCACTCTGCTCATTACGCAAACCTTACCACACATCGCCCAGAATGCAGCCACTGCGACACACGTCACCTTGACGTCACGTGTCAGGCACATCACCAGCAACCACTGCGACACACGTCGCCTTGACGTCACATGTCAGGCACGTCACCGGCAGCCACTGCGACACACGTCACCTTGACGTCACATGTCAGATACGTCACCAGCAGCCACTGCAACACACGTCACCTTGACATCACATGTCAGATACGTCACCGGCAGGCACTGCTAATAAGCGCGTTACTAACAATAACCCACCGGAGCTCCCCGGACGCGGGCCGCGCCTGTGCTCGCGCGTCCCAGATGGTTCCCTCCCCTATGCCTCGCGGCGGAGCCGTCCCGGCGACGTGTCGACCCCGGCATCACGCGTGCGACGGGTTGAACCGTCGCTTTGTCAGGGCACCAGGCACAAATCACAGCAGCGTCGGCCGGTAAAAGCGTTTCGGTGTAGGTCGCCTCCATCCCCCTCCCCGGCGCCTGCGGCGGCTCAAGCGGCGCGTGCGTCCGCTCAGGTGTCCGCCAGGCGACGCCGCCCAGCGGCCGTCGGCCGCCCAGGACCGACACGGCAGGCTGGTCCGGCACGGGCCGGCCACGTGTGGCGCACGGTTACCGCCAGAGGTCGTCCAGACGTGGCGTCAGCCTGGTCTGCAACTGGGCGGACCATTCTGCTGAGACGATTGATTGGAGCTTTGCTCCTCCATGCAAATGTTTGGACTTCGTGACTTACACAGCTGTGGCAGATGAAATCCCGGGACAGTCGACCGCTTTATAATGGGGTTTCGTGGCGTCAGAGCGTTCACGCGAGCCTCTTCTCCTCGCAGCTGAGCGCAGCTCCTCCGGTTTGGTGGAGTTCAGCAGCACGGAGGAAGCCGTCGAAGCGCTGGTGGCCTCTAATCACAAGTCGATTCCGCGCTCAAGTAAGGCTCCCGTCGGGCGGCCCACGCGACGCGTCGAGGAGGGAGACCGGACGATGATTCACAGATGTTGACAGCCGCTGTTCGCTGCGACTCCTTCGACAAACGTTCCTCCTAAGTTCACCGGCTCAAAGCAGCACGCAGAACTTCTCATTGTATCACGCATGGGTCGTTCCACAGGATTATATTCGTGTTATTGGGCTGCGTCGGGGGCGTGGTTATGCTGCTTGCCACGTTGAGTGGCTGGCTCGTCTTGCTTGGCCGATCGGAAACAGACCAGCCGGCGTAGCATCACTTGGATGCCTATCGCTTGGCCGATCGGAAACAGACCAGCAGGCGTAGCATCACTCGGGTGCCCATCGCTTAGCCGATCGGAAACAGACCAGCCGGCGTAGCATCACGCGGGTGCCCATCGCTATCGGCTCTCTGAGTGCTGAACGTCGTCTTACTTGTATGCATGCGTGTCTTTGCAGGCAGCAAGTTCCCCTTCACCATGAAGCTGTGCTTCTCGTCCTCGCGCTCGGGCGGGGCCTCAGAGCGGGCACAATCGCCGTCGCACCCCTGCTAGTGACCTGCCAGGGCTGACCCCTGCCGGCCAGAGCCTCTGTCAGGGGCGGCCCCTGCTGTCCAGCACGCCCGCGGCGCCTGCCGCCCTGCTGTCGGCGGCCCCTGCTGTCCAGAGCCTGCGGCGCCTGCCGTCCTGCTGTCGGCAGCCCCTGCCGGCCAGAGCCCGCGTGACATATCAGCCTCTGTCGCTCCCCAGCCGCCCTGCCTTTGGCGGCCCCTGCAGTGTGCCGGAGCTCTGTGCACTGCTCACAAAGCCAAAGCCGGATGGTGCGAGACTGGGAAACTCACTGGCGCTGTTGAGCGGGTGACTGAGCGAGCGCAAAAGGAGCGACGAGAGGCAAAGGCGACCGAGAGGCGGAACAAGATGTCATCACACCGGACAGGAATGGTTTAAGCACAGTGCATCTAGAGTGACTACAGAAGAGTGGGTGTGCGGCCGCTGTCCTGCGACGGCTTCACGGGCGCCTGAACAGCTCCGGGGAGACGGACGATCGAACTGGGAGCGGCAGATCACGACCCGCCGCGATCACATGGGCAGTGGCGTCCACGGCGGCGCGGCGCCGGGCTGACGTGAACGGGACTGGACTGTCGGACACCCGTCACGCGCGTCCACCAGCGGCACCACGCTGACCGGCCGCGGCGGGCCAGCGGCGCATCCAGCTCCTGTCCGCGGAGCGTCGCCGCCGGGCGCTGTTTGTACAGATTTGTTGTTGCAGTTTCACCGCCTTGTTGAACCAACTGCACTGCATTGCAGTCCTGCCTGTACCTGCGGTCCATGGCGATGTATCATATTGCTGTAGCGTCATAGGCGTTCAGACCAGCTGTCGTTTGAAGGCCGGTTGTTTTGTTTATGTCTAAGAAACTTGTTTCAATGACTATTTTAGCAAGTTCTTTCGCTGATGACTGGTTGTATGTCCTGGCTTGAAGTTGTTACTGTTTGCGTATTTAAGTGTTAATGTTAAGTCGTAATGGCTTTACAAAATATCTTTGCTACTACGTAATATCCGTATAGGTCCACCCACGTACTATGCAACGTCCTAGTAGCAGACGGTTTCGCTTCTCCCCTGCCTGGTTTGTCATGAAAGAATTATACCTAGTTCTGTCATTTCCGTAGCTCAAACCAGCGATTAATGAACGTTGTTCTACGCGGTCTGTAATGCTTGGTGAGCTCCATGACTGAAAATAATAAAACCTGCCTACATTCGCCTGGCTGTTTACCGGCCGGTGCGAGGGTGACGAGCTCACTGGCGCTGTTGCGCGCTACCATGGCACGGCAGTCTGGCACAGGCGTCGGGACGCAATACTGGAGTAAAAGCTCGGTCACGAGCGCACGCCGAGCGTGTCGCGGCGCGCGCGCGGGACCGACTCTGCCAGTCGGCAGGTCCTCTTCACAAGCTTCTGCGCTGCTGGATCTCGTCAACCCACGCGCATTCCGGCAGAAGGCGACGCAGCAGAAGCCTGTCCGACCAGCGGCGCGTCCCTCGGATCTCCGACTGAGGGATCAGAACTTCTCGGGCACGCATTCACGCGACGCAGCCCGCCACATCTCGTCCAAAACAAAGCGCCAGTACATCTGGAAGATAGCCCTTTATTCAGTGCGTTGTAGTTCGCTTACACCATGTAAATAATGAATGGTATACAACACATGATATAGTCTACCGTGCCGCGGACAAAAGGTAGCTAGAGCCACGGGGGACGGCACAGATGACATGGGACCACGTGATCGCACGCTCGTCTCGTCAGGGCAGCTCGCGGTCGCCGTCAGATGCCGGTCACGCGACCACAGAGCCACCCGACCAGAGGGCGTGCGCCACCCACGCGATTACAGGACTTTCGTTCCGTGCCGGGCCACATTCCATATCAAGCGCGGCTATCCCGGGACTCATCGCAGCGGCACCTTCCCGGCGACCACTGGGAAATAGACAATACTCATAAAAAACAATGCAACAACTTGAAGTGAGACTGATGTCGAGGACTGACTGTGGAGAGCCCATGCGTCTGAAAATGGTTTTGGTCGTAAAACGCGGCGGCCCCTTCTTCGTTTTCTGGCCGCAACGCAACGACTACGTGTATTGCAACAACCCCCATGGCTTGACAACGGAGAGCTCCATCTGGCGGCGGGGATGCGCACGTCGACAGAGTCGAATAGTGATGATCAGTCACCTCCGGACCGTGATTCAGGCACTGGGATAGCTCCGGCACTAGGCGCCGCCCCGGGCCAGGCCGGGGGCGGCGGCATTCCTCCGTCCCACCCCTTCCAATCTCCCATTATGCATAGCTCTGCGCAGACGAGGCGGAGGGGGAACAGTCGGCGGCACTACGGCCGGCCGAGACGCCGCCGGACGCGCCGCCCGCGCCGCGGAGCCTCCCCGCCCGGCGACATCGCGGCCGCCCGCCGGGTGGCCCGAGCGCCGGGGAGGCCGCCCACCGAGGCGGTGCGGCCGGCTGGCGCGCGAGCCGACCGCGCCCCGCCCGGCCGCGAGACGATGAGCGCGCCGGGCCAAGCGCCGGCGCGGCCGCCCCCCGTTCCTGAGACATCGGTAATGAATGAGCAGGGCGACCGCGCTCCGAGAATGAATGACCGAGCGAGAGAGCGACTGAAAATGACCGATGCTGAAGTGGCGCCCGAGCCAGTGACTAGGAGGACCGCCCGGGCGTCGGCCGCGGCGGCGGCCCGCCCGCCGGGCGAGGCGAGTCACCACGCGCACGCGCGCGCGCGCGCAGCTACCAATCACCCACAACCAGTGAAGGCCCGACCCTGGCGGCCGGCGACGACGGAGACGGCCGCCGGCCGGCCTACTCCGCAACCCACCGCATAGCCGATAGTTAGCGCTACTCCAGTTAAACACCTACATATATGCGTATGTAATGCTGGTATGTGTATGCATGTATGTGTGGTGAGACGCACGCAACAGGCAACAGTTAAACGCTCCGGAACGTTAGCTTAACTACCCTAAATGAAGACAGGACACGAAACACGATGACGCCGTCACGCTGAAGACGGCGCGCGGCCGTGCGCCGCCGCGGGAGGGAAGCGTTAACATGATGGGCTCCCGGCGCCGGCGGCCGCCCGCCGCCGCCGCCTCCCGTGGCGGCGGCGGCGGCGGCGGGCGGCCGGCTGCGGTGCGATGAGGGCGCCGGACAGCCCGGCCGCACGGACCGCGGCCGCCCGACACGCCGATGAGAGTGTAAAGCGGGGCGGCTACTGAGCGGCGCCGACCAGCGCCGTCTGGCGGGCGCGCTTGGCCTCCTCCTCGCTGATCTTCTGCTCGACGAGGTACTGGGCCGTGCTGATGGCCTGCGCCGAGCCCACCAGCGACACGATCCGGTTGCGCGTGCCAGGCCGGAACATGCCCTTCTTGGAGATCTGGATGGTGGCGCCGCTCAGGTGCTGGATCTCCACCAGGTTCCGGCCGCCCGGCCCCAGGATTGCGCCGATGATATACTCGCCCACCTGCAGCGGCACGGCGCACGTAGTGTCAGGCGCGCGCACGCACGCACGGGCGCACGCATGCACACACACGCACACACCCACCCACACCCACACACCCACCCACCCACCCACCCACCCACACCCACACCCACACCCACACACGCACGTACACGCAGCACACGCACACAGACACACACACGCAGCATACGCACACTCACACACACGCGCACACGCAGCACACGCACGCACACACACACACACACAAGCGGCAGGTGAGGAGCATGACGGCAGCCCACCAGACCAGCGAATGCAAACACCATGCGTCCGGGCCTACACCTCATGCATACACACACGCACGCGCACACGCACGGTGCAGTAGAGGCCAAACAACTGACGCCCATTATAGTTTCTGCTCGCCAAAGGAAGATGCCAGGAGCATGGCGTCGACCAGCAACAGAAAGATCAAGTCACGAACTCAGTTCACATCTCAGACACTCGTCATCATCAGTTCACATCACATCCCTCAGGCGCATTCCATGTTCATGTGTGACACAAACGCGCTGTACGCTAAACGGCAAAGAAGTATAACGATCGCCTAAGGACATCTTATCAAGGAACGCAGGAAGAAGTGACACGCATACCAAAGCAATGATTGACACCAACCAAAAGGCCTAGGGTGGGGTCCAATCAATGACGCAGCAAATGCGTGGTTTGGAAAACTTGTTTGCGTATGTTTTTCGGCCACTTACGCAGCTCGACGTGATTTGCATAGCATGATGTGATCAAGCACGGGGGCATGAAATAACGTTTAGCGGCCCTTTCTATAGCCTGTCAAGGCCTCATGCCGCAAAACGCGGTACCAAGTGACGCCAGAGCACATCAGGCCCCCAGCAGGGTGTCAAGCCAATACCGAGAAGTTCGCGCCCACAGATGGGGCGGGAAACTTAATCCGCACATGGCTTACTCAACAGCTTGTGGCAAACCGAGAATGACGCACACCCGGTTTCGTCGAATTACGTCTATCTTGTGAGTGCTGGGGAGAGCACAGAGACAGGATGACCAAATGATTCTTTGTGAGAGCAAGCGAAAGGTGCCACACCAATTGCGGTTGCCGTGGCCTTCTTCATGCTCAAAATGGTCGCGGACGGATCGCAATGGAAAAGCTGGCGTGGTAAGGGTGCTGGAAATATGCTGTGACAGCGCCTCATTACCTGGTGAAAGCCACAGAACCAAGTGTGCCGGGCATTGCGGCATGCTAAAGTTTCGCCGGAAAATTATACCGCTGACCTGGATTTTACGGCCCCATGGTAAGGTCAAGGCCCACACAACAACGCTGCTCTGCGTGAGCTCTGGTGCCAGAGATTCATCCACCCAAATCGGTTCGCACCAAGTTAATTTAGTTCTATTTTAGTTTAAGTGGCTCTTGTTGGAGTTTAATTTCATGTGACCACTACTGCACCGTTAATAGCATATACCTACCAAATTAAAATGATAGCAACAGCCTTCGAGCTTGATATGGGCCGTCATTACTTCTCCAGAGACTCGAGCATCTTCCCCCGTTTGAGTTCTTCGCCTCTATGCTCACCCAACTCAGTGCCGTGCCGAACATGATCACCACAGACATTCCGTCCGCCCATCCCGCGCATCCCCCCCCCCTTCCCCCCGCCCCGCTGCACCCGGCGGCACCCGTGTGACCCTCCCCTGCAGGTGCCACACACGTCACCGCACACCTCCACGCACAGGCCCGTGCCCGCGGTCTCCCCAGCAGCCCGCGCGCTGCGGCACCCGCCGCCGCCCGCCCGGAGCTCACCTCAAGGTCGATCTTGTGCTGGCCGTCGGCCATCTCCGCCTGCTTGATGATGGCAGCCTGGAGCGCGCCGGGCGGCGGCGGGCTCTTGGAGAGGCCGGCCAGGCCCGGCTGCGTGCCCAGCCCGTACGAGTTGTTGTTGACCGGCAGCGGGCTGAGCGCCGACGGGCCGCGGAACGGGTCGTACGCGGCATCGCCCCCCGGCGAGAACGGGTCCGGCTGGCGGCCGGGCGAGCCGGGCGGCCCCGACGCCTGGGAGCTGGTCGACGGCAGCGGCACCATCGGCGACAGCGGACTGTACAGGCTCGAGTTGCCGTTCAGTGACTCGCTGCCGACGCAGGGGCGGGCCAAAGGTCACGTCAGGTCAGGTCAGGTCAGGTCAGGTAGCCACACGACCGGGGATGAGCCAGCACGACACGGCATCATGAGACGTAATGGTACAGTGCAGCTGAACATAACGCGGCGTGCTCCCGTCAAACATGATGCAACTAGACAAATTTTGAGCCTAAACTGAGCAAATGTGGCATTAGATGACCACAACCTGTTGGCCACAGCAGACAGTGCACAACTGAACTGTGAATATGGCGCTCACTTGAGGCCGAGCGGGGCACGTGGGCGTGCAGATGATCGCGGTGGACACCACACAGACTGACCTGGTGGAAGCTCCGATACCGAGTAGGGCGCTGGAGAGGTGAAGATAATGGCGGTGGACACCACACAGACTGACCTGGTGGAAGCTCCGATACCGAGTAGGGCGCTGGAGAGGTGCAGATAATTGCGGTGGACACCGCTCAGACTGACCTGGTGCAAGCTCCGATACCAAGTAGGGCGCTGGAGAGGTGCAGATAATGGCGGTGGACACCACACAGACTGACCTGGTGGAAGCTCCGATACCGAGTAGGGCGCTGGAGAGGTGCAGATAATCGCGGTGGACACCGCTCAGACTGACCTGGTGGGAGCTCCGATACCGAGTAGGGCGCTGCAGAGGTGCAGATAATGGCGGTGGACACCACACAGACTGACCTGGTGCAAGCATCGATACCGAGTAGGGCGCTGGAGAGGTGCAGATAATGGCGGTGGACACCACACAGACTGACCTGGTGCAAGCATCGATACCGAGTAGGGCGCTGGAGAGGTGCAGATAATGGCGGTGGACACCACACAGACTGACCTGGTGCAAGCTCCGGTACCGAGTAGGGCGCTGGAGAGGTGCAGATAATTGCGGTGGACACCACACAGACTGATCTGGTGCAAGCATCGATACCGAGTAGGACGCTGGAGAGGTGAAGATGATGGCGGTGGACACCGCTCAGACTGACCTGGTGGACACGTTGAGGCCGAGCAGGGCGCTGGAGGGGTGCGGGTAACTGCCGGACACGGGCAGGGACGGCTGGCCGGGTGAGATGGGCGAGCTTGGCACGCTGATACCCAGGATTCCGTACATTGCCAGCGTGTCGATGGCAGTCGTTATCTCGTTGGCGGCCTGCGTAGGGGGCAGCACCGGTCAGTGACACAGCAGCGCCCCTGGTGACGCAACTACGCCACAATGACCGGCAGACCAGCCAAGTGACAGATTATGAACACCGCGACCAAATATTCTTGAAGGGAATGCCCCACCTTTCTTATATTTTCACTCATTGTTACATCAGGCGCGTACAATTTGATCAATAATACCGATTTTCTTGAAATTGTTCTAAGAATTTTGATCTGAAGAAGCCCTGCGGGAGAAATCTCATTTGACTCCCTGCCCACCACTACGGTAACACATTTCATTTGCCTTGATTTTTCCAACGTGCGTGCTTTGAAATGTTTGCAACACACTAAAGTGGCAAAATGTTTCCGTAATAAATACTACGAAGGGTTGAAACACTCTGTTAAGACAACAAGATACACAAACATGAAGCTAACTCGCGAATTTAACGAAACGGTACAATATGTCTTTGATTTCTCCTCTATGGCGTTAACCACCGAGCCCCCTTTCGAGGGGCACCTTGGCTTTGGGAATGGGAGCATCACACGATCCATGTGACGCTCCAGTTCAAACTTCAACCAACCAACTTCTCGGTAACGGGCCCCTGCCCACTGGGCCAAAGACAAGCGTTCTTTTATTCGCACCAGTAGAGATGCGCACGGATGTTGTCATGACGACCTGGTCGCGACTGCAGGGGAGAAGAGTGGTGCTGTTATAATGCATTCACAGTGTAATTTTGACTTGAAAATGATTAAAATCGATATCCCTATTATGCCCTGACGGCGTCACAGTGGCCCTACCCAGTGCTATTATCAGGCGTAACTAATCCTGACGTTTCACTATATGTTTTTGAAATATGCGCCAGAGATTCTTCAACGATGAACACAACCAGAAACATTGTAAAACGACTTCATCCCACCGAACTGAGCTCGCAGAATCGTCAGATCTCTACCGCAGAGCCCATTCCTCCCTGGCCGTCCCAGTGTTATAGTGGTCACAATACGGTATGATACACGGTGTGCGGTGTCAGTTCTCATCACGCGGGACCCGTCTCGGCTTGCAGCTAATGACATACGCAGCGGGCTCTCGGCTATCACCGACTGAGTGTGGTCCCTACTCAAGACATCGTCCTTCCCCGACAAGGTGAACACTGCGCCGACTGGCTGGGCCGCCGCTTCAGGACCCCGCACGGCTCGAGTCTAGTCCCGGTTACCGACTGGCCAGCAGTTTGTGGACAAGCTCTCTCTCTAGTTCGCACCACTCGTGCTGCTGGACTGGCTGCCGTCCACGCGAGCAGCCGTGTACTGATAGGACTCTGGCGCCAACGGCACTCGGGCTTACAACTCAAGGGAACCCCATTCCTTTAAAAGCGGCCAATGTCTCACACAAGCCATGGCCAAACACCACGGCCAGTTGAAACTGTTTCATCACATAAGAGCGCTACACAGGCCAACACACACCTCAAACAGTCAGACCGCCGACAGCGTCCAGCCGCCGCGGCACGGTCGGACGGTGGCGGGGGCGGGCGGCGGCCCGGTGCCGGCTAGCCCACCTGTTCGGGATAGCCGCTGTTGCGCAGCGTGTTGTGGATGTGGTCGAGCGTGGGCGGGCTGAGGTGGTGGCCCGTGCCGCTGTGCGGCAGCGGCTGCAGCTCCAGCTGCAGACCGTTGGCCAGCATCGTCGGGTTGGCCACGACTGCAACACGCGGCGGACCCCCGCACGGGTGAGCGGCGCATCCAGACAGCGAGCACGCGCCACGCAACAGCGGTAACGCGCGCGTGGAGAGGCGGGCAAACGTGCATAATGGTCTAAGCGCCGCATTTTGACGAATCCTATATTGTTTTCTGCGAGGTGGACGTGAACGACTGAAATCGATTTACCGATCCGGGAGAAATCTTGTTGTTTCGTTCGAGTAAGAAGTCGCATTCAAAAGCCTGGCCCAACTTCGAGCTTCTCGCATTCGGCTGCGCCTCCGCAGCGAGCGCACACGGCCCTCACCCTGCGCACGGCTCCATCACCCACGCGCAGTAGGGCGCGCACACGGCGTCGCACTCACAGCCGTCGTAGTCGCCGTTGCCGTTGGTCTGGCCACCGGGCGAGCCGACGCTGTTGGCGGCGAACGGCGAGCCGGTGGGGTTGAAGTTGGCTACGGGGCCGCTGACGTCGGCGTAGCTGACGTTGAGACAGCTGCCCGACTGCGGGTCCTCGCTCACCTTCTGCAGGATCATCATGCAGGCCGCCTGGCTCACCTCCCTCTCCCCTGCCGGCACCAAGGACGCGGTCACAGGGGCCGCACGACGACGGGACCACGAGCGATGGCCAGCTCCGCGCGCCTGCGCACCGACGACGCGGTCACAGGGGCCGCGCGGCGGCGGGACCACGAGCGCTCGCCAGCCCCGCGCGCCTGCGCACCGACGACGCGGTCACAGGGGCCGCGCGGCGGCGGGACCACGAGCGCTCGCCAGCCCCGCGCGCCTGCGCACCGACGACGCGGTCACAGGGGCCGCGCGGCGGCGGGATCACGAACGCTGGCCAGCTCTGCAGGCCTGCGCACCGACGTCGAGGTCACAGGGGCCGCGCGGCGGCGGGATCACGAGCGCTGGCCAGCTCCGCGCGCCTGGGTACCGGCGCTGCCGGCAGAGGGCGCTGCTGGCGGCCCGCCCACCAGCGCTGGCCAGGTGTGGCGAAGGTTTGGGCCCAGTGTGGCGAAGGGCTGGTCCGGTGTGGCGAAGGGCTGGGCCCGGTGTGGCGAAGGGCTGGGCTCGGTGGCGTCAAGGTCGGGAAGGGTGGACAAATTTTCGATGTTGATCTTGGAAGGACGATTTAGTTATTCATCCGCACGACATGCTCCTATCACAAAAATATCGACGCACAATGCGAACACCGTTCTGTTCATGTTGTACTTGGCATGTATAATTTCAGATAGATTAATGCTGAAAATACTACCAAATTGTGGAAATTCCCGAATACATTCTTGCGATTTCACCGATTTCCAAGCCTCGCTGGAAGAGTTTTCTTTTTCTCAGCTTCGCCGGACGATGGGTAGGTGCCGCCTCACGGGTCTTCTACGATCCCCTACGCCTCGCAGGCCCCCTACCATCCCGAAGATTAAGATGCTACGGACAAGTGAAACACGCATAGGAAAACTCGCGCAAAACTGATGCATGACATGTTTGTGCTCCTCATGCCGGGGTGGAACGCATACAGATTTCATTCCGTCGAACAACGAAACGTTCAGACGCACAACACAACACACGATGTTGGACAGCGCTTGAACAGCTACATCACATGTCAGCTAACGTGACCTGGATGTCAAAGAAAGTCATCACAGGCCTATCGATATTCATTCAATTGTCGCATTTGGTCTACCTTGATCTTGAATGGCCTGGCCCATATGCACTGCACTGACCTGAACCATCATACACTATGACAAGAAAGACAGATAAACACCATTACCCTTTAAACCTTTCAAACGCATATGCGAGGACAAACGCCAGCTATCGGGCGCCTGAAGGAGAAATGCGACCGACGTAACATCAGCGAAATGGCCATGACCTTTGAGCTATGGAAGAGTTCGGAGATTTGGGCCTGCAAGATCTATACCGCTCTAAATATTTTGACAGCTCAGCAGATTGGAATTTCGGTATCACGCGTTCAGCGAGTCAAGAGTTAATTCAGAAAGCCTCAGAAGGGCTTCTGAAGACTCCTCATTCCGCGAGGCGTAAGATATTCACCAGCGCCTACATGAATGAATGAAGAGGCCTGACAGGATATTCCAGACTGCGAAGATGCTTTCATTCTATTACTTTAATACGGAGCAAATTACATTCTATGCCTATGTCGACCTAAACATAAGTCCCCAATCATAAAAAGCAAAATCGGGGTCACTATCTATTAATGTCATAAGCCATAACGCTAGTCCAGTCCTGCCCTAAGCCAGTCCCTGATCAGACAGCTCTTGAGTGAGTCACGGACGTCCTTGCGGACGTCCCTTCGAAGCAAACCCCTGATCAGGCAGCTCTCAAAAGAGTCACGCACGTCCCTGCGGACGCCCTGCGAAGCAAGACCATGATCAGACAGCTCTCAAAAGAGTCAGGCACGTCCCTGCGGTCGTCCCTGCGAAGCACTGTAGCCTCCGAGTCGGCCACCGCATTTACCCGAAACAACCCTATCAAGGAAGGGACGTCGGCTCACATGCGTGGCCGGGGAGGGGAACGGAGGGCGGGGTAGAGCAGGGCGGTCACGTGCGGTGCTCACCAATCACAGTAATGCACCGTTCCGCCAGCGTCTGGTCCTTGGCCTTCTGCGAGATTTGCACGTACGCGCCCGTCTCCTCTTTTATTTGCTTGATGTAGTTGCCGCCCTTTCCAATCACCATTCCGGCCGTGCTGTTTGGCACCAATATTTTGACCTGAAATCGCACAGGAGTTCATTGATCGCCTGACGTGACAAAAGGGCGCCAGTACAGAGCACTATACCGCTAGTTGATACCAAAAACCACCATCGCAAATCGTTGTTTTGACATCGCCACACGCTGTACCGACTGCTACAAAACGCGAGCTCAGTGCTGACCTGTTTATCTCTCTCGGCCATCATTTTGTTGTCGAAGTCGATGGCGGGCTTTCCGTTGGGGTCGGGCTTCTCTCTGATCTTCTCTTGAATGAATTGCAACACCTGCAGGATGGCCTCCGGCGACCCCGTGATCAGGCAAACACGTTCCGTTGTTCCTGCGAACGCGGCCCGGTCTCAGAAGAGCGCAGAAACCTCCCGGTGCGACGGTGGGATCTGATACCCTGCCACGCTGCAGCACTCGCCACAAACGATCGATATAAAAGCAACACTGAAAACACATGTTGGAATGGTAAGAATGATAAATAATGTGCTCGATTTTGGCAGTGGGGACGAACCAGATTCGATCGCGTTGCAGCATAGCTTGGACACTGAACTAGGGTCGGGGTCACGGACCGTCACGTTGCTGGGATCCGAACGGTGCACAAAGGTCAGCTAGCAACTGTACCGATGTTTACCTCGCCTGGCAGAAGCGCTATGCTGACGTTAAACAGTGCAAAAAGACGAGAATATCCTAAGCAGACGTGTTTGACCTTCTTCAAATAATCTTCATAATTTCTTTGATAATTTTAAAATCGTCAGTCACACCTTCGTTTGATTCCTTTGTCGGTGTAACCACCTTGATTTGAATAAGTAACTAAGTACGTAACTCGATCAATGCAGTGGGATGACTGATGTCTACACCGCCATACCAGCCATTAAATATTGCACCAACGGCATGCCACATTTTCCACACAAACAGGCTAACGGTCTGCACCACATTTTCTTACCCCCATTCCACCATTAAACAGGGAGTGAATCCAACGCGCTAGCACACCCGTGCAACGAAGCCAACTGGGTCCCTCAGTCCCCACCCCCGTTCCCAGGCCGCCGCCCCACCCAGGTGTCCCGGCACCCGACCGGGCCGGCGGCGCGTTGCCACGCACGCTTTCGGAAATCCCCGCATGCGAACAGCGCGAGGCCGTGGGCACTTGTTGGGGCAGCGTGCGCTTTACGGGCGCCGCGGGGCGACGGCCGGATCGGCGTGACCCCCAGCCGGGGTCCGACTGCCACCCGGGGTCCTGTCGTCACCCGGCCCGGCCGACGTCGGGCGGCCGGCCGCATCGGCGGTGATTCAGTTCGCACGGAGGCTCCGTACGGCCCATCTGCCAGCCTGGCCTTGCGTCAGCCGTGCACAGCGTCGCCCCAATCATGAGCCGATAAACAGAGACGCGGGCTTCACCGGCGGCCGACATCGGTCACATGGGGCCGCAAAGGCAAGCACGACGACAAATGTTTGGGCATGCATTGTCGATTAATGATGTGCTTGAAGGCACGACGACCTGAAGAGCATGAAATTCAGTCGTGGTGGGTGATTGGTAAGCCTAAATATTTGGACGCACTAGGCGTGAAAATACAACGCACACAAATTCTGGGCGTGAAAAGAAAACACACACGCGCGCAGCCAACGCAGGGCATGATGTACATTACCTTTATAGATGAAAGCGGTTGTTTGGACGCTTGAGTATACAGCTTCACGGACCGATTGAAGCGAGGTGGGAGTATCACGGATGGAATGAATTGCTCCCAGGTAGTAGTATGTGACCTAACACTACATGCTTATATACCAGACGAGGACGACGGTCCGACCAATTACTCAATCCGCTTGAGTGTTTCTTTAGGGTCAAGCCCTAAGGGATGAAGTTTCACCCTAAATAGCAGCATCCTTATTGACACAATCACCGCGCGAAGCACGTACCAATAATTATTCAACGAGGGCATGGGCGAGGTCACAATGGCCACGAGGTCTACGCGCTGCAGAGAGACGCATGTGTATATTCTATTATCCAGGGTGCGAGCTTCTGAGCGCATTGACAACCACACACTCCTACCCATAATTGTGCTTTTTGTTTGTTTGTTTGAAGAACGCAATCTTTACACACTTAACAGAACATCTGGTCCGTCAAAACACATTTCTGCATTCATCAATTTTGAGTGACCTATTCCTTTGTTTTGTTGACTATCAATCAGCCAACCGGTGCGGAATGAGGCCAATTCGGTCAAGTTAGCTCAATAGAGCTCCACCAATTAGGTCGTCTATATCACATACATCTGCCGACCAGCAGCGTGGAGTCGGAGCCCCTGGCCGGTGCCGAACGAGTGGCGGCGACAGCGACGAAGGCGAACGTGTGAAGAAATCAGGGTGGCTCCAGCGGAAGTATATACATCAGTTCGTTTCATCATGGAGGGCAAATGCGCTTTACGGTTAAGTGATCGCGTACCGCCAGGAATTTACAGTTTAAGTAACCACTTCTTGGCGACCATCAGGACAAAGTGCATAATACCCCGCCTCAAATGATTCATCAAAAAAGGAAACACGCCTGTGATGTGCGCTAGACATGGCCACGCCATTTGTCCCTGTCAAGAAGCGTTACAAACATTTATAAAAATCGAAGGAAATTCGCCCACTACGTTTTGCCACGCGTGGCTTCACATCTAACCAATCACCTACCGATAGCGGCGATTGCGGCCAGGCCTTCATTGCTTTAGCTCTCAGTCACGTGATCCTCCTCGCACCGGAGCAATTCATAATCCGCCGCGTTATTGCACTCGAGCGCAGCAACTAGAGCGCTCTTAATCAGATTACGGTCGTGAACGACTCTTCATGGAGTGCAGACCGACTTAAATAACTCCGTGAACTCCAAAAGGCTATCACGCTCCAAACCTCGCACACATATTAAACATTCCCTTTAACGAGAATGTAACAGGGTCCAGGGAAAAAAGTACGTGAGTAAAGCACGTTACAAGTTGCGTGACCTGCTCGTGCTTAATCTAATGCTGATACTTTTCTTCTGCCGACGGTCTGCTCTGCACGCCACAGTAACCCTGCAAAGGCTCAGCCATAATACATATTGTCACATGGTGGTGTTTCAGTCGTGGCAGCGCATAATCTCATAGTCAATAAAGGCTTTTTGCTGCGTGGGACAAGCGAAGTGTTAACATACCTCTATATAACCAATTACTGGTGCATCGTCTGCGCCTGCCTGCCTGCCTGCCTGCCTGCCTGCCCGCCCGCCCGCCCGCCCGCCCGCCCGCCCGCCCGCCCGCCCGCCCGCCCGCCCGCCCGTCCGCCTGCCTGTCTGCCTGTCTGTCTGTCTGTCTGCCTGTCTGTCTGTCTGTCTGTCTGTCTGTCTGTCTGTCTGTCTGTCTGTCTGTCTGTCTGTCTGTCTGTCTGTCTGTCTGTCTGTCTGTCTGTCTGTCTGTCTGTCTGTCTGTCTGTCTGTCTGTCTGTCTGTCTGTCTGTCTGTCTGTCTGTCTGTCTGTGTCTGTCTGTCTGTGTCTGTCTGTGTCTGTATGGTTCAGTCTGGTCCAGTCTGTCTCGGTTCAGGCCAAGGCGTGCTGTATTTGACCCACAACTTTGCCAGGGCGACAGTTCTTTTTCTCCTCCGTCGGTATTAGTTTCACGTCAATGCGAAGCCTGACCTCCAAGTCCTGGAGTTTTTTACGCCACATGTTCTTAAGCTTTTTCCGGATGCGGAAATTTTACTCCGCCCCCGGCCACCAAGTGGACAGGTTGTGTGGTCTCCCACTCACGCAATACCAGCAGGCGATTTACCACCGTCATATCTAATATTTTAACGCATATTGATGTCAGAGATAATCTGGTGCGTAGAGTGCACCGGGCACAATATCCACGCCCTCCGCTATTCGGCCCGTGAGACATGCCCCGAGGCGTTTTCATAACTGGAGTTGACGTTGGTGCGTTCTCAGCGCCGTGGCACCCATCATAATGCACACATGGTTGTCAAGGTACATATTTTCGAGATCGCAACGGTTCATACAATGACACACAAATAAGGAAACTTATATTGGCCAATTTGAAAAAATGTGACCCGTGAATAGGTCACAGGTCATCCTTTCAACATACATTATACCCGTGCTCAACCTTTTCTTCAGCAGAAAAAAAACTTTTGTATATTATCTTCCCAAACTAAACATAATATCATCCGAGCGTAAGATTGTCTCAACAGGCCTCCCATGGCTTTTTTCACACATTTGAGTATTCGGACGTCACCTAAATGAGGACGTTCGTCTACCAACTGCCACGCGGCTCCAATGCTCTTATTGCTCAGATTTAATCCAATTGACTTTGGATCATGTATGCTGGTAAGATCAAAGTGAAGACAGAAACGCTGCATCACTGGACAACTTGTACTGTGATGCAGACGCCTCCTATGGGGTGGATCCTGGTTTGGAATCCGTGGATCCCAAGGGCGTCAAAAGATCACTTAGTGCGGATTAATGAAAGTCAGGGGGCAGTCACTGACCTAAACTGACCTTGATCAGCCTTTTGTTTTGAGAATGCGATGCTTTGAATAGTACTTGGCGCCTAGCGCACCCAAATATCAAAATAATTGTGATGATTTTGAGTCATGTTCACATTCTAAAGGTCTAATAGGTCACTGACCTGATATAAACAACGGTGACCTTTTGCTTATAGGAGGTATCTAGGTAAAAAATGTTGCGTGGGGAGGCCTGAGGGCACTTCAGACACCGATCTGAAGTTTAACCTTGTTTGAACTGATTTGACCAGACGGTCCCGACCTATGGATATCAAAATTTGGCAGAAATAATTGAAAGAGTTCTACCTACCCTGTGAGTTTCGTGTCTGCCTCTCTCAGATTTTGAAATCTCAGGGGATCAAACTGACCTTCCCACCCAACAGCACCACATTCAATCGGCCACCCGGGCGCGTGTTAAGTTAATTTTGTTATATTGTTCCGGGCAGCCATCATAAAAAATATTGTTTTCCACACACGGGAAAATAACTCAATGCCTTTGACCACATGTTTCATAAATACGAGCACAACTGCTGCTTTGTGTTTGTCACAATCCAAAAACACGCAAAAGCTTTGCTGTTACGTCGTTCCATCTTTACCAGGCCAGTAGGCCGTGAATGGTGAACCGGGCACTGGGTGGTTTGATCCAGTGCCACCCTTGGGCGCCATCAAGCAGATATGGGAATAATTTGGGGGAAAATCGCAGAGAGCGACGGCTTCATCAGGCGCGATGGAGGCCTTTGCTGTCGTAACACGCGCCCGGGTGGCCGGCTAGATACCCTTCGCTCGGGTGGGGGGGGGGAGCAATTTGACCCCCTGATATCTCGGGAACTAAGAAAGCTGGAGACACTAAATTTACAGGGTGCATTGACCTGTACGTGAACTCACTTAGATCAAAAGTTTGAGGTTCCTAGGTCATGACCTTAGAGTCAAATAAGGTTAAAAAGTTCAAATTTCAGGTTGGTCTCCAAAGTGCCCCAGAACCTAGATAACCGTTTGTAAGTAAAAGTTCACAAGCTCATCTTAAGTCCGTGACCTTGTTTCGTCTTTTGAAGGTCATTGTGATAAAAAATCATAGACGACTGCTCTGAGTTTTGCATTTGAATAAGCGACAAATACTACGCTGGGCAGTCTGTTTCTAAAAACAAAATGTTGACCTGGGTCATTTTGGGTCAATGACCTATTCTGACCGCTAAGAAGTTCATGGAAGATGTATAATGCGGTTCCTGCGATCAATAAATTCGAAATGAGCACCACAAACTATCCCATACAGCAGGCCCTAGAGTAATAAAACAGGTTGGTTATGGCCTCGGTCTGATCTTTATACCTGACCTTAGGTCAACGTTGTGTGATCACGATATTTGTTTCCTAAGAAAGCCTCTCAGAGATGTATGGTTTCGTCTAACACTCCGTAGTTACATCAGATTGAACGATTCCCTAGAAATGGGCTTCGCTGAGACCATAGCCTGACTTTGACCTGCCATAGGTCAGCAACAGTTTAAGGTACATCGAATTTTTTACATCAAACAATCCACTATTCAATTGTCTAAAGCTATGCAAAATTTGGTATGGCTACGCCACGCCGTTCGGAAACCATTGGGAACAAACCTTCAGTGGTGTGTGTGTGGGGGGGGGGGGGGCAGGGTCAACTTGATCCCGCCCACCCGAGCGCGTGTTAAAGAAACGCGCTTGTTCCTTAGCAATATCATGATGACAGTTGACTTTTTCTATGGTTCTGCCCAACGTCATTAAAAAAGGTTGACACGTTCAACCACCTCCACAAAATGTGCAGCCGTCTGTGGACGCTAATCGGCCATTCCCTGGAATGGAAATGACATCTTGCGTCATTTCTTTGTGCCGCAGCATTCAGAACATATGCAATATCAAGGCAAGCCCTAAAAGTATCTAGTCACATGTTGCCACTCGGACACGCAGGACTGATATTGTGGTCGCTCGCCCTGATGTGTGCTACTTCACACGGGAACCACAGTCGATCAGCCCACCAGTCAACTGATCCAACTTAAATGGATGCACCCAGGCTACCCTAGGCACACTGAAGCCGGTGCATACACGCCCCACGGAGTCCGACACTGGACACCTAGTATGCGATGTCAGTAACGAGGGGCGTGCGGAGCCGGCAGCCGGGGCTCGCTGACGGTGCTACATTGTTGCAGTGCGGAATCCACCGGCCTGTTTAGGAAAGACAACACACGAAAGGCGTTCACTGCTAAATAAAAAGTTAAGAACGGACATCATACGATGTTGAAACGATGACCTTTGACCTAGGTCGCAAGGCCACACTTCCAATATTGACCGAGGTGCACTTTTTCCGTTCCGCCGAACGAATTTTTGCGGTCTCGACAATATATAACTTGACAACTTTCCGCGTATCATCATGGCTGCCACCGCCCTGAGAACGTAACAATGCCAAGTCCAGTTACGAAAACGCGTCGGGGCAAATCTCGTGACTTATAAGCAAGCGGGACCTGATATTGCGTCCGGTGAGATGTCCGCGTCAGATAACTGCTGGCACCAATTTTCAGTCAAATGTGAGACATGACCATGCCTGTCCTGCTGCGCCGCATGGGAGACCATACCAGTGTGCTACTGCAACGTTGCAGATATGCACCGCTTAATCAAGCAACCCACATCTAATACCTTGAAAATAAACAGCACAAACGTGAGAGCCTCATGCCGGTGAAATCATTGGATCAACCATGACCTTGCTGCCCAATCCAAGAAAAGTAATACGGTACCGTTTTTTGGAACGGCCTTCACCTTAAACCATTATGAGCGATGGAGGAGACAAAAGATGCCAAGTCAAGATAAAGAGATGTCGCATGTCAAGCAAATAGAGCCAAGTGGACGCGGAGGCTCTGCGGTCGCGGCGACACCCTCCATTTATTTCGCGAGACAAGGGAAGCTAGAAGCTTTGCGGAGGAGGTTCTCCAAATCCGAAGCGATACCGAGGTCGCTGAAACGCGCCTTTACCCGCGGGAAAATACCTCGCTTCGAATCGCGGTCACGGCTATGTGCAATCAGTTTGAGCTTAACAGAACAGGATGCATTACCATATTCTACACAACATACGCTTACAATAGTCACCGAAAAATGAATGAATGAATTAGGAACAAAAAGCCGGTGCTCGCAAAAGTGAACCATGACCAAAATGTACTACCTTCACAGAGCTAATGCATCAGCAACTTACTTCCACGGCATGAAACGCGAAGCCCATATTACCAGCGCAGGACACGTGACTCCATGGGATACTAGATGCATATGATTTATCTCAGCCGGGAATGTGGGCAGTTTTACATCTGAATCCAGTTGTCTCACATACTATTTCATCGCATTTCTGCTAACCGGTAGGATAATCTTCTGATAGCCCATTCAGCAAGCTTCTGATAAAATCACGTGAGCTTGGCGGTAACGATACTTCTCTGGGCCGGGGTGAAGCCACGATTTAGTTCACGAGAGAGGAATTTGCCATTCTTCCGAAATGGTTACATGCCAATTCCCAGCGTGTCTGCCAGCCTTGCTTTCCGTGACACACCGGCTACTCTCGGTACGTACAAAATAGCCGAAAACAGTGGTTGGGTGCTTCGCCTCCCTTCTTTCCCTAACGTGAGGGACGACGCATTTTCCAGAAAAGATACTGGAGGGTGCGTTCTCTTCTGGAGAGATGGCCGAAAACAATGCAGTCAGCTCATCTTTTGGTGAGCATTACCTTCCCACAATTTGTTGACAGGGTTTGAAAAGATAAAGCAAACTATTTAATCAACTGTTTTTTCTCCCCCTCCCCCCTGGGTACACTACTCTGGGGAAAATGCAAGAGCTGTTGTGCAACATGCATGCATGCTCCCTTCATGCAGGCCATATACCAATGAGCATACCCCAGTGGGCATGGCCATTTCTGTGATGCTGTCATCAAACCCAGCAGAGCTCAATGTCTTATGCACCTAGTACCAGTGGCAATCCAGGCTAGATCCAGAGCAATACAGCAATCCAGAAAGCAGGTGTTTGTCCTGCAGATGTTTAAGTCCTTGTTGATCTTTAAAAGGCCTCTGCTTCTCTCCCAGGTTTCAGGCAAAAAATAGTTCATTTTAGCACTTAAGCTGATTCAATTTTACAGCTATATGTTATACATCTTGAGCAAGTGAGAAACGTGTTCTAGAGAAAGTTTACATTGCACATTCCCAAACCTCCATGAATGTAGACTGGGGCCCATAGGGTTCCAGGTAGTGTTTATATGGATTCCAAACACCAACAAAGTAGAAAGCATTAACCCAAAGCTTTGTTGCATAAATGAGCCTTAACTATGCTCTGGTCTAAATCAAGGGCTGTTGTGAACATAGTGTAACTAAAATATTATTCACATCAAGGCAAAGCATATTGCTTATTTTCTCATACCAGAGAAGGGTACATGTTCTTAGCCAACTATTAGTGTATAAATCAATGCTTTGTAAGTCTTACTATTGGGTGTAAGTCTTACCTCTTAGTAAACACCCAACCTACCACACTATGCATATCAAGACAGCACACATATGCAAACTAGGATTAAGTCCCATGTCCATATATATATTGCATATTTTGTAAATGGTTCTAGGCAACTGCAGCATGTGCATAGAGCATATGTGTATGCATACCATGAAACACATATTAAGGATTTATTAATTAAAGCACAAAAGACAAAAACTCAACATAGCCAGACCACATCAATGAAAGGTTATCTAAAAATAGATATCAGACATCTGGTTATGCAATCTTATATTTTTTAATATCAAAAGCATATAGTTCAAGAAAAGGATAATTTATCACATGCCAGTCCTTTCTTAGAAACAATTAGGAGAATGTACATACCTGGATAGAAGTCATTAGCCTTAGACATTTTCACTCTTGCCCCAGCTTCTTTTTGAAGCTGTGCAATGGTTTCTCCTCCTTTCCCAATGATTGCCCCTGCAGCTGCACTGGGCACCAATATCTTGAAATGTAGAACTGCATCTGAAAAAATAGTACACAGCATATTTTATTAGTCATGCAAAAATGAGTGAAAATATAAAACATTAGTTACTCTACAGCTCCATGCTTTTTGAAATCTGATACCTTAGTATCAGATACAAAACTGAAATTTGATGCTAAATTGGGGTTCCAGCTAGCTTACATCAGTTGAAAATATGCCTTGAAATGAATACACACATAACTCAGTAACATATGGAACATATTTCATAAATATTTACAAACTTTAACCAATAAATCTGGGTGATTGATGCAGCATAAATATGGGGCAATTGACCATGTGTCTAACATGGTGGAAAATGTCAATACACCTGTCCTGTGCAAACATGGTTCTGGATTCAAAACACCTGAATGGATTATTCCAATAACACTTCTCTGATATTCACAGGAACATGAACATATTGATTTCCTAACAATTAGGTTAAATATTATTACAATAATAAACCCTTCCACATCAAAGCACAAACCACATGTATACTACTGAACTTGATAATTTTGAGCAATCAAGTGTAGCCAGTTATTTGCAAGCTTCATTTGCAGCCAGGAAACACTGGTAACATCCCTTCCAAAGGAAGCTAAAAAACCTAATTTTCGATCCAACCCAGTCAATGCCCGATCAGCTGATTCACCTGCTGCCGCCGCCTGCCATGCCTGCGCCCCACGCCCTTCCCCAAACTCCGTCATTTTTACCTGTGCTGGTTTTGTGAGGAGCTGAAACAAAGTTGAAATATGGACCACACATTCTTCTCGTATGGTCCACGTAATCGGGTGATAATATCTCTTCGTCCAGAGATCCCACAGCCATCATTTTCACCAGGCTGTACGCCCTCGACAACCGAGGGAGAGAGAGGGAAAGAGGCCTGTGTGATGGGAGAGAGTGTGAGAGAAACATATGTGTTTCGTGGTAGCACAATAGGATTTAGCTACAATAAGAATATAAGCCTAAAACGTTGTTTTTTCCTTCCAAGTCAACAAAATTAGTCTGTAAATAAATATTGCTACTTTGGAGTTTTTCAAAAGTATCCTTTAATCATACTCATGATATTTATAGCTGGACTTACATTTTAGTTATAAGTTGTTGTACTCGTCAGCTGTTCTCGGAGCTGGGTGCAGGCAAAAGGAAGAGCATTACTAAATTCAAAGTACACGATGCATTCTTTTTGTTCCACCTGTTTTTTAATCTGCATGATAATATAGTTCTTAAATAATTTGTGGGAGAAAAAGGTGATAAAAAAGTTGCGTTACGTAATGTCGTAGTCATAGGTTAAAGTACATCACTGCAAGTGAGGTGCTAAAATTAATTTTGAAGTTGAATATTTCATCAGTCGCCATTGGGTTGGTGTGCAGCATTCTCGGAAAGTGAGGGTGTCACGGCATCCACGGACTCCAATCTTGTTGCCAACCTATTGTTTACTCGTCCTTTAAAAGACTATTTCAGCGGCGATATTGTTGCTGAACACATATGAAAAGAAATGTTGTCACGAGCCCCTCGTCATCGCAGCGCGGCCCGCGTTCGGCATCGCCAGGTATTCTCGGAGCAACTCGACCTTGACTGTGCGTAAAGGCGATCGGGTAGTCAGGACCACAGCTCTCATGTCAGATCTCAAACTAGAATAAGGCCTGGCCCACCCGCTCCTGGACTCATGCACCTGGTATTGTATCAACTCTCGTCTGTTTCGGTCGATTCTGCCTTGGTTTGAGGGGCTTAGTTCCTATTTCATCGGGGGGGGGGGGGGGGAGGAGGGCGCCGACCCCCCGAGTTTGAGAGGAGTGGACCAGCTCCGAGGCGAAACCAGTCTGTTGGCGTATTTTGGTGGACGGCTGAGCCGTTTTTCAATAATCGCTTCCCCCCCCCCCCCCCACCTGCTTTGTGAAACTGTGCCCTCATTGGGTTTCGATCGTCTTCGAGGACTTCGCGCTTCGAACGACCTCGGAAATGTCCACCCAGACCATATCGCAGTCCTCCATTGCTTAGTCTGAAAACGCGTGCTGCTCAGAGGGTATCGTGTCAGCATGTCCTCCCGCTCCCCGCACAGCTGGCTTTCATACACTGCACGTTTTCATTATCCTTGGATATCCGCCTTGGCTTACGCATTGCTGGCGTACGTCCTGGTCACGATGGCAGCCCCTGGCTATTTGAACCAATACCAATTTATGACCCCACGAGCAGCAGGGCACAGGACAGGTGTCAGTGCCAGTACGGTGGCAGAGGACAGGGTCTCCCGCTCGCTCTGCATAACTTGGGGCAAATATTACGCTACCGTCATGGCGGCAGCGAAACAACGTACAGCCCGGCCTGGGCTGCCTCCCACGCGCTGGCCCATACGCTGGGGGCTGGGCTTGAGCTGGCCCATCGGTTGGGGCTACGTATCCTCAGCAACAACGTCCCCGGCATTGTAACACAACTCCCGCGCATCCATCAGACCCCATGTGTTTAACATCGTTGTTAGACCGTCCGCTCGCATCGACCAGTGACCCTTCCCACAATCCCAGACGATCTGCAAAAACCGATCCTAACGGCCAGTACAAGTCTAGGTTACGTGAGCAAACCAGAGAGCTCTGGAATGAGAAGGGTCTTCATTCACTGGGTTTCGATCATTTGAGTGATGATCGATCTCCCCCGGTCCATTTTTGCGGGAACGATTGAATGTTAGCGGTCCTCCGCTCTGTACGGTAGCCTCTGCGCATCGTCTCATCACGGTCCATCTTGGTGCGCGGGTATCACGCACATGTACCATACGGCAGCCTCTCCAGCGCCGGAGGTGTGCCCTTGTTGACCCCCGAACTAGCCCGAGGCACGTCATCTTCGGCTGCAGAGGATTGGGCTGACCGTGTGTCGTTCAACTGCCTGGTTTTATACCCAAGTGTTTGTCTTCGAGTGCCGGCTGCATCGTCACGTGATGGGAAACCACCGGCCATCTTGCCTTGACTTGCACGGAGAAATCGAAAATGCAGCATTTACTGATTTCAATATGAAATGACAATACATCACGTGGGTAAAACGTGGCAGACGTGTCATGAAAATGGGATAGGACAGGAGGACAAACTGATCCATTCGCTACAGCCGCACTGGGTTAATTTAAGCCAGTTTAGCGGCATCTCCAGGATGTGTTTGCAAAACCGACAAAATTTCCTTGAACTTCCACACTCACTGAATGCAGAACACGGTGGGCAAAGTGGCGCTATCAAAACATATCATCGCACGCTTCCTCTCAGCTGAATCTAGTATCTAGCGATCACCCAACAACGACTGAAAATCAGCAACTCGACAACATCACCAAAAGAGTACAAACACCTCGCGCCATCCGCCCCCAGTCATCTGCTGAAGTGTCCAGGGCGCCGGTGAAGCGCCATTCCACCATCACGCCGAATGCCGCCTCACATCCACTGAACGGCCAGCCGTCCACCCGAGAGGCCGGGCTGGCATCCCGGGCGCAGCGGGAAGCGCTGGCGGCTGCTCGAGCGGCCGCGTCCCGCTGCCCGATGCACCCGACGCCTGCCACACACACGCACACACTCGGTCCCGTCGAAGCGGACACATACACAACATTGTACACTCGGGAACACGCCGCGGCTGAGAAGTCGTAGCACTACTGCTTCTTGTAGCTACGCAGGATCGGATAGATGTTGTCGAAGGCGTCGTAGATCTGTTGTCGAACCTTGGCGCCTGAAACGCGTCCGTCCAGGTTACACCAGCGGAACGGTCGCTCGATGAGGACTGATCATCCTGTCATTCCAGAGCAGTCTCTCATGGCCGCGTCCTTCATGATTGTCCACCTGGCTCCTCAGGCTGTGATCACCGATCATTGATCACACGCCAGTGATCAAGGCGGGAACCAAGATGCATGATTCGCTGGGGCGTAGCCGGAGCTCTAGTTAGACATATAGGCTGTTCGGGCCCATTCAAAATATTGGATACAATCATATCCTCTGCACCATGTAACACGCATCCATGAGTTGTCACTTGGTTTCTAACCTGACACACTTTTTTGTTGACAATTTGCGCGAACAAAATTCCGGATTTCGACGGGTTCGTTACGCAATTGCCCATTTCACCCGCACTTAGGCATGGTCCTTGTATAGCCATGGATGTGTATATGTAGGCGTGCAAGTGCACATGAATGAATGAATGAATGAATGAATGAATAAACGAACGAACGAACAAACGAACAAAAAGAAGAAACAAAAAAATCAACACACAAACGAGTGACATCATGCCGATAAATGAACCCCACATGGCCTAAAGGCTTGCCCGACAATACCATGCTCCGCGTGCGTCGTGGTGAGCACTGCCAATTAGCTGTCCAGGCCCAAAAGCCAATCGAAGCGCAGATTTCAAGAACTGGGGACACATGTATCGGCGGTGGCGGCCCAGGGATGTCTACTGCACTAAAGAGCTGGTTTGCTCAGAGGTTGGACTATATTTATGTTGGTAGATTAATGACGGTGCCCACTTGGAGGCGAGGTATTCAGGCCACCGCATCATCTCACGCCTGAACGATCTGTGACTTATGGTGTCCAAAATAACGCACAACTACATGTGTCGCCAACTAGGAGACAATGGCCATTCCAGGTTGCGTGTGTGTCATTTTAATAGCAAAAAAAGGTTTGACACAACATTCAAAATTACATTCAACTATGCGCATCACCAGCTGGGAGACACACAATGGCTGCTATAGATTGCGTGTTTGCCATTTTAATTACAAAAATTAGTTAACAAATCAGCATATGGAAACGCAAAAAGAGCGTTTTCCGAACCGAGTTCGTCATTGAGGGCTTTACCACAAAGCCAAAGCCCAGAGTGGCTATGGGCGGGTACAAACACAGGAGAGAGGGGAGCCGTCCCATCGCTAACCAAATTTAAGACAATCCCAATAGCACTGTATGGGAACAGACGAGGTGAAAGTCGGGTCTCAAAATTGCCAAGCCCTTAGAGTTTCTCTCCCTCACTCGCTCGGAACCCTCCGTCTCGTTCAACACCTCAGTGATTAAATCATTCACTCAGCAATGCAACATGCGTTCAATTATTCATTCCACTACGCATTCATCCACCCACCTGTCAACACCACTTTGCCGGACACGAAGATGAGCAACACTATCCGAGGTTGCACCATTCGATAGATGAGGCCAGGGAACAGTTCCGGTTCGTAGCTGTAAACATAACAACTTCCTCATACAAGGCTGAAACAAATCATGGACGAACACATTTATTGCGTTGCTTTTACGAACCATTGCCGGGCGAAGTTGTTACAAGTTGGTAGTTCCAATGCTTACAACTTCGGCTCGTTTTGAATGTGTGCAAAATTTCATGAATAATTTCATCTTGGTTCTACAGAAAGCTCTTCAAAATCATTAGCAGTTCTAAGCCTTCAAATGAACAGCGAAAAGACAAATGAAAATAGAGCATTCCATCATGGTTCAAGACGCAATGTACCACCTTGGTCCTCAGTATGATTTTTCGAGATGAGCCAAAGTTCTAGGTCTGAAGTAAATGAACTACAATAACTTCGCCTAGTGTTAGCTCATAGAACACAACTGACTGACTTTAAACTATTACTTGTTTCCCAATTAAAGACGCTTGGCCTCAAAACACATACGGATCAGACCAGCTCAGCATAAGGCGCTCGGCGCCGGCGCAGGCTGCGTGCCTGCCCCGTACCTGCTGAACTGGTTGTGGGTGAGCACCAGACCTTCCAACCGGATCGGAAACTTCACGTCACAGCTTCCAACCATGTTCTGCACTTTGAAGTCCGCAAACTTGGCCTACCGGTCAGGGACGCCACACGTCAACGGCACGTACGGGACCCCGCAGCGCAGTACACTGACCATGAGATGTTCGATGCCTCAAAGGCATGACATGGTTTCTTCTGTTGCCTTCTGGCAACAGCATTTCACCAGCGGCCAATCTCACGATGTTAAATCGCATCCATAATCACAATGCCTAGTATAACGTGAGGCCGAACCAGGCCAGTTTCAAAAACCTCACTAAATCATGGACCAAACAGTCGTCTTCACCAGGCAAAGGACCATGCGTGACAACAAGACTCCAACAAGGCGACCAAGAGCCGGAAAGAGGCTGGCGTGTCGGGAGCCCCACCGTCCGGCGCGCCGCCACTCACGTCGAAGCCGAGCTTCTGGATGATGCGCGCGTACTTCCTGGCCGCCAGCCGGGAATCGTCCTCGCTCTTGGCGCCCGTGCACACCATCTTGCCGGAGCTGAAGATGAGCGCGGTGGTGCGCGGCTCACGGATCCGCATGATGACGGCAGCGAACCGCTTCGGGTTGTACTCTGCATTGCGCGCCTGCATCGCGATCTTCCGCAGGTCAAGCTTGCACAGCATGTTGATGGTGGACACGATGTTCCTGCGGACGACGCAGAAGCGTCAGTCCAAGCGGTAACAAGTCAGAATGCAGATCTGGAAGAGTAAAGAACCCGGCCAAGGCAAAAGATATGCGGGCGCGGTGAAGTCGTTACCCGTCATCGCATGTAATGAAAGCAACAACTGTCATCAAAACACCAAAGCTATTATTTGAAAACCGCGAAATTACCAAAATTATCATTTCAGACTATAGGTATGCTAGCATATTCCACCATAACCCAGCTCTGGTGATCCCTGCTCCCAGCCGCCTCACTGGAGCTGCGGCACGATGCCGGGGTCGTTGGAGGCGGGCGTGAGCGGCGTCATGGGCGCCGGCGTGGCCGGGTTGTAGAGGCCCGACTGCGGGTGTGATGGCGTGGCTTGCAGCTGGTGCACGGCCGGCGACATCATGGGCGTCTGCGGCTGCAGCAGGTTGTGCGGCGTGAAGCCACCCAGCTGCTGCTGCTGCTGCTGCTGCTGCTGCAAAGCACGGCAGGCTGTCAGGCAACTGCTGTAAGATGCCAGGCCACTGTACACGCAGGTTCGCAATGGCGGCTGCCGGAGACCACAGTGCAGCACCTTGACGGGGCAGAGTTAGAAGTGAACTAGAGCAATGGTGCTGAGAGGGATGACATGGCTGTCTGCATCTAAGAGTGAAACCAGAGCATTGATAACTTCCGCACAAGTGCGATTGTTCCCACATTTTTATGCAGGATGTAGTCTGTTCTGATATTCAGTGGTAGAGTTGGTGGTGCCTCATGGTTAAATAAAGCCTATTTATGTTGAGCGTAAGCAATTTTACCATCAAAATGAAAACGAATTTTCGTCACAAGCTGCAGAACCACAAATAAATTTCATTCTTCCTTTCGGCGTTCTTTGTGTGCCTTTTGGCGCCATTTTGGTGCTTGGCGTTCTCTCTGCATCCAGTCACTCTACCGGAGCTCTCTGCAAATATCAGGAAGATGAGCGCGTCGAGGGCTGTTGGCATCGATGGCATACCACTCCTTGTGGTGAAAAGGTGATTCCTTGTACTTGTAGCTTATTTTCTACATCTTATTAACTTCGTTATCACATCAAGCACCTTTCCGTCCGTCTTGAGGATCGCGCGCTTCACCCCGGGGTTCAAGTCGGGCGATCCATGTCCAAAGCCGCGAGGCCTTTGACGGCGTTGACAGCGGCGTCCTCCTGAGCAAGCTGGAATGGTGCGGACCGTCCTCGGAATGGTTCTGGGACCACCCAAGCAGTCGGAAGCAGGTGGGTAGGGGTGGCTCGGCTATCCTATCCCACGGGGTGCCCTTGGATACCTTGTCGGCTCAATCCTGTTCCTCATCTTCATCAGCGGCTTATTCAGCTTCCTAACCCATGATCACCTACTTTTCTACGCCGATGAAAACCAACTCCCCGGCTCGGCCACCCCCGATGCCTGTCCAACCGTGTAAGCCCGTGTCGGGCAGTCCATTCAGTGCCTTCAAAATTGGTTCCAGTCAAGCAGCCTTAAAATGAGCCCCAAAGGACAGACCTCATGCTGATCGGCACCAAACCCTCCAACACAAAGACTGGCAACTTCCACATTACCATCTCTGGCACAGACATTCATCCATCATCTTCAGTGAAGGTGCTGGGTGTCCCCTCGACCATGACGACACTTGGGAGCTCTACATCTCCTCTCTCGTTCGGCGCGGTAATGCAGTCCTCGTATTCCCGTTAAAACTTCGACACCATTTCACTCCCGAGGTTGTGAAGCTCCTTGTCCAAATTCACATATTCCCCACATCCTCTACTGCTTGCCCGCCTGGGGTGGAACGGCCGAGCGTCACCTAGACAGGGAGCAAAGGGCGATGCCCTTCGCAGCCAGGCTGGTGAGTGGCGTCCGCCGCAGCGATCACACTTCACCCGTTCCGGAGGCGCTCGGCTGGCGTATCGTCGCGGATCTTGTGCACCACCGGGACTGCCTGAATGTGCACAGGCCACTGCACGTCCCCGGATCCCCCAGTGCACTGCGTGCTCCATTTGTGACACGCGCCGAGTCTTCCCGACGTCAAACTCGGACTGTTTCGGGCGCTGTCGGCTCGCTACATCCGCCACGCGTCCGACTGACTGACACCCAGTGGCATTTTTCGTGCCGTGCCGTCGTTGCGTGGAAGCGGCTGCCTGCGGCACCCGTCCACGCCCCTTCCGCCGGATCTTCTCGACTCTAAGTCGCTGACTCATTGACCGAAACCGCTGTCACCTGTGCCTGTGAGCCTTTTCTTGCATCATTAGGCACACACTAACCACCACGTGAATACGCCTTCAATAAAATACCTTGTCTTCAGTCTCCATCCTGTACTAATGCCTCCACCACACATATACCACACAGCCACATTGCCCACCTGCTGCTGTTGCTGCTGCTGCTGCTGGGGCTGCTGCTGCTGCTGTAGGGCAGCTTGCGGTAAGATCTGCATGTCATCATCGGGCTGGTGTAATGGGGTCCCGATGCTGGGGATGCTGAATCCAGGTGATGGAAGCATCTGATCCATGGTGGCTGGAATAATGGCATATTTTCTTTAAAAAAACGCAAAACCCGCTAACACGAATCTAACTCACTCTGGACTTTAACATATATAATTTTGGTCATGTCACGAGCAATGTCACTTCATGGAGGTGGGGAATAGTTATGGTGTGCACAGGATGAAAACTATCTTTTCTACAAAAAAAAATCAAAAATTGGATGGGATCCCTGCAGGGTTTGGAATGCAGCATAGAGTAAGGCTTTATATGATGTTTTGACTGCCTCTGTTCAGCTGGGTGTGGTAGGATGGGAAGAATGGGTAGCCCCACCCCCAGGTGGTGTTTCATGTGGCACTGTCTTGGACCACTGGATGTGTTGCCAGTCTTTCTTCTTTGGAAGAGCAAATGCAAGATATTACATGTCATCGTGTTGTTTACCGCTACTCTTAAATTCTTGAAACAACACATTGTATCTTAAGTGGTGGTTTCTTAACAAATATAATCATTACCATTACGCCAAAAGGTGAAAAAACTAGAAAAATAATGACAAGACATGTAATGTGAACATCTTGACATGTAATGTTAGCACCATCACAACATTTTGGTTGCATGCAGAGCTAAGTCACATTCAATTAACAGGTAACATAATGTCAGGTCTTTATGTTCTTAGTACATGACTAACAGGCATGTGTCTAGGATGTGATGTGTAAATGATTACATCTAGTAATAAGCCAAATAATACATGATTACATCTAGTTGAGAGGTGACAAGAGGACACCAATGGAAGCTAAGAAAACCTCCAGCTAAGACTCCAGTCCAACATAACTCATTCAGCATGTGGGTCAGTAATGACTGGAATGCTCTTTCACACCTGTGTATCATCAGCCAGTTGAATAGTTAAAAACTAGGCTTGATATGCACTGGAATGACATCATGTATGACATTCCACACTGAACATATCCATACTTTGAGACTGATTGGTTACCAGACCAGTGGCCAGATGACATCAGAACTGACAGGCCCAGTGGGCTTTTAAATTGCTGATCACCATAACATGAGGTAAGGTAAAATAATTATGAAAGTCTGAGTGAAGCATGACAAATTATGGCTTTGTACTTATTTGGAAATATCCCTGCAGCAAAAATTATGAGCTAATAGCCTGTAACATAATGAATGTTTAAAAGAACAAAACTCTTTCAGCTCTGCAGGACACCATATGTATTGTACAACCAGTAAAAGCAAGCAGATATCCCACTTCAGTCAAGCAAACTGCAAATTATTCCCCTCCTTGGTATGTTCTATTTCTTGGCCCTGTTGGTGAAGGTACCAACACTTTCCTAAAAGGGGGTACTCTTTCCAAAAATAGGTAAAGAAAATGACACCCCCATTTTCCACATATTTGGCACAGTTTGCACATTTATGGAGACATCTGAGCATTAACTTGGACATTTCATACATTAACTGAATAATTTCCACACCTTGCTGTTTTAGCTGCCTGAATCAGTGCCTTGATTTGCAAAATTTTCTGCTGAACACACAGCATCCATCACACAATATAAAATATATTTGACAATTTAGTATTAGCAGAAATAAACCAGAAAGGTTAAGCATCTCAGGTATTTCATAATCTTAAGATAGGTGGTGCTTTTCAATTCAACCAGTGCATTCTCAGTGGCTTAAAACTGCATCCTCGCAACACATGGCTTTGCCATTTTAACTGTTTGCGGTGATGGCTTACTGAATTGCATATCACTATTGGACTTGGATGACTGTTATTGGGATGACCATTATTGAAAACATTATCACAAAGATGAAGCTCCAGGATGCAAAAATCCAAAACCATGAGCTGAATGCTCATGCAGCACCAGTGCACAATCCCTCACACTCATAGGGGTCAAGTTCAAGCTGGGCCAAATTGAGCAAAATGTTGACCATTTTTTAGAAAAATATTTTCAGGGTAACTTCACTCAACTGTCTTTGCAATGTTAAAATGCATTGCAACATTGGCTCACTATGTGCTGTAACTGGTGTGGATTGCATGTCAAACTATGAATGCTCAGATTTGTTAAGCATGATATGCGTGCTGAAGTTGCTACAGCAATCGTATTTTTTTTGCAGTCCGGCTACAGCTTGCCTAACTGGCCTGTTACAGTCAGGCGCGACGACCCTAGAGCCTGATAGGCACAGGCACCGAGAACGCACAAGTGAAAGGATTCCCGGTCTTCAGCTCAAGGAACTTACCTCCTTCTGGTGTGACAGTACGGTGCAAAGAGATAACGTTTTAATAATAAATCCGCATACACGTGGACACCTTTATACAGCCTTGGTGAACTCTGCCATTGACCGCAGCAAACAACTCGTCCCTCCGTGCCACACAGCCTCCCCGCCAGCATTTACTGCAAGTTGAAAAGCGTTGACACCGACGATTCTGGCGCAATAGCGGCTAAAACTTTGTGTTCGATACTTGAATCAACCAACATATTGTGATGACCTAGCCAATAGCAAATGTAATTATTTGCAATGCAGATTCTTTACCAATCATAGCATCAACCCTAAGTTAAATTTGACTTATAGGTTCCGTGAAGAACTCTCTCGAATTGCTTGGAACGGTATGCACCCGGGAACGTGCCGCTCATGCTCGCGTCGTTGTGTCTATGCATGGGGCATTTTGGGATGCGGCTTTATCACGGTACTATCACACAGTACAGTATCACAGCACTATCATACCTTCACAGTGTGATAGTTTTTGGATGAAAAGGCAGGACGCTGGGAACACGCAAGGTGCGTATAAGGCCCTTTACCTGGCGACCTACCCAAGGGGTGTACCTTGGACTGGACTGAGCGGGAGTCACTGGGGACCATAGGCAGGTTATTTGGTGATATTTTCCTCTTGACTTACACCAGTTGTTTCTGTGCTGTGACCTTCATTGCGTGGTGTAGGCAGGAATATTGCGCTCCCATTTCACATCTTATAGTGCAGATGGTCATCACACAAGAATGAATGTACTCTTAAAGGAATTGTGTCTACCTACCAGTCTGCAAAAAATCCACTGTGCTGGGCATACATAGGACATTGCTGTGTTGAACATGAGCTGCATGCTCATGGGTCATGTATGTTAAATGCAAGCAAGGCATCATTGTGCCAAATTTTCACAGTATTGTGTAAAACATGTTTTTTGAGCATTTTTTCTCAAAGCTGCCTGTGCAATGTCATAATTCCCTAGAACATTGGCTCTCTGTGGACTGAAATTGGTGACAGCCATGCACAGAAGCATGAGTGCTCGAGAGCTTGAATGTAGATATATATGTTCTGAAATTGCTGTGATATCTCAACTATGTGGGACATGTTCAGTGTAATATGTATTATTTACTGGTCTGTTCTGCCTGTTTTGTTTGCCTAAAATGGGTATGCTCTACTAGCATTTGACTCCAACTTAACTAGTCTAATCATTTTTGTGTTTTGTCCTTTGCTATAATTATTCAGACAAATGCTGCCCTGACAAGTATACCCACATGACAGTGGCATTTTTAGGGGTCAGCATAAAGGCCAGAGGTAGGCAGAATTATTATGGAGCAAAGTGGAAATGCATGGGATAAATAGGTAATGTTTTACTTTAGTACCTTTATAGCCGACTGAGGGAAGAGCTACGCTGGGCATTAGCTGATATTGTGAAGTCACTGAAAGTGGTTTTGCATCGATCGGGGTAGGGGTTCTTTTGGGCCGACTGAAGGCCGTAAAGTGACTTTTGTGACTTTTGCTGGTGATGTGTCACTGGTATTCGGCTGGGTATGTGACATCACTGTTAGGGAGTTTTTAAGGCTCTTTTGGGTCCACTGAATGCCGTAAGGCATCAGCTGGCGATGTGTCGTCACTGGTATTCGATTAAACATCAGGGGCGACTGGCCTCGTTCCATCTTTACTTTTTGCACCTGTCTGCTGCAAGCATTTGCGTGCCACATAAAGGTTTGACCGAATCACCTGAATGTGTGATGACACGAATTATCACTTGATACGAGTGCACTTAGCCCCACGGCCACGGTGTGTTATGGTCCTCGAAGTGTCACCGGATAGCGTGACATCGCTGGTATTCGAATAAATACTGGGCGCAACAGGCCGTGCTTCATTTTTACCTTTGTACCCATCTACTGCAAGCATTGGCGCGCTGGATGATAGCTGCCGAACCACCTGAGTGTGTGACGTCGCTGGTCATGAGTTTCACCGGTGCTTTTGGGCCAACTGACGGCCACAAGGTGTCAGATAACAACGTCACTGCTATACGACTCATTGTAAGACGTCAATGGTCGTGGGTTTTCACGGGCCCTTCAGGACCGACGAAAAGCCATAAGGCATCAGCTGGCGATATGACGTCACTGGTATTCGGCTGAACATCAGGCAACAGCCATGCTCCATCTATACCTTTCGTACATGTCTTCTGCAAGTATTGGCGGATTTTTTTGCGGCCAACTGAAGACCATAGAGCATCAGCTAACGATGCGACGTCACTGGCATTCGACTGTGCGTGATGCCACTGGTCATAAGATTTTACGGCCTCTTTTGGGCCGACGAAAGGTTATACGGCATTAACTGATGATGTGACGTCACTGGTGTTCGAATAAACTTCAGGCGCGACAGGCCATGTTCCACCTTTGCCTTTGGCACCTGTCCGTGGCAAGTATTGCCGTGCTGAAGGAAGGGTCTGCTGAATTACCTGAGTGTGTAACGTCACTGACCATTAATTTGTTTACTCTTTTGAGCCCACTATAGGCCACAAGACATCAGGTGACGATATGATGTCGCTGGGTTTTGACTAGACATCATGCGCAACAGGCAATGCTCTAAATTTACTTTTCATGCCTGTGTACTGCAAACATTCGAGTGCTACTCCAAGGTGATGCTGAATCATCTCAGTGTGTGACGTCACTGGTCATGAGTTTAGACTGGTTCACCTGGGCCGCCCAAGACCACAAAGCATCATATCCCCTGGAGTATCACGGGAAGATATCACATCACTGGTATTCGACTTAACATCAAGCGCAACAGGTCATGTTCCATCTTTACCTTCGGTACCTGTCTCTTGGAAGCATTGGCGTGCTGAATGAAGGCTCTGTCGAATCTCCTGAGTGTGCAACGTTACTGGTCAAGTGCTTTTCACGGGATCTTCTGTACCCCCTATACGATATAATGATCAGCTAACGATATGACGTCACTGGCGTTCGACTTAACATCAGGCGCAACAGGTCATGTTCCATCTTTGCCTTTCGTACCTGTAAAACTATTGGCGAGTTCAATGATGGCTCTGTCCAATCACCTGAGTGTGCGACATCTTGGGTTTTTACAGGTTATTTTTGGCTGAGTGAAAGCCATAAAGCATCAGCTAACGACATGTCACTGGTAGTCCACTGACTATGTGACGTCACTGGCCATGAGTTTTACGGGCCTTTTTGGACCGACTTTACGCCATCAGGCAGCAGATAACAATATGACGTCAATGGTATTCAACTAAAATCAGATGTAATAAGCCATGTTTCGTCTGTACCTTTCGCACCTATCTACTGCAAGTATTCGCGCGACATATAAAGGCTCTGCCGAATTACCTGAGCGTATGGTGTAACTAGTTATGAGTTAACGCGGGTTTACTCGGGCTGACTGAAGGACACAAAGCATCAGCTGACGATATGACGTCACTGACATTCGACTAAACTCCAGGCGCGACGCGCCATGTTCCATCTTTACCTTTCGTACCTGTCTGTTGCCAGCATTGGCGTGCTGAATGGAGGCTCCGTCGAGTCTCCTGAGTGTGTAACGTCACTGGTCAAGAGTTTTTACGGACTCATTTCAAGCCCCTATGCGGCATAATGCATCAGCTGACGATATGACGTCACTGGTGTCCGACTTAACATCAGGCGCAACAGGCCGTGTTCTATCTTTACGTTTCGTACCTGTGTCTTACAAGTATTGACGTGCTGAATGAAGGCGCTGTCGAGTCTTCTGACTGTGGGTGAATACTCAGGTGAATCGGCAAAACCTTCATATAGCACGTGATGCTTGCAGTAGCCAGGTACGAAAAGTAAAGATGGAACATGACCTGTTGCGCCTGAGGTTAAGTCAAATGCCAGTGACGTCATATCGTCAGCTGGTGTCTTTTACCCTATGGGATGTTCAAAACAGCCCGTAAAAACTCATGACCAATGACGTTGTACACTCAAGAGACTTCACAGAGTCTTCCTTCAACACGCCAATGCTTACAATAGACAGGTACGAAAGGTAAAGACGAACATGGCCTGCCACGCCTGGTGTTTAGTTGAATGCCAGTGACGTCACATCGTCAGATGATGCTTGATGTCCTTCAATCAGCCCGAGTAAACCCGTGTTAACTGATGACCAGTCGCATCACACGCTCAGGTGATTGGGCAGAGCCTTTATGTGGCGCGCGACTGCTTGCAGTAGATAGGTGCGAAAGGCAAAGATGAAACATGGCTTATTGCACCTGATGCTTAATTGAATACCAGTGACATCATATCGCTATATGATGCCTAATGGTCTTAGGCCGGCCCAAAAAGGCCCGTAAAAACTCATGACCAGTGACCTCACACATTCGGTGGATTACCAGTGACGGCATAGTGTTAGCTGATGCCTTTTGGCTTTCACTCAGCCAAAATAGCCTGTAAAAACTCATGACCACACACTCAGGTGTTTCGGCAGAGAAATCATTCAGCTCACCAATTGTTTAACAGGCGCGAAAGGCAACGATGGAACATGACCTGCTGCGCCCAATGTTAAGTAGAACACCAGTGACTTCGTATCGTCAGCTGATGCATTATACCATATAGCGGGTTGAAAAAGCCATAACAATTGTTAACCAGTGACGTTACACACTCAGGAAATTTGACAGAGTCTTCATTCAGCACGCCAACGCTTGTAAAAGACAGGTACGAAAGGTAATGATGTTACATGGAACGTTGCGCTTGATGTTGAATGAAATACCAGTGACGTCATATCATCCCGTGATGCTTCACGGGATATGATGTTTTGTCACATTGGGCGGCCCAAGTGCACCTGTCTAACTCATGACCGGTGACGTCACACACTCAGATGGTTCAGCATCGCCTTGATATGGCACGCGAATGCTTGCAGTAGACAGGTACGAAAAGTAAAGACAGAACATGGCATGTTACGCATGATGTCTAGTCGAAAACCAGTGACGTCGTATGGTCAGCTGATGTGGTATGGCCTAAAGTGGGTTCAAAACAGTCTATACAAATTCATGGTCAGTGACGTTACACACTGAGGTAATTCGGCAGAGCCTTCCTTCAGCATGCCAATCCTCGCAATGGACAGGTGCCAAAGGTAAAGGTGAGCATGACCTGTCGCGCCTGACGTTTATTCGAACACCAGTGGCGTCACATCGTCAGTTAATGCCGCATGACCTTTCGTCGGCCAAAAAGGGGCCGTCCAATCTCATGACCAGTGACATCACACAGTCGAATGCCAGTGACGCCACATGGTTAGCTTATGCTTTATGGCCTTCAGTTGGCCCAAAAAAATCCATAAAAACTCATGACCAGTGCCGTCACACATACACAGGTCATTCGGCAGAGACTCCCTTCAGCACGCCAATGCTTGCAGCAGGCAGGTACGAAAGGTATAGATGAAGCATGGCCTGCTGCCTGATGTCCAGCCAAATACCCGTAACGTCATATCGTCAGCTGATGCCTTACGGCATTCGGCCGGTCCAAAAGAGCCCGTGAAAACCCACGACCATTGACGTCACACAATCAGTCGTATAGCAGTAACGTCCTTAGCTGATGCCATGTGGTCTTCAATGGGCCCAACAACACCGGTGAAACTCATGACCAGTGACGTCACACACTCAGGCTATTTGGCAGCTTTCGTTCAGCACGCCAAAGCTTGCAGTAGACAGGTACGAAGGTAAAAATGAAGCATGGCCTGCTGCGATCAATATTTAGTCGAATATCGGTAACGTCACGCTATCCGATGGTACTTCACGGAACATGATACACCGTGGCCGTGGGGCCTAAGTGCACTCGTATCAAGTGATAACTAGTGACATCACACATTCAGGTGATTCGGTCAAACCTTTATTCGGCGCAAAAATGCTTGCAGCAGACAGGTGCGAAAGGTAAAGATGGAATGAGGCCTGTTGCGCCTGATGTTAAATCGAATACCAGTGACGGCATATCGTCAGGTGATGCCCTACGGCATTCATTTGACCCGAAAGAGCCATAAAACCTCGCGACCAGTGACGTCATGTACCCAGTCGAATACCAGTGACAGCATATCGCCAGTGAATGCCTTATGGCCTTCATTCGGCGCAAAAGAACCTTGGTCGATGCAAAGCCGTTTTCAGTGACGTCACAATGTCAGCTGACGCCTCGCAGCATTTCCCCGGTACGACAGTACACGAACCCTGCATCCAGCGTAGCTCTTCCCTCCGCCGGCCGGACAGGTACCAAAGTAAAAAAAAGCCCATGAATGAACACTAAATATATGATAAGAGTACTTTTGTACTGCTTTCCATAAAACAAGGTTAACACTTTAAAGCCAAGGTGATTCTTTTGTTTTGAGTAAATGTAAGAGTTCTAGTGCTTGTGGGAAGGCGATGGTTTGAAACTGATTCAGTATTTAACTGAACTTTATTTGTATCATTTGACCCGCACCTCGCAGTGTTCAGCTTAGGTAAAATTTAGTTTGGATAAACTTGCATCCAACTGTTTTCTTTGCTTATTATTTCATAAGTAAATATCTGTGACAATTTTTCTACTTACTTCAAGTTCTTGCACCAAGCTGCATCTATGTATATTGGAGTGGGTAGGTTAGCAATCACACCACTTTGCAATATCCACTCATGATGTTTTTGCATGTTGTGAAGCAGAAACGCCTGACAGGATGCATTTGGTTGGGATGGATGCACTTGAGCTGCACCTTTGCATTTCTTCAGACAGAGGTCACCCACAGCCCAACTCTCATCTGTTACTGACTCACTTTACCATCCAAAGGCAAAAAGGCCTATGTGCAATCAGGTGAAATAGCACTTTGGCTTTTTGCCTTTGGATCACAGCAATGAGCTTACCATTTGACAACATTTCGTGAGAAGCCAAATCTCTACTGCCCAAATGTTCTGAACCCAAGTCTCAGCTGCCCAAATGTTCTCAACTCAAGTCTCAACTGCCCAAATGTTCTCAACCCAAGTCTCAGCTGCACCATCTTTCAGTGCTGCACAGCAGGCATTTGCTGGCTGGTGGCCAGCCCACGCTCCTCCCATGCTGCCTGGCCACTGGATGCTGTCCGGCGTGCTGGTGCTGCTCGCGCCAGTCGTCTCCTTTAGCCTGGACCCGCTGTCCGTGGGCGCGTCGGTCGGCTTCATATACGGCTTGACGTATGTCTGGGACGCCGTGCGCGACGCGCCCTTCGTGCGCCGGGTGGCCGAGACAAGGGCTGCTCGCGCCATCGACTGTGCCGTGCGCGAGTGCTGCGCCGCGCCGTACGTGATAAACGACATGCAGGCGCTGCGAGCCAACCTCAGCACGCACCTGCACGGCCAGCACCTGGTCGGCGCGCTACTGCCCAAGGTCATCGGCAACCACATGGCCGGCGGGCACGCGCGCAAGCCCCTGGTGATCAGTATGCATGGCACGACCGGCGTCGGCAAGAACTACGTCAGTCAGCTGGTGGCCGACAGCCTGTTCAAGAACGGCATGCAAAGCCGGTTCGTGCATCTGTTCGTCGGCAGCCTGGACTTTCCGTACTCGGACGAGGCCAGTGTGGAGCGGTACGCCACCAACCTGCGTCAGTGGGTGCTCGGCAACCTCTCCAGCTGCGAGCACAGTCTGTTCATCTTCGACGAGGTGGACAAGATCCCGGCCGGTGTGCTCTCTGGCATCAAGCCGTACCTGGACTTCCACGGGGAGCTGCGCGGCGTGCGCATTTCGCAGGCCATCTTCCTCCTGCTCAGCAACACGGGCGGCAAGGCCGTCAACAAGCTGATGCTGCAGCGCTGGAGCGCCGGCCTACGGCGCGAGGACACCGCCCTGGAGGACTTCCAGACGGTCGTGGCCGAGCGCGCCTTCAGCGAGCTGGGCGGCCTCTATCGCTCGGACATTGTCAGCGCCGCCCTGGTTGATGTCTACCTGCCGTTTCTGCCGCTGGAGCGGCGCCACGTGCGCCTCTGCGTGCTGGACGAGCTGCGCCGCCGCCGCGTGACGCGTGGCATCGCTGAGGCCGTCGAGCACGTGCTGCGCAAGGTGCGGTTCGACAGCGAGCAGCAGCTGTTTGCGAAGAGCGGCTGCAAGGACGTGGCCAACAAGGTGAACTTCGTGGTGGACCATTCCATGTTCGACGAGATATGAGCTGCGGGGCTGGCCGCGGTGGCGTCCGCGGTGGCAGGAACGCATTGCCTTGTATCGCGTGGTGGCAGTGCGCCGAAGCAAGTCCAGTGGTGATGGTTGACTACGAGCCTTACCTTGAGTGGGGCTCATAGCCTTGTCTACCGTGAGTGGTCGTGTGTACGTTACGGACACGTGAGCATTTGCAGGCATATGAGGTTGATGAATTGTGTGGGAAGTTCGGCAGTCTGGGTACCTACACTCGCCGAACCTTAATAGTGGTATCTGGTCATTGATATCGCCTGGCCACAGTGAGGGATTGGCGCTAGTCAGTGACTTGTTAAAAGGTCCTCCTGCCCGGATTCCACGCATGTCTAACCCCCACGCGGTGTCTATCATGCCTATTGGTATTTGTTTTGCTCATCTTGCTCTCTGATGCATCCGAAAGCCTCACTGTCGCTTGGAAGTAGCAGAAAGGCCAGGATTGAATTTTTTATGTTCGTTGTCGCCCGTACCATTCGTTTGTTGTTGCAGTGTCACCCACGCAGGCATGCTCCCGTGTGTGGTTGTGATTTCAATGTCACGTTAGGAGGTAGCTTTTCTATCCCTTCGTTGGGTTTTTGACGATCTTGGTCGACTGTGATACGGCTGCATTACTCAGCGGGAATATACTGAGTTTGGCCATGCCACTGGGTGTCATGCATGATGCAGCTGCTTCTGGCTATCTGAACTGATCACGAGCACGGCCGTCTGTTGACCCGTGATTAAACGCGTTCTATTAGCCGAGATGCAACGGCCGGGCAATACACGGACACTGAGCACGTGCTGTCTGTCTCGCGGCGTGGTTGGGGCGACGGGCCTCCGCAACGTGATGGTGGTGGCGATGGCAGTGCCCCGCCGTTCAAAGTCTGACTATCAGGAGCAATCCACGACCGACGTCCCAGCCCTTGTGGCCTGCCCCGAGAACTGCAACACACACGTGCCGTCCACACCCGTTACACCTGTCACACCGACGCAGAATCACGAGCTCGGCGACCGCCCGCGCCGCAATTATGACGCCGCCGGTCCCACCAGGCCGTCACTGGCGCTGGCGTCACTGGCGTCACTGGCGTCACTGGCGCGCCGACGGACGTACGCCATCCGCGGGCGGGTCACCGGGTGAGGCGGGACGGCCGAGTCGGCTACGGTGGCGCCGCCCCGGCGACTCTTGGACCTGAGCGGAGCGTCGTGCCGGCAGGTCCGCCTACGCGCCATGGCCGCGCTCAGCTGGGCCCAGTTCCGCTCCGGCTGCGACGCCCTGCTGAGCCGCTCCGGCCGGCTGGGCGACGGCTGGCAGCGACGCGGCGTATGGGACGCCGACGGCGCTGGCTACCTGGCGAGGACGGCGCCCGTGCCAGCGCCGACCTCCGCTGCGTCCCCCGCCGGCGCGAGCGGCGAGGACCGCGGGCAGCCGGCGCTCGCTGACGCCGAGGAAGAAGACTGTGCAGAGACGCCCGACGCCGATGGGGAGGAGTGCTGCGCGCGCCCGACCAGCCGTCGTCTGGGTGCTGGAGCACCACGTGGCCTACAGCGTCTCGTACCAGGTGCCGCTGCTGCTGTTCGGCGGTCGCGAGCTGTCGGGACGGCCGCTCTCACTGGAGCAGCTGTGGGCGCTGGTACCCGCGGTGTACGGCGCGCGCATGGCGACGGACCGCTGGAGCACTGTCTCGCAGCTGGAGCACCCGGTGCTGCAGCGGCCCTGGTTCGCCGTCCACCCGTGCAACACCAGTCGGCTGATGGAGCGGGCGTTGGCGACCGGCGGCCGGCAGACGTGCAGGGCCGAGGTTGGGGCGATCAGCAGTGACGCAGCCCAGGACGAGTGGGCCTACCAGTACCTGCTGCTCTGGCTAAGCACGTTCGGCCCTCTCAGTGGCCTGCGGGTGTCCGAAGCGTATGCGACCGAGTGCTGACTGCTTCAGACCGTGGGGGATGAAGTGTGGGAAGATCAGTGCTCCGAACTAAGCGTCATTTTCTCTCCCTGCGGTTGAACTAGATGTTGACATAGCTACAACCCCGTGCCATGCCGCGCAGTGGCTACTCCTTTCGTGCCAGCCTGGCGTTGCCCATTGTTAGCGGTGTGATATACGGTTGTGTGTTAATGAACGCGATCCCGGACAGCTCTCTTGTCTGTACTTGCGTTGTGCTGGGATGTTTCAGATCATGGCCCGAATTGAAAAGCATCTAGTGACCGAATTAAAATAGCATTTGAAACGATGGAAGACCAAGGCTAACAAAATCACGCGACAAGATTTATTTGTGCATACTCCCGTTACATTCCAGTCATTTACGAATGCTATGGTTTTGCTGATAAAGCGTTTAATGAGGTATTGAATGACTGAAGATTCATGCGGCCAGTACCGACATACGTCATGGCTTGAAGCCAGTTTTAGAAAGCAGTGCTTTTGCTGAAATATCGTACAGATTAGTCGGAATCGGGTGAATGACAAACCAGTCATAGGATTGACAACGGCTCATTATCTGCAAGTCGGATACACATGTACGGGATGGGCAGTAAACGTGAGTACTGTGAAACATCTTACGAATGGGTGGTGCATACCACTGTCATAAAATGTCCGGCCTACATGCCCGTAATCATGCGGTATTTTGCAGGTGTCCTCATGGGGTGCTTAGTATTACCGCCACTAGTCTTATTAATATGCCGAAGTAGTAGCATTGTGCAGGGCGAATCGATAGCAACGACATTGTTAACGTGATCCGTCTCGCCAATACCACTATCAACGTTTGGTGCGGCCGATCGGTGACAACGATATTAGGCGCGCGGCCTAACTGCACCCAACCGACGTCGGGTATCTAGTCTGCCTTCAGCAGCGCCAGTAAACAGGTGTTAGCCTCCGCGCCCGATGTGGCCTGAAGGTGCCACACGTCTGTGTCAGGTGCGCCGGGGTCGAGGAGCGGCCCGTCGTCGTCGCTGATGCTGCAGCAGCACCTCGTGCACCACTACCGACACCTGCAGAACGCCCGACCTGTCATCGACTCCGGCCAGGTCACCAGGCAAAAGGTCAGCTGCGACGGGGTCTGGAAGGATCCTCAATGGCGATAGGCCCGTGCGGACCGTTTTCTAGAGTCGTGATGGGTTTATTAGCCTTGGCTCATTTCCTCAACGCCCGAGGCACATTTTAGGCAATTGTTTGATAAAAATATGCTCATCTATTTGGAGATGACGTTAAGGATTTGTCGATATTTCTTAACTTACATTTTTTACAACGCGACGCGCAATTGACGCGGTGTCAGCGCGAGCGTAAACAACTGCCGCAATATTGACCCTGCGCCGGCAAGCAGCTGCGAGCGCTCTGTCGCTGTATGTGTGCCACATCTCTACAGAGCGTGCGACAGCGACCGTGGCGCCACCTACAGCTGTCGGGCAGCCAGTGTCCGCCCAGCTCCGGATCCACCGCCAGTCTTCAGCTAATAGACCGCATACTGAACGACAAACACATGCCGCCCCAGTACTACACCGGCCAGCTGATGGATCGAAGTGACAAGGTCACTGGGATGGATGTCACTAATTAAGTGACAAGGTCACTGGAGTGGATGTCACTAATTAAGCATTCTCTTCGGTTACGACAAAGAACCTTTTAAACGTGTTTGCAGGTGAAGTCTGTCAAGCAATGTCATGATCTGAACCACCTCGAAATGTAACCCTACTGCACAGTAGAGCATTCATAAACAAATCATGAATCATTGACGCATTACACCGACCGAACATTCATGATTTCCATAAGTGGGTCATTGGTCGGACCCGGTTATATTCCTGGCAGCGAGTGGTGTTTCGGCGGAATGAAACTTGCAGCACGGCGACGTCCAAGTTGTGTGGCCAGCCATGTGCATAACGTTAGCAAATTATGTCACTGGCTGTGCGCATTCGCAGCTCTTCGTGTGGTTTTCAGAGCTCGGAGACACTGGATGGTCTTCACGAGCTGCACGCCCCGCTGAAGCTGGAGCCGACCGACATGCCGCCGGACGAGACGTCCATCCTAGAGAGAATCGACAGGTGAACCGCTGATAGCGTGCTGGGAGGCGATTCGGCAGAAGCAAATGCAGACAACGCTGCGTGTTTGTTCGGTTTTGTCTTGTGGGTTTGACTGGTTGCGAGACTGAAATGTTGATACTGATACTACCACTTACCATTGTAATCTTGATATCCGTGTGGCATGTTACGTGCAAAATTGGTTGGTTGGTTTCCATTCCTGTAGTTCTCTGCCTCACGTTTGGCATCGGCTGGCTCAGTTTCCCACTCCTGCGCCACGGTACTTTTTTACCTGTGTTGCCCATGTTCCCAATGTTACCATACCCGCCGGCCCAGTAAGCCATGCCGCCCGCGTTACTCCAGCTACCTACTGGCGATGCGGGCCGAGGAGCGGCGCCAGGCCTGTCGGCGTCGCTTCAACCTTGCCAGCCCCGGCCGGGTCCGGCCCGGCGGTCAGCAGTGTCGGCCACTCCGAGCGAGCCCGATCAAGCGGCGCCCCCCGGCGGCCGCCAGACGACCGCTGCGACCTCAGGCGAGCCCCAGGGTCACACAGGGGACGCGGCCTGGGCGCGGCTTGGCCGACCGCGCCGCTCAGTGGTGTGTATGGGTGGGGTGGGGGGGATTGGGGTGACTTTGGGTTCGTACGTTTGTACGACCGTGATGGGGCTGCCATGCCAGGGGTGTGCCAGTTCCACTGGTGTTTTTTTCCAATTCACAAATGGCCTAGCACACTGACACAACGTCAGATCAATATGTGAGCCATTCCCGAACTCTTAACAAATATTCTGCCCGAAACGATGCGTTTCACTCTGCCGCATAGCACCTCTGTTCATTTCGCACCACTGACGTCACCCTGGCTGCCTTTGACGTCAGGTCCCGGCCCGGGTGTGCGCCAGCCCGCGCGCCCAGTACCTGCGCGGCGGGCTGGCCGGCGGCGGCTCCAGCTCGGGTCGGCCGGACCTCGGCGACGTCTCCGTCAGCAGTTCGTGCCGCTTCAGTATCGAGCATCAGGCCGCACGAGCAGAGCCTCTACGGCCGGCACAGCGACCAACGCGACAGACTGGTAATTACTCGGCGCAGATGACCCGTGGTGCTCGGGCGGAGGCGTCGTCGTGAAACACTCAAACAACGTTCAAGCACGGGCCGTTTAAGGCCGCAGTCGTTCTCTCTCTCTCTCTCTCTCTCTCTCTCTCTCTCTCTCTCTCTCTCTCTCTCTCTCTCTCTCTCTCTCTCTCTCTCTCCTCTCTCTCTCTCTCTCTCTCTTCTCTCTCTCTCTCTCTCTCTCTCTCTCTCTCTCTCTCTCTCTTCTCTCTCTCCTCTCTCTCTTATCTCTCTCTCTCTCTCTCTCTCTCTCTCTCTCTCTCTCTCTCTCTCTCTCTCTCTCTCTCTCTCTCTCTCTCTCTCTCTCTCTCTCTCTATCTCTCTCTCTCTCTACTTCTCTCTCTCTCTCTCTCTCTCTCTCCTCTCTCTCTCTCTCTCTCTCTCTCTCTATCTCCTCTCTCTCTTCCTCTCTTCTCTCTCTCTCTCTCTCTCTCTCGCTCTCTCTCTCTCTCTCTCTCTCTCTCTCTCTCTCTCTCTCTCTCTCTCTCTCTCTCTCTCTCTCTCTCTCTCTCTCTCTCTCTCTCTCTCAGGGCTTTCTCTCTCTCGCGAAATGCGTGATATGGTTCATTCGCATGCTCATGTGCTCACCGAGAGTTGTCATCTTGTCTGGTGTGGCCAACAGGACGCGATGAGTGCCAGAGTGCCCCCTCTCCCCATATCTCCGGACTCGGATCACAGGCGCTGGACACGGGAGCGCGGCGTCCCCGGCCTCGGCGGCCGCCGCACCGGTCACACACTGAAACCCGACGGTGAGCAGGCGTTGGCTCAGCCGGAGGCATCACGTTATGATGAGCAGTGCTAGATCTTGTAACATTACGCGCTCTGTGAGACCAGTCACATGTTTGCTCCCATCGCGTTGCGTTTGAAACCACTTGATTGACCCGATCAGTAACGATACATTAGTAATGCTTCAACGATCTGTTGTTGATTAGCTAACGGTTTTTCCTTTGGAGGTTGCATGTTTTTACTAGTAGGCGCTAGCATAAAGATGAGTTGTTAGCCAGACGCTTGGACTTTAAACAAAGATCAGATCTCTAATTTCTACTCAACCTCCGTGCGCTTATTTTGGGGCTCCACTCAGGTGTTGGATGCTACTGATATGAACTCGCGACTGCTGCCGCCGTGTCTGGTCACGCCTCCGTTGTCTGGTCACGCCCACAGTGTCTGGCCACGCCCACCCACAGTGTCTGGTCACGCTTCCAGTGTCTGGTCACAACCTCCGTGTCTTGTCAGGCTCTCCGTGTCTGATCACGCCCTCCTTGTCTTGTCACGCCCCTTCATGTCTTATCACGCCCTCCTTGCCTGGCCACACCTCCGATGTCTGGTTACGCCCTCCACGTTTGGTCCCGCCCTCCGTGTGTGGTTCCGCCCTCCGTGTCCGTTGACCACGCCCCGCTCCGGCGCACTCAGACCGCCCGTCCAGCAAGGAGAGCGTGTACTGCAGCGGCCCGAGCTGGAGCAGCGGCGGCCCCTCGCCCGAGCGGTCGGCGGCGCCGGCGTCGGACCGGGCCGCCGACGCCGACCGCCGTTGGCCGGCCGGCAGTGGACGGCGCGCCACCGTGAGGTGTGTGGCCGACGCTCGGTGGCCTGTCGCCTGAGGAGGGCGCTGGTGCTGGAAGACAGGCTGCCGCCGCGGGATGCACTGGTGGTGAAACAACTGCAATCGGGGACCTTTGCCGACTGGTTTGTTTGTTATTTGGGTTTCAGAATGGCGAAAGAACCGGTTGTGGAGTGTTACAGCCCTGTGCGCTTCTTAATGTCACTCTTCTACAATGGTCTTCTATTGCAGCCCATTCTGGCTTTTGTTGAGAACTGCAAGCCATCAAACAACAATACAACAGTGCGGGACCTTGCAACTGCATCATGGAACCAGCCCCGCTCGGTAGACACCTTGTTCCGCGAGCCGGCTCATGTCGCACTGTTGCCTGGTCCAGAGCCGTTCGCTCCTCTCGGTCAGGTGCAGCACAGATGACGCGTACGTACAGTTTTTGAATGAGGTGACGTCGGACATACTGACACGAGGTGTCTTCACCAACCGCACGCTCAAGCGGATCATGATGTCGCACGTGGAACGGCAACGTGGCCAGCTCGATGAGGTAAGTGATACGCTAATCGTGTGCCCTGGAGACGATTTATAGTGCGCCCAGTAGCCAAACATGGCATTCTAGTGCGCCCAGTGACCAAACGTGGCATTGTAGTGCGCCCGGTAACCAAACATGACATTATGGTGCATATCCTGCGCGCACCAACGTTCCACTGGTTATATTCGATGCTGCTACCTTGCTTACTCCGTTATCAACGTAAGTCTTATGTCGAACTTATCACAGCTTCCGTTGTTTTGTATCATAATCACGTTGATTTGATTTGGGTCATAATCTGCATTGCGTTACTCACCTGAATTATGTTAAAGCGGTAAGACAATTCACTGCGTTTCTCAAGTGGTCTAGACCCGTCTGTTTCTCCCCGACACCGGCGGGGTGTCCTGACCTGCGGCCGGCGTGCGCTGACCCCTCGTGACCTCTGGGAGCCTCAGCTTCCGATGCGCCGACCCGCCCGGCCGCCGCTGACGGCGCCGCCGGCCGGCAGGGCCGCATGTTGTCGGAGCTGGAGCGCCTGCGGCAGGAGCTGGGCGTGCCGGCCGAGCCAGAGCTGGACGATGCCGAGTTCGGGTACGGCTCGAGCCGCGAGATGACGCCGCACTCGCGCGCCTCGAGCGTCCGATCGACCGCCTCGGCGCCGGCCACCGCCCCACCTTCGCTGCGCAACGCGCCGCCGTTCGCGAGCAGCGAGCCGCCGTCAACGGAGCAGAGCGAGCAGGCACACGGCGGTGCCGAGGGCGCGCCACAGGGGCCGGCGGCCGTCCGCGCGGCCAGCGTGTCCCGCCTGCTGGCAGAGCTCAGTCTGGACGAGAGCATCACGCGCACCATCCTGCGCTGCTGCGGCGACGGCGCCGAGCCGGCGCACGACCTGTCGGTCAGCTCCACAGAGCTGCGCGGCTGCCTGGCCGGGGAGCAGCTGCCGCCCAGCGTCACGTGACGGCCAGGGGATGGTACCGGTGGGAAGTGACGTGGCATCGGAGGCTGCTGACAGTCGGCTGTTTTTCAGGGAGTCGCCCTCTGGCACGGCGGTCTTGTGTTTTTGTGTAAGGACAACGGCGAGCTCAGTGTCGAGGGCACGCCTGCCAATGGATCACTGCTGTTAAGAAATCTATGGAGGAACGTTATATTGTGCCGTTGTCATAAACAGCGTCATGCAGTGCCCTGTCCGAACACTGAGTGTTGGGACTCCTACAGAGTGCCCTGTTCGGGCCTCTATAGTGCCCTGTCCGGACCTCTATAGCGCCCTGTTCAGACCTCTATAGTACCCTGTTCGGACCTTTATAGTGCCCTGTTTGGACACTGCACACGCGATGGCTTCTGAAATAGCTGTTTGGCAAATATTTTGATCGTGAACAGAGCACATTATGCTCAGTTCTTGTAAGCACACCCCTTTTGGAAGCATTACGACCATCCTACCCTCCCCCCCCCCAAAAAAAAACACCTGGATCGAAAAACCAGGCCATTCAGTCTAAATATTGTTTTCATTTGAAATCGCTGCTTGTGCATGTAGTGAGACGAGTCAGCGAAGAGTGTGGAAGAGTAAAGCTTCCTGCAGAGCGACACCACCAGCCCCTCGTCCATATTGCAACCAGCCTCGACACATTCATTAGAAACATTTAAAACAACCGACACTTTCAGTTTGTTTATTTCACACAGCTAGCGCGAGAAAAGCAGCGCCGAAACCATCTGCATTAAGTATGTAGTGAGCAAATAGATCCGATACCCCGTCGATCTCTAGCATTTTCGCGGACGTCAACAATCCCTGCCAGTGGGTGTCGTCATTCGACTGTTTGTACTTCATAGAAAGTGTATTTTCCTAGCAAGGACCTGCTTCTTTGAGAACAAAAAAACAAAAAGCTACGGGAAGCAAGCGGCCTGGACAGAAATTGGAAAGTTCAAGGCGACGCTGCTGAGAACGTTCTCGGGACTAACAAAAACACTACTAAGGCCACGACGATCGGGCTAGCCATATCAAAACCACCCTCTCTGAAGTACAAAAGTACAAACAACGCTACCGTACGCATGACTAGAAAGACGCAGCTGAAGGCACGTTTGCCAGCGGCGCTCTCGCTGGGCGCACGCTGGCGGGGTTACTCGAGACTAGAGGCGCACCGCGGGCCGCAGCGGCGGCCGGTTAGCGGCTGGAGAGAGGCACACAGGGGCCGGGCGGGCGGTCTCCGCCGGCGCCGGCGCTACTTCTTCAGCAGCGCGGCCAGCTCGCGCATGCGGTGCGTGCGGCACACCTTCTCGCCGTCGGCCGCCTTCACCGCCAGCCGCGCCGGCTCGCTCGCCTTGGCCAGGCCCACCAGGAACCCCTCGAACGCCTTGATGACGCTCTCGTCGGCGTAGCCGAAGCGGACGCGGCCGAACATGGTGAGAATCTCTGTCACCCAGCCGCTGTCGAGCACGAACTCCACCAGCCAGTCGACCTCGCCGGCCAGCTGCGAGAGCACCTGCAGGCCGAGGAACCAGAGCTCCTTCAGGTCGTCCCAGGCGCCGCGGTAGCGCGTAGACACCACCACCGCCTGCTGGTCCATCGAGTCCTCCACGTTGTGCGCGTCCCACAGGAAGCGCACGGCCGCCTGAGCGAAGCGCACCAGCTCGCTCTGGTGCGCGCGCGCGGCGGACGCGTGCCGGTGCAGCAGCAGCAAGCCCAGAACCGTCAGGTTGCTGCGTAGCACCAAGTGAGACGCATCCACGCTGGCCAGCTGCTGCACCACGAAACGCTGCAGGCCGAGGAAGAGCGAGCTCTGCGAGACGCGCTCAGCCTCCATGACGACGATGTTCATCAGGCAGCTGCAGACGGTGATGACGGCCTGCACGGGCTCCTCGGCCGCCTCGTCCTGCTGACCGGGCGGCCGCGGCTGCGAGAGCAGCGGCGCTGCCAGGTCCCAGCTGCCGGCACATGAGGGAGGGGACGACGAACGTCAGCAGACAGTCACGGCGGCGCGAGTGTACAGGAAAGCGCGCTAAGGCACGCAGCGGGCTGTTGGGAACGACGAGAGAAGGCGACAGAGATCGCTTACACTGCATCTTCACATGCCCTTACTGGCATCGATTTAGACTAGGGGTCGCTGCGTTCAGTTCACACGCGCGCTGATTGCGACTAAAAAGGCACACAAGTCGACGGGGAAAGTGGCAAGTTTCAAGGCATGAGCAGAAGCCACGCAGCTACTTAGCACTCATCAACAGACAGTTCTCCGGTCGCACCGCCATCAAACCTAGCCACGAGCACGACCTTACATGGCAAGGGAAGCAGCCGGGCCGGGCCAGGCCGGCGCGGACCCACCGGTAGTGGAAGTACTGCACGAGCGTCTCGTCGGCGTCCAGCATGAGCAGCACGTAGCGGGCGCGGTCGTCGGACGTCAGGTGGCAGAGGGCCGGCAAGAAGAGACGCAGCAGGTCAGGCACGTCGGCCGCCGCCGCCGCCGCCGCCTGCTGCCGGCGCATCTCGAACGTCTGGCCGCACATGCGCAGCAGAAACGGCACCAGCTGCACCACCTCGTCCGGGTACGACGTCTCCTGCCGGCGGCCGAGGGAGCGGTGTCAGCTGCGACGACACGGCCTTCGCGAAGGACGCGGGATCAATGCTGGGATCTGTGCCAACGCATCGGAGGGCACGCATGCCATGCCGCGCTGCGCCACACGTGCCACGGCAGGTTATCAGACACATGACACCCCGGGCCCGGTCGGCCCGGCCCGGCCCCACCGCCAGCCGCGCGACCCACCTCCGCCAGCCAGGCGAGCACGATGCGGATGCAGCTGTAGACGAACATGGTCTGGTGGCGGGTCAGCTCGGCCGCGTCCTCCTTCATGACGCGCGTCAGGAAGCCGATCACCGCGCCGCATGCGCCGCGCATCGCCACGATCACCTGACGGCGGAGGGCAGGTCGGCAGGCCGGACAGACGCCTTTCAGCGGGCCATGACAAAACCAGCAGTCGTGTGCAGGCGTGCCGCGATTATAGTATGAAAGTTCCGCTATCCACTGCAGGTCAATATAGAGAGTGCAATCTTTGAGTTTGCGCAACGCGAACTACTTCAGCAGTCGCCTGTGACTGACAGAATCTTCAACATCCCTACGAGTCGCACAACACGACAGGTCTACGGAAGCCACGCCGCCTTATGTTAACAGTGGCGGGGAACCAGCCACAGCCGCGGCCAATCCCACTGCGGCGGGCGGACGAGACACCCACACCCACGTCAGACCCCCTTCACGTGGTCACCCCAGCTCGCGCCACGCTGTCGCGGCGCCGCCCACCTGCTGTCGCTGTTTGGCGTCAAACTCGAGCGGCGTGTCGCTGATGAGCATCTCGAACATGCGCTCCAGCACGAAGAAGGAGGCCGTCAGGAGCTCGCTGGCCTTGACCGCCTGCGCCAACGACCGGTCCTCCAGGCCCATCCGGATCTGGCAGCAGTGCAGTCACGGGTTAAACACCGGCTGGCGACGCAGAATGCGGGCCAATGTTAAGTCGGCACAGTATGCAGTCAACATGCCATGCAAGTCAGATGCTGAGAGCGCGCGCGCATGTTGAACGCTATAATCAGACCCACTGTACTGAATCAATATAAGGAAAGTTGACTGCGCGGCAATAGGCCATCGGTACCTCATTCCGCTTTTTGGGCGGGGAGGCAATTCTAAGAACTGAGCTAGATATATTAATAACTGGTTAAGTATGTGTCATTTGAGCTTTACAGCGCGCTCAGATGCTTAGACTATATGGCGTCGCCTGCCTGACCCTGGAGGCAGGGGCGGGTACCGCGAGAAAATAACATTTTTATTGCTATGCCTCTATCATCCACGCAAAGGTATGCCGCAAAAGTGACAACAATGGTTTGACGCCACAAGATCGCACTCCGGCTGGCGCGACGTTGCCCACCTCGATACAGAAGAGGTTAGTGTACACCATGACGAGCTGACGCTGCTTGTCGGGCTCCAGCGCCTGATGCCGCACACCCAGCGCCTCCACCATGGCGGCGGCCAGCAGCAGGGCGGGACCGCGCTGCTGGGCCGACAGCCGGCTGGTCAGCACGCCGGCCAGCGTCTCGGTCAGCGGCCGCCGCCACTGGTCGGGCTCGCTCTCGGGCAGCGGCTGCGGTGCCGAGAGCAGCGCCACGCGCAGGTCGCGGCACAGCGCATTGCGCGGCTCGGGCTCCTCCTCCAGCTGCAGGTCCATGGTCAGCGAGGCCAGCAGCCGGTGGAAGAGCTCCGGCTGGCCGGCCCAGACGTCGCTGCGCGCCTCCGCCAGCAGGCGGCGCAGCAGGCGCCAGGCGGCGTCGGCGCCGCAGCGCGTCTCGGCGATCACGTCCACCAGCAGGGCGACGGCGGCCGGCGCGAGGAGCGCGGCGCGGCCGGCCGGCGCGCCCGCCGCCGCCTCCAGACACTGGTAGCCGTCCGAGACCAGGCGCAGCTGCTCCTCGTCGTCGCTCGCCTGGCGGATTGCCTCGCACACCAGCGGCACCGCCTCGGCCATCTGCGGGCTGCCGCTTACGTGCTCGTCCTGCAAGGCGGGCGGCGCTTCAGTCCGGCGGCCGCCCGGGTGGCGTCGCGATACGACACCTACCGGCCACTAGCGGGACAGTTGTTTCGTGCGTGTGCAGGTACATCAGTCTGCAGAATTTGAGAGATGTGAGGTGGATACCTGCATAAGTGACGCGGTAAAGTCGTGTTCACACCCAGCACCACAGCAACACCGCATGGAATTGCGGATACGAAGTGATGGTACGTCGACTACGGGATCCCGACCGAGCACCTCCTCGTCCTTCAATGCGGTGGTGGTAACATACACTAGCAATATAGCATAGCGCACGGAAAACGCCAGCTTCGCCCACCGAAACTGCGCCGCATTGACAAGAGCGGCATGGATCATGAACTTCACTCTCGGCCGGGTCTTATCGGATGTTCCTTGCAAGGTATCGCAAATGTTGGCTCGGTGTCGTTCTTCGCCCAGCTGCGAAAACAACGAGTGCGGAAGGCCTAAACGTTGTCCGTATTCAAGGCCTCCTCTAACGTAGACTACAGCTCTTCAATGACTATTCGGGCCCATCAGCCACACATTTACAATTGTGCGCTATTCCCGTACCGCAGACAACGGGATTCACACAGAGCATTAAACAACGATTGACGTCACTTGCGTTGAATGTCATTGACCCGACGCCAGACATATTAGTGGCAGCCGGCGAACGCCGCTGCCGACCGACCATTCGCAACGGTGAGCAGCAGCCTTGTTAACCAGTCGAAGCGGAGGGCCCGCAGCAATAGCTGCACGGGGATGTGCCGGAAATCGGTTTCGCTTCACCGTAGATGATAATTTCTTTGCATTCTCTTGCATTTTACCTGTATCGCAGTTGCAAAAAGCGGCAAAGCTCACTGGGCGCATACGGTACGTCTGCACTAGTTTAAGACCACCCACACGTCGGAAATACATGGTCCCGAATGTCCTGAACGCCCTCCCTTTCAATCCACATAACTACACGCAAACAGGATGTTTGCCTTGGCCGTTCCCTTGGCGGCTCGAGCGACGTCAAAAGCGCATTAATTAGTTACCGACACGTATGCTGCCGAGGTGAGCCCACTCACTGGGGATATAGTCGGCAGGCTGGCACCTAGCCCGAGTCAGGCCTCCGCCAGACCTATTGAATTACCGGCTGGCCGGACCAGGCCAGCCACCAACGGCCAGGTTTACACCAGCAGCCACGCAGCAGCTAGACAAATCCCAGCATTAAGACAATGGGCCTCCCGTCATTTAGGCCAGCGGAATGGCGAGCATCCGCGAACTGCCAGCCGAGCCGTCCGTTCTCATCGCTGCCGTCAACCTCATCCGGCCGGCGGGAATTCGGCGCTAATGAGTCATGGCAGTATTGGAGCATGATCTATTTTTAGATCGGCGCGGTAGAACATAGGCAGCCGTATGTGGCTACATCCAGACAAGAAGGACCTTGACTTTGCGTAAGATTGGGGTTGTGCGTGCGGCACTAAACCCTCCCGTCGCATCCCAGCCAGTAGCAAAACATAACCCCCGACTCCCGCCGCCGCCTACTCGCAGCCCAGCATGAGGTGCCGCCGCCGCCGCCGCCGCCGGCGCCATGTGTGCGGCCAGGGCGTGCCCGGGCCGGCGCCCGTGCGTGAGAGACGGCCGACTGGCAGCGCCAGGTGGCGCCGCCCTCGGGGCGTTTTGAAACGAAAGACCAACAGGCGGGGCTGATTCAGGTCAATGACCCGGCGGCCGGCTGGCGTGTCTGGTCGGGCTGCTGGCACAGCGATTCTCCCCAGTGAAGGGTGGGCGAGTGTTGCAGGGCGATGGTCCGACTACACAAAACAAGGGCACTCGCTTTTAGAATGTTGTGGACTGTATTGACAGGACGAGGGGACCATGATGACATGGTAATTACCCACCCTATCAACTAGATCACCAACGATACATTATTTTACGTTGCAAATTGTTGCATTGGTGGCAGTGCTGCCGACAGGATGAGCTAGAAGCGATTACTAACCGATCGAAACAGCTGACACAATAAATATTTCAGTCCCAGAAACACATTCGGACACGCATTCACACAGGCCACCTGACAGTGAGTCACATCCGGCACTGCCTGTGAGCCTCTCCCCAGTCGGCGCTGCCTCACCTGTGAGAAGCAGCTGAAGATGGTGAGCGCAATGGACTTGAAGAGTTCGGGCGGACAGCCGGGCGGCGCCGGGCTGCCCAGCATGCGCAGCAGGTACGTGAAGCCGATGGCGTCGAACAGGAGGCGGCGCTGCTCGGGCCCACAGTCAGCCGCGTTCACCAGCTGACGGCGGTACACGGAGGGGGAGCAGTGAGGCAGTGACGGCGCGTACACGGAGGGAGCGGGGAGACGTGGGACAGCTGACGGCGGTAACATGGAAAGGCAGCTGACGGCGGTACACGGAGTAAACGGTTGAGACATGGACGGCGCGGCGGTACAAGGAGTAAACGCGTGTGAGACAGCTGACGGCGGTACACGGAGGGAGCAGTGGGCAGATGACGGCGGTACACGGAGGAAACGGTATGAGACAGGTGAGACAGCTGACGGCGGTACACGGAGGGAGCAGTGAGGCAGATGACGGCGGTACACGGAGGGAGCGGTGAGACAGAGAGCTACGGCCGTTGGTACATGGAAAAGGCAGCTGACGGCCGGTACACGGAGTAAACGGTGAGACAGATGGACGGCGGCGTACACGGATCGGGGTAAACGGTGCGAAGCTGACGGCGTACACGGAGGGCGCAGTGAGGCAGCTGACGGCCGGTACACGGAGGGAGCGGTGATGACAGGGATGAACGCTGGCGGGCGGTACATGGAAAGGCAGCTGACGGCGGTACACGGAGAGAGTGTAAACGGTGAGGCAGATGACGGACGGGTACACGGAGGGAGCGGTGAGACAGCTGACGGCGGTACACGGAGGGAGTGGTGAGACAGATGGCGGCGGTACATGGAAAGGCAGCTGACGGCGGTACACGGAGTAAACGGTGAGACAGATGACGGCGGTACACGGAGGGAGCGGTGAGACAAGCTGACGCGGTACACGGAGGGAGCGGTGAGACAGATGACAGTACACGTCTGAGAGACCGGGGATACACTGTAACCTGCCCCTCAGCACAGTGGACATGACAGCTCCTAATGACAACAGCAGCAGCCAATAAGCGAAAACATGTTAAGTGGGATGATGCACATGCCACACAGCATCTCTGTGACTTTCTTAAGAGCTTCAGTGACTCTTGTTTTTTGAACATGATGTTTATCTTTCTGGGGGCGACTTTTTGGGTCATTGACAGTGCGGCATCAGAGGCATGGATGGTAATCTTTTACAACTTCGGCGATCCAATGCTAACTGACAGTTCGGCTTCCTATTGAAATCAGCATGAAAGTCAAGCCACTGACGATCACAGCCGTTATGTGTGTCAGACGAGTTCATGTGTTCCACATGTCGCGTCACACAGAGATGAGATGTAGAGTCCGCAGACGTCTGCGCTGGTGCATAGCACAGTGGTGCGCTGGTGCACAGCACAGTGGTGCACCTCTTAGTTCGAGACCCGAAACCCAGCCAGGTATGGCCTCCGAGCGCCGACGGCGCGCGCCCTCGCCCTGTTCCACGGGAGTGGGATGCCACCGACCTTGGTGACCATGAGCAGGGCGGCGAACTTCTCCGTGTCGTTGCCGGCCTTCTGCAGCATAGCCACGCAGCGCTGCACGCCGGCGTCGCCGCTCATCCTGGCCGGATCGGAGCCTGCAGCGGCAGCACACCGAGACAGGGAGGAGAGGGGAGGGGGCGTCAGCCTTGGCGACGGGTCCGCGCCGCCGCCGGCGCCGGCAGCAGCAGCACACCGAGACGAGGACGAGAGAGGGAGGGGGCGTCAGCCTCGGCGACAGGTGCGCGCCGCCGCTGGCGCCGGTAGCGGCAGCACTCCGAGACAGGGACGAGAGAGAGAGGGGGGGGGGGGGGGGGGGGCGTCAGCCTCGGCGACGGGTCCGCGCCGCCGCTGGCGCCGGCAGCGCCGCCAGACATGCTCAGACTGGTCAGATGCTGCTTAGGTGCACAGACATGAACAATACCCCCTCAAAAGTTGAAAATGGCTTGGGATTGCTGGGAGCAGTAATAGTGAACAGCTTTCATGATATCTGTACATGTTCAGAGGGAGCTTTTTGGAGAAATGCAGAGGGCTTCAGTTCTTTATTAAACTAGGATTTTGAAAGAAGCACTGCAGTGTTTATTTCCCAAGTTTGGCATTCTTTGGCAATATCTGAACTTGTCACAACATGATGTCAGTGGTGTTTGATATGTCAGCAAAAACTATGTGCCCAGCATGCAGCAAAACCTTACCCCAACACTGGTTTTAAAAGCAGACTGGCTAGCAGCTGAGAAGTTCATGCTGTTAAAACCAGTGGCTTTGCACCAAAATCCATATCTTGGTCTGGAGCCAAACTAGCTGAAAAATCAAATAAGTCAAAGGTTAGTAGCAGTTCAAACCCAAATCACTAGCAGAATACCAGCTATTGTTAGTCACACTCACAAAATACCTGGTACACTGTATCAGCCTTACCATTATATGAAACACTACTAACCTGAAGCACATCCCCATGACAGTCATTGAAAAGGCATGTGATAAAACCATGTGAAGGTTGCAATAAATGCAAAAGATAAGAAGTTTCTCTTACTATAAACTAAAACTCACTGTGTCAAAACAAGGGACAGAGTTAAGAATATTGACAAGAACATATCCTGCCAAAGACAATGTTTATTTCAATAAACCAAATAAGCTACTTTAAAGGCTTTAGGGCACTACTAGTGTATTATGTCAATGCCTTCTCAACTAAGACTGGAAGCTGATAAGTAGCCTTCCAGTAGCATGTATTCTGGCCCAAGAATCGGGCTCTTCACCACTGCTAGTACAATGTTACAATTAATTGGATGCATTTCTAACAGAGTACCTGAGACTAATCTATGAGCCATTACATAGTACAAGACAGCTGATCAGCACAGAAAGCACAGTTGACTTATGACCTACCAACCTGTATCATTGGCATAGCCCAGGAAAGGTTATTATTCCATAGCCCTGCTATTTTCATAAGGCAGGACACATACTGGTAGTTGTGACTGGGGAGTTTCTACATAATGAATAAATTTCTACATAATGAAATATCTGAGCATCAATGCATATTGTCCATATGTCATTACAGACATTGCCTTGAAAACAAGGATCCTGCCATGCATGACAATGATTGCACATAGCTGCATAGGAGTCCATGATACAGATATGTAGTTTTCTTTTCAGTACAAGAGAGGGAGGAGGGGAGAGAAAACTCAACCTACTCAGACTCCAGCTCCATGGCTTTCCCCTGAAATACCATATTCTACAATGAACTTGATCTATAAAAAATGGAAGAGGATATCTCTTTTATTTGTAATTCTAAGTTTTCAATGACAATCAAGGCTTCATAATGTGTAGAACAAAACAAGCTGCTGAGCAAAATGCAACACAAACCATCCTGGAGTAAGGTGAGAACTGTTGCCAATTGCATACACCACAAACAATGTTGTAAGAGCTTGGTTGCTTACAACCTCACAGTCCATCCCTTGGTCCATCCCAGCCAACCAGGCCCAAATATATACCTTCATCCCACCTCTTTCAACTACAACTTGTAGAAGTATGCAAAAATTCACACAAATTACAGGCCTCTGGATGCAAACAAATGGGGAAGCAGTTTAATACCATCTTGTCACCCACCAGTCAAGAATCTGTCACGCCAACGGGCAAACCACAGTACGTTCCACAAAAGCGCATGCTTTGATCTCACTGGACACTGAGAAGTGACGGAGTCTGCGAGAGCCTGAAGTTGGTGCTCTTCTTCCTCGCAATGCCTGCTAGCCAAAACTCAATATTGCAAGTCACGTTTAACAATTATTTGACGCCGGGCGTAATACGCCACGGACGGCTCCCAACCGCTAGACTCAAGAAACCACGGCACACCACAGCAATCAATGCATCAAACGCGCCATCAATCGTAAAACTCATTGCAGTCATTGCGACGCATTTTCTCGTCTACACTATTTTCTACCTCCATATCGAGTAGATACCTCTACTATTTTTTAGTGAGTAAAAGCTTCTCACTTCAACCTGTATTTCGTGAGTTCATGAAGTAAATGCAAGAGATAAGAAGGCAATTATATGATTTCTCACTTTTTAAATTGTTTCAAATGATGGATAACATTTTGGTTTTGTTGACAGATGAGAGTGTATTTTCCATCACGAGATATTTCCGGAAAGGGAAATATTTCGACAGCTTCCATATCGGCGCTCGGGGATGTCTTGAAAGCATGGCGGCGGCGATGAGTGACGGCATTGAAATTAAATTCGCTCAAAAACTTGCTGGCAATGAAAAAGAAGGAAGAGATCGAGCTTTGAAAAAGCTTAAGAAATGGATAAATCTCAAATCTGATCCGGGGTCAGAAGATAGTGGTAAGTTCGCAACTTCGGCGGGCCAGTGCTCAACATGCACTTGTAAGGCACACCAGTGGCCCAGACGTACAAACATCGTTATCAGCGTATTAGTATTTGGAAGAAAAGGATGAAATATGTTTCAACCATAAGAAGGATCATTATGAAAATTTTGCATGATTGATGCAACGAATTTTGGTTCGAAATCATAGATTGTGACACAAATCTAATTGTCAGATATTACCTCCAGGATGAGGGTCCAGCTAGTCTGCGAAAAGTGGCAGACCAGTCAACAAGATGTTTGGGGAAGGCCCTACACTGCCCTAAATGGGGTAGCCAGATTCCCTGCTTGTGGCTTGGGCCAACAATCAGATGACAGGTCTCCAGGATTTTCTCATGAATCCAATTCGGGCACGGACAACCTGTTAGTCCCTGTGCTGTTAAACAGCAGCCAAAATCACACTAATTTACTATCCAATATTTGGATTTGATCATTGCTTTATGAAATGCAGAGTTGATCTTGGATAGTTTGTGTGCAAAAAGGTGTTAAGCATTTTGCGATATGAATGGTTAAACCTGGTGGGTTTGGAGTACCCATGCTAACTTCTGGCTTGCCTGGTATGGCATTGTTTGCTGCTAGGTTACCTGTCCATCATCAACTGCAGGGGCTGGAGCAAGCAAAAGGCTTTGTGCTCATAGAATGGTGATGTGAGTGCTTCAACTATCAGTGTATCTCTGCCTGCAGGGGCTGTGCAATCATCTGCAAGGCAGACTGGGGTAGATAATATGACAGAGATTATGATAACCATGATGCAGTTGACACAGATGTGGTGCATGTGTGTTTGTCTGTGTAGATTAACACTCCTGTTTTTATTGCATTGCTGCATTTTGCAGCTCTGGTCAACCTTTGCCTTGGTGTGGTACCCACCCCAAGATACCATGAGCTGCCCTTCTATAATGTGTGCTACCTTGACTAAGGAATTGCTATACCCAAATTTCTAAAATCTGCCCCAAATTTAAATTTTGCCACAACCCTGCCCCAACAAGATCTTGTCAGAATCTGCAGTGTTTTGCAGACTGGGTCTTTGATGTGAAATTTTGTATATGAGCTGGCTGGACATTTCTCATGTAAAACTGTATGGATGCCAACAAATGTGTGAATGTCATTGTATTGTAGATGAAACAGGCCAGCTGCCAGATTGCAAAATGAGGCAGTTGGCTTGATGAAGAACACCACTAGGCACTATCAGTTAAATATGAACACCACAGTCTGTGCAAATAGTTTCCATATGTCAAAATAAGCTCACTGATTAGGCAATATGATGTTGGACTCCAGCACCCACTAGGCTAGTAGGCTGTTATAGCCCTTGGCTATGTCTGCAGACATTGCAGCTGGCCATCTGTGGCCTGCTACACAGATTGCCATCTGTGACCTGCTGTATGCATTGTCATCTGCAGTCTGCTGCACACATTGTCATCTGCAGTCTGCTGCGCACATTGCCATCTGTGGCCTGCTGCACACATTGCCATCTGTGGCTCAGCACACAGATGTCAAGTAGGTGTTGTGTGGGGTGGATGGATTCTTGTGGGCTGGTTTCGGCGGATGAGAGGTGCATGTTAGCGGGAAGATATGGAGGCCACGGTGTTGTGGTGGGCAGGGCAAACTCAGCTGCCCTCAGCACAGGTTAAGCCCTGTCAAGTTATGCTGGGTAACACCTAAACAGTAGGTTCAAGAGGAACATCAGGACAATAAGTATTTTGTCCACATTCAAGGTTCTCAAACAGTTTTAGCACTGAGGCATGACATCTTGTGATCATAATTCACAAATATTGTGAATATACATTGATTTTGATTGAATGCAGAGGTAACTGAGGTGGTCAAATCACAGCAGCAAATTGGATTTTGGAGGAAAAGGTGTTTCCAAACAATTGATGCAGAAATATAGGGTTTCATGGTTGAAATATACTCTTGTGTGATTCTGTTTATAACCAGTTCCTCTCAGTTACCAGGAAAATGGAATGGTTTTCAACTGGGATGGGCCTAAGCAACATGTAATGTGGGTACTTGTAGCATCAAACCGTGTGGATGGCAGAAGTGGGTTAGATGTTTTAAGTAAATATATGACAGTCATACACAACATGCAAGTGCCTCTGTTGCTATTGTCTATCATATTGTCTTTGATCTGGGAAACATTTTTTTGGCTGGCAAGCTGTCCATGCCATTGAGATTCTGGATGTTATAGCTTTTTGTTGCACTGGATGAAGCTTGATGCGATTTTCATCAAAGGGCGAATCCAGCTGAAATGTGCGAATTACCTAAGGGCACGTGGATCACGTCGTCGGGCAATTCTATATGGCTCCAGCAATGCTGCAGAGGTCATATGAGCACTCAGGGCCACGGCGCAACTGGAGCTCGAACCCGAGTACCCATGTGGGAGCTGGGTGTGCCTGACCACCTGGCCATTATGACCCCTGATCGGGAAGTTTTTGCGCTTACACCCGGCCGCAAAGCCCAATCAGCAAGAATCACCTAGAATGCCCCAGTTATTCTGTTTCGTAATGAAATACGTCGCTAGAATGTGGTTATCGAAAACATATCGCGGAGGCATTATTTTGTGACATCCCTGGGGGCTCAGCACGTTTTAAGGTCGCCTTTTTCCATACATCACCGTAGCTGTAATATTATTTGTACAACTTTAGGGGGCCGGCGGTCCCTGAGCATTCAGGTCGGCAACCATGACAGTACGCACTCTTCCAGTGCTTCAACAAACATGGAGAAGACAGTAATAGAAAGGGGGAGGAGGGGGTCGGTGTCGTGTTCGGCCATGTCAAATCAGCCATTTGTTTGTGGTGTCGCGGGAGAGAGGACGTTGGTGAGAACTTATTTGGTTCGATTTGGCAGAGTAAGCTGTTGGCAGTCAGTCATGTATGCCCGTTCCGTTTTTGTCGTGCCACAACCGATACGAGTGAGAAGTAGTCGATAAGTGAAGTGGTCATTTTTGGCATCCAGAGAAGTAGGTGCGGGAAAATTGGCTAGCCAGACACTATGTTTTCGTGGAAGAATCACAGACCTGGCGGTCGTCAGCGCGACTAGGGCCTGGCTGGACTTTTCTGCCGGCCGGAATGATCTCTCACCCACTCACCCAAACATCAGCACAGGGGATGTGCGCCTTAAAGAGCACGTGGTTGTGGTGGTTGAGCCCGTTGGAGAATATATTGGACACTCCGCCCCACAGGCCATTTCACCCCACAGGGTACCTAACCCCACAGAACGCTCCCCCCATGGGTCACTCAACCCCACAGGCACTCCACCCTGCAGGACACTCCACCCTGCAGGACACTCCACCCCCACAGGCCACTCCACCCCTCAGGACACTCCACCCCACAGGACACCACCCCACAGGACACTTCGCCCCAAGGACACTCCACCCCACAGGACACCACCCCACAGGACACTCCACCCCACAGGACGCTCCACCCCACAGGACACTTAACCCCAAGGACACTCCACCCCACAGGACACTTCGCCCCAAGGACACTCCACCCCACAGGACACCACCCCACAGGACACTCCACCCCACAGGACACTCCACCCCACAGGACACCACCCCACAGGACACTCCACCCCACAGGACACTCCATCCCACAGGACACTTAACCCCAAGGACACTCCACCCCACAGGGTACTTCACCCCCACAGAACGCTCCCCCCCCCCCCCCCCCCACAGGTCACTCCACCGCACGGGACACTCCACCCAGCAGGTCACTTGGATTCATATGATTTATATACGCACGAGAGGCACATGGATTTATATACGCATGCCTGCAGCGGAGAAGGCTCGTGTCCATACAGTCAGCAAAGCAGAACTTCGCGTTTTCGTGTGACCAGCAGCGCGGGTGGAAGCAGACGTTTAGGGGAGGAGCATGCGTTTGCGGCAGCGAGTGATTATTACTACTCCCGACTTGGGCACTCCCGCCCTATGTCTGGTGCATGCAAGCCGATCGCCCCGCCACTTCTGAGGCTTGGCATCGCCCGTCATGCGCGAGGCTATGCTCGTACGGTGGCCGATAGTGGAATTTGTGCATCATGTGTGACGCCTGGAGCCGTTTGATATGGTGCCCTGTTATGTTTTGTCGCTGTGGAACTGTTGTACGCAGGCACTTGGGTCGGACTATTTTCTCAATATTATCCGTTTTTTACAGTAAGTTTTACACCAACTGATCCGTTTCGAGTTCATCACAAAGCACACACTGCATGTCTTATTTCATTGAAAAATGGAGGGACTGTGCTTTATACCAGCAGGTGTCAGCATCGGCGAGAGCGTGATGTGTATCGGCCGGTGTAGGCAGGGTTTTTAATATTTCGGAGGCAGTTTTTGAGAAGCTTGATCTGATGTTAATTCACTCCAAGTGATCGCCGTCTGACCATGCTCTGCAACCGACGACACACCACATTTGAATATGTTTTGTTTTTGTATTACAATGATCATGTCCCCATATCAATGCTCGTCACGTCTAGTTTTCATGCTACGACAAATTCCGGAGCCTGAGGAGCCCCATTGTCTCCACCGAGTTAAGGGTATGATGTCACCTGCCAGTCCTTGGCCAGACGCTCGCATCTGCAACGGTAAAGGCGTACAACTGACGCCGGCGCATCTGATGGCAGCCTTCAGCGAATTGGAGCTGTTGAAGCTATGGAAGGGCCTGTTCTACTGCATGTGGATGTCGGACAAGCCGCTGGTGCAAGAGGAACTGGCAGAGGAGCTGAGCCAGCTGGTGCACCTGTTCCCCCACGGCCAGGACGCCGTCACCTTCTGCAGTACCTTCTTCACCACCATGGCGCGCGAGTGGCACAGTATCGATGCCATCAGGCGGGACAAGTTCATGATGGTTAGTGTCGGCTCCGGGTGCGTGTTCCGGTTGATGTGTTCGGAGTTAACGTGTACTTTTCCAGAAACATTTGTCGTGCCACATGCAAGGCTGTACACAGATTTCCACGCGGTGAGGCAAGGTCTTCGTAGAATGGATGCATATACGTCGGACTCGGCTTACCCTGGGAAAACGCGTCGTCTTGGTCGGATAGTTCAAAGTTGGGTTATCATTTCAAGCGTACATGATCCGACCACATGAACATCTCCAGCCGTACCCCAGCGTTTGTGCATGCTGGTAAAACTCCGCCGCGCGCCGCTGCGTTGCCGAGCTTGTGAGCCGATCGAGCCGTCCCCTGCGGCACAGCAGCCACATCCCCCTGCGGCACAGCAGCCACAGCGGCACAGCGGCGGTGTGCCGGGGTGGATCCCCCTGCGGCACAGCAGCCACAGCGCGGCTCTCGGTGTGACCCTGCCCCGCCCCTCCCCTCCCTGCAGCTGGTGCGGCGCGTGCTGCGCCAGAGCCTGGCGCTGGCGGCGAGCGCCGGCTGGAGCGGCCCGCTGACCGAGCGGCTGCTGGCCGTGTACGCCGTCGCCTTCGCCTGTCCCGAGGACAAGGCGCGCCTGCCGCTCGGCCTGCAGCTGCACCTGGTCGAGATCTGCCTGGAGGAGGTGGCTAAGGTGGCTGGCGGACGCCTGGCGCCCCAGCAGCTCGCGCCGTTCCTCCGGCCGTTCGTGGAGGTGAGCGGCTCGGGTGTCGGCGGCACCGGCTCCGTTCAGCCACCGGCCCGGCCGCCTGCAACGGGCGGCAGCCTGCAGTCTATTTGTTAAGACACTGCTTTGGGATATTTTGTGCTTTGTGGGCGTGGAGTTGCAAAGTGTCAAACCGGCTTTTCGATGGGAAATAAAAGCGTGTTGTAGTGTTTCAGGAGCTCACGGACTCGTGACATTAGCCATGACGAGACAAAAGATCCCTGCACCACGCTACGCTACCTGACCCGCGCTGGCTGGCGCTCAGTGCCACCAATGCCACGTGATGCCGGGCTGGCCTGAGTGGCGGGCGTCCTTGTGTGACCGCCCAGACTCTGCGTTGCTCCCTGTTAACCTCGGTGACATCCGCTGGGTTCGCTGGCAAGCCTCGTCTGACGCGGGGCGGCGTCGCTCCCCGCAGGTGCTGAAGGTGAGCAGGGACCGCGTGCTGCGCACCACCGTCACCAACAGCATCTTCTACCACCTGATGCGGCAGAGTGACGTCGGTATTGCGCATGAGGCCCAGATCAGCAGGGCGGCGGCCGGCCTGGACAGCGACGACGACGAAGAGGAGGCGAGCGAAGAGGTGGGCTGTCGCCGGCACGGCTGCTCGAGCGGCGCGCGGAATGCGTCTAGTGTGGCTGTCTAGTCCGATCGAGCTGGGACCTGGTGTGCGCTCTACATTCGGTGCTCAGTTTGCTGACGATAGACGTAGCCTTGCTAGTGGGATTGGAGGTTTTCTGGAAGAATCCGAGGTCTTTGACGTCACCTGTCACGGTTAATTTGGTTGCTGACATGGCCGAAACAATTTGGCGGTGGACAGATGGCCGGTACCGAAGCAAAGCGCATGGCTCGTCGTGATACAACCGTTGAGTGGTGCAGCGACCGGCGCCCGGTGGCGGTGCCGTCTGTGACCGTCCCCGCCCCGCCGTCCGGCAGTCGGACTCGGCCCCGGACGCCTCGGCCGGCGGGCCACTGGACCCGCGCGCCGGCGGCGTGGACGTCATGCTGCCGCAGCTGGACGTGGACTACGCCCGCCTGGCCGACGATCTGGTGGCGGCCGGCGCCGAGCCGACTGTCCGCCAGGCCAGCCGCACTGCCCTCTACCGGCTAGCGCAGCAGTGAGTACTCGGTGGATGATCTATGCACTAGCTGGCGTACATTAGCGCCTGACCCTTTACCGGCTGGCATAGAAGGCAGGGTTTGGTGGACGGCAGATCCCGGCCCACTGCTGGCTGACGTGGCCTTAAGACTGTTAATCTCACCTCAAATATGCCAGCGGAATATTTGTATTGTGACGTTTTCTTAAGGGCGTGTTTATCTCAATCAATAATAATAGGGGCATGTTTGTAACTAGTAATGCCCTGTCTCTGTTAAGCGTACCATACGTGATTTGTCGTTAACCAGTCGCCTCTGACGAATGCCATAGCAACGCTGCGTTCACTGCGCCGTAGCGCGGCCGTCGCCTGACCGCTGTGCTGCTGTCGCCTGACCGCTGCGCTCACTGCGCCGTAGCACTGCTGTTGCCTGACCGCTGTGCTGCTGCCGCCTGACCCTGCGCTCACTGCGCCGTAGCGCTGCCGCCGCCTAACCGCTGCGCTGCTGTCGCTAGACCGCTGCGCTCGCTGTGTCGTAGTGCTGCTGTTGCCTGACCGTGGCCGGCCGTTTGGCGCAGGTTCCGTGACCTGAGCGAGGGCGAGTACCCGCTGGCGCTGCGGCTGCCGGATCAGGTGGACTCGGACTCGGACATCAGCGACGAGGACATCCAGGCGGCGGTGCAGCGCCTCCAGGCGAGTGGCGGTACCGCCGCTGGGGCGGGGTGCCGCTGGTTCTGTAGACGGTGTGGCAGCTGACCCTGGCTGCTATACATGGGTGTTCGTGTATATGGGGAGAACTGGGCCTCTAGTTGGGGCCGCTGTTCTGGACTCTCGGGTGCGCTGATGACGTCAGTTTTGGCGAGGTGTGTTGTGCAAGTGGCTAAAGAGCTTGACGCTGACTGGTCGCTCATTTCCAGACAACGAAAGCTCGTCTGAACAGGGACAGTCGCCGAAACAAGCGACTCCTGAACGGCGACGGCGACAACGAAGACGAGCCGGAGCCGAAAAAGAAGAAGAAAAAGCTGAAGCACCAGGTGCTGACGAACGGTGTGATTGATACGGGCGAGGCGCTGCTGGCCGAGGCCGGCGCAGCGGAGACAGAGGAAGCGCCGGCCGCGGGGGCGGCGCCAGAGCCGCCGCGCGGAGGGCGCCTTACGCTGAAGGAGCGGCGGCGCCGGAAGCTCATGGAAAAGAAACAGGCCGAGCTGGACAAGCTGGAGAGGAAGAGGAAAAAGCGTGAGAAGATGGCGAAGCTGAACGGTACGGCGTCGGCGCTCGAAAATAGTCATTCCATGCAGAATGGTGAGATGGGAGATGGAAAACATAGCAAAAGTAAGGGTAGGAAGACGGCTTCAGGAACGGGGGTGGATGCAGTGGTTCAAGAAGGGCGTTTCGCACCTGAAGAAGTGCAGAATAGTACTAATTTTAGCCACGTGACAAAGGAGTCAGACAAGCAACCGTCTTCAAAAATATCCAATGTACAAACAGGAAAAGGCGTTTTTAGCTTAGAACAGGTGACTCCAGGCAAGAAGAAAGCTTCGAAGACGAAATCGGCGGAGGGGGACAGCCCTTCGCCCCGCGCTGCAGCAAACCGGTCCGTCGCCGAGGTCGAAGCGGCGCCGACTCCCCGACAGAAGAAGTCTAAGAACAAGAAGTCGGCGGCGGTGAACGGTGAGGTCGTTGTCGATATGGAAACCACACCCCGAGGGAAGAAAGCCAAGAAGCTGCCACCAGCAGATAGCTGGGTAACTAACGACATCGAAAAGACCCCGCGGCAGAAAAAAGCCCAGAAGCAGTCGCTACCAGAGAGCGAGACCACTACCGACGCTGAAGCGACGCCGCCATCCAAGCGCAAGAAGTCCAAGGCGAAGAAGGGCTCGCCCACGAGCGCGGCCTCGCCCGAGCCCGGTGTGGGCGCCGGCCGCGGGCCGAGCAGCGCCACCGTGGCGACGCCTGGTGACCAGCAGTCGGGCTCGACGCTGGACTGGAGCCTGGCGGCGGCGGACGACTGGGGCGACGCGCCCGTCCAGGACGCGGCGCAGGCGCAGTTCGCCCGCTTCGTCGCCTCCAAGCCCGTGCCGGCCTTCGTCAAGCTGCGATCGTCCAAGGGCGCGGCAAAGGGCGGCCAGGGCCAGGTAAGGCGGACCAGCGTTGCATGAGGGTGATGCGGGGTAGGGTGGAATGGCATCGCCGGGCTCCGAACGGGACTCCTTTGGACGTGTCTGTGATATCAGTTTGGATGATTGCAGAAAGCGTTGCGTTGGTTTCTCAACCGAAGTATGAGTGTATGGCCGTCAAAGGCCTATTGCTGGCATAGCCTATTATTACTAGACTAAATGTATAGCCTGTAAGGCGCACTGCGGGCATAGCGAGTAACGCCGTAACAGACCGGCAGTCCTCAATAGTCATCACGGACACGATGCCGTAACGTGAGCTAACGTGGCTGGGCACCGTTGGGAATCCATGCCAATGGGTTTAATTGGTGCGTTTCAGCTTTCATACAAGTTTAGCAGGCAGTCGTTCACTGATGTAGCGCATGTCCTGAATGCGAAAAAAAACACTGCTAGCAATTTATTTGGCTATGGGTCTGGTGGGACCTGGCGATTTCAGGCAAAGAAATCGAAGACTGAAGTTTCTGCTGGTTTATTGACTAACCAATGTGTATCGGCACGCCACACAGCAGATACACGCCGACGTTGTTGATTCGCTTCAGTGAACTGGAATATCCGGCGTTTTTGTCTCCGTGCCATAATCCCCCGGTGTAGGGCGCAGTGCCCGAGGCCTTTTCCGGAACAGGTCACATGACCCGTCTCCGCCGATTGTTGGTACACCTATAGGTCGGACGATAACGTGATCTCTCGTGATCTGCTAGAGGTACATTCACCTTTGCGGTACAGTTGTTTGGCGCGATTGCCGGGGATCCGGCGTCAGTCCATACAAGCCCCTCAAAGCGGGCGGACCCATTATTTACGCATGAGGGCATAAAGCCGGCTGGACACATCGGTACACACTTCTGCGAGTACCGTCAGCGTTCTTTCCGTCAAAATGTCGCGACGTGCCGTTGCAGCGCGGGGGTGTCTGGGCCTGGAGAACGATTCCCCGCATATTTGACATCTTCGCCATGTGAAAATTGCGCGTTTCCCGCGGCAACCAAATGAAAAGCCTAAGGTTTGTTCAGCTTCCAGTGATGCAAGATACCCACGCTCGATCATAGAATGAAGGCAAATTCTGTAAAATTGGTACAGCCCGGCTCTTAAAGCATTGCGTTTGCTAGAAATTGCGTACGGCTGCGAGCAGTGGTTGTAAAAATATAAGCGTCGAGCGCCGAGCCGTGCCCCTCAAGGTGAGATTCCTCACTGTCCAATTTGGACTTGCGCGGACCGCGGTCTCGCGCATGATTAGTGGAAGCTGACCCCGCGCAGGACTGCATTGCTGGGATTGAGTTGTGTAGCGAGATCCATAGGCGATTGGCGGGTGTTGGAGCAGCGTTCGGCGACTCGGTTGTCAGTTGCTTTAGCTGCGGTGATCTTTCACAGGCGTTACCAGCTTCTCCATCCACGCCAGGCGTCAAGAAGGTGAAGATTAATCTCTCCGAAAACAAGTCCCAGGGTAAGTTTATGGAGCCTCATTGGTGCCGTTGGCAACGAAATGAACTCCATGTGATTAGACTTAGGTTCAAAATCCTCGCGTTGCGTAAATACGGACGGGCCCAGAAAAGCTATCTCCGATTTGTGCTAATATTTGTTTTTCCGTCTTAGTTTGATCAAAATGTCATTTGAGATGTCATCAAAGGAATGTTTGGAGTGGCTAGTTTCGCATCTGACCGCTGATTTGTAGCGCCGTAAGTCGTGCATACCTTCTGATACTGTAGTCGACGAGTGGCAGGCCCTTGTCGCACCCCGTGTTCTGGGACCATTACACCCCGTGTTTTAGGACCATTACACCCTGTGTTTTGGGACCACTTTGCGCATGTCACGCGCAAAGGGCGACTGAAACTTAGATGTACATCGAGGTGGCCAAAGAAAATGCTGGGCATTCTGAAATTAAAGCAAGCATGCAGCGAGGCAAATAGGATTATCAGCCATATGGGACACCACTTCTCACAGCCCGGAGCGTCCCGGGAGTGGTCCGCGGGCGAGACGGCACAGAGAAGCGGGCGCTGGGACCGAAGTGACCTCCCACTGTCCACACCCGAGGCCACCGGACCACCATTCGAGGAAAAACGATGACGCAGAGTCACCCCCTCCTCCGAGCTGAAGAAAGTTTGCAGACAGTGCGAAGACAATTCTAACATCGGCGTGTCAGCATGTGCTCATCCCCTGCTCCCGGCTTACACACACTTGCTCTCAGAGAAGCAGGATCGTCCCAAGCAGCCCTCTGCCGACAGGGGACTGGTATCAAGTCGTGAGAACCGCACGGTCAGATTGGGACGCACGCGCGTAAATTTTTTTTTTAGTACCTTTGTTTTTAAGAGCGCAGGTTACAGAAATGAAATCGAAGGATGTTTTCCATTTTGCTGCTTCACAGTGCTGCTGCATAGTGCTGCAAAGTGTCCAAGTTTGTTGAATCAGACGTGGTGTTAAAGACGTATTGGCACGTTACACAGCGTTTGGAGCATGTGCTTAACCGGGTTTCTCACTCTACAATATCGTTCTGAAATGTCTGGCACAAGGTTAAAACTTGAATGAAAATTTGAAACAACAACGGATGATTGATGAACAACGAACACTTTGTAAGCTATTCTGGAGTTTTAGATCATGATGAGTGTTTTCGCCATGCGTCCCAAAAACCGGAGGTGTTGGGTCATACTCTGATCCGCCTGTGCAGGCGTGGCAAAGACCATGACGATGGCATACGTTTAAGGATAATGTGACAGTGCCCCTTGATGACGCGTTTGTCTTGACCCCCACGGTCTGCTAGCGCGAAACACAGGAGGTACGACGATGCTGTTGTGCCAGAATGCCAGACCAAGCCTCACATATTTCTTGCCTATCGCGTTGGAACTTTTGCGGTTGTCTGTTCCACGTAACGGTGAGGACACTTGCACATGCAACGACGCATTGCTGGTCATTACAACCGCGCCGCGTCGGACGAGACAGCGGTCTTCGTACATTCAACGACCTCAATAATTTCTAAAACTTCCCGGGCGAATGAGGTCTTGTCGCGGAAGTGTTCTATGCATAGCTGTTGTTTGGTTTTGTTCCAAGTGTGGGCTGACTCGGTGACGACATTCCTGCACTGCTCGCGGTCTGAACGCCTGGATCGGTGGCGGCGGCGTCATCGAAGCCTCGGTGCTTACTGTCGCCGCCCGTCGGCAGGTTTCAAGGAGCACCTGATCACGGTCCGCAACTCGCCGCAAGTGCCGCACAACCCGGACAGGCGGCCAGCCAAGGGCCTGCTGAAGGTGGCCACGCCCGGTGCGGCGACCGGCGCCGGCGACGGTGGCCGCGCCAGGCCCGGCGCGCGCCGCCGCAGCCACGCCGCCGACTTCTTCAACCTGTGAGCGGTCGGCCGGCGGTGGGCCCGTGCCCGTGACGCGTGCGGCGGCCGGCCGGCCGCGACCGCGATCGTCCCGGAGGCGCGGCTGGTGCTGCGGCGCCGGTGCGCCCCTTTTGAGGGTGGTTTGGAGCGTTTGACTGGGTCAGAGCGGGTAGCGGGTTTTGAGGCGCTCCCAAGAGTGCTTTGTTCTGTGCCGGCCGTCGTGCATGTTTTGGAAGATTTGTGATTCCAAGCGACAATAGAAGGCACCGATGCAAATGCTGTGTGTCATGCCCTCGACGCCGGTTGATTCGGAAGAAACTCAGCCCCATGAACCCACTTCAGCCAGCTTCACTGGAGACCGGCCGGGCCAACCAGCAGCCAAGGCTCAGCCATGCAGTTTTATTGCTTTATATGTACGGCATACACGACTGGACACGGTGGTCGATATTTACAGCGCTTTACACTGGTATCACAGCTTGGTCGGCGTTCTGTGAGCGCCAGCCGGCGGGGAGGCGCGCGCGCGCGTAGCTGTCCGTCACTAGGCCGGCCGTCGGATACCCTGATCTCTGTCTGGCGGGCGAGCCGACCGCAGGACCCTGTTTGGTTCACGCGTAAGGTAACACAATCCCTGAACGCCTTTGGCATTGAAGCGGTCGCGTCGAGACAGGGGCCGGATTGGCACGGAACGGCGCCGGCCGGCGCCCGGGCTCCTCTCCGCGAGGCCGCGCTGGCGTCAGGTACAGCCCGCCGGTAGCGGACGGGCGGCGGGCGGCGCGGACTCGCCCCGCGCCGAGTTCTGCGTCCGCGCCCCGCCCGCTGCGCGAGTCCGTGCGCGCGCGTCACACCGCTATCACTGGCCGCGTCCGCGCGCCGGCGCTCTGTCCATGGCACAAACTGGGTCGTCCGGAGGGGACGGGGGCCGGGCGGCGCGCCGAGGTCACGTGACGGCCGGGTGGCCCGCCTCGTCGGCGGGGCCCAGCCCGGCCGAGCCGCAGCCGTCGTCTGGGGAGCGGCGGAGGCGAGGTCAGGCGGCAGCGAACGGTACGTTATACACTGGTCATCAAGAGCTGGACGAGGTGCCCACGACTGCTGACCAACGCCAGTATGAGCACACGCTTCCGCGCGCTTTGATGATTTGTTCAGTTGCGTTACGAAAGTAAACCGATGTCTGCTACTAGATCTCGCGTCCAGGCGCTTCGGGTTAAGGACAGCCGCGTTTTCTCACAGCGTGCCTGACACATAAAATGACAGTCTCGAGTAGGCCGGGACCAGAGGAAGCAGCCATACGAAGCGTTTGCAGTTGCTTCCCAGTATCCAATCCCAATCACAGACGTCTGGCGGGGCTCCATTCGAAATTTGGGTTTGAGTTTCGTCCCACGAGCACATGCTTCATAGGTTTATCGCCCGTGACCGGCTGCCAGTCGTCACCTTGTGACGTGTCGTCCCCCGATTGGTCCGTGAGTCTGGCGTCCACGATGGCCTTGGCCTCCATCTGGCCGAGGATTGGCTGCAGGATGCGGCGGCGCGCGTTGATGAACCAATTGTTGACCTGCACCAGGCTGAGTCGCGTGGCCGCCGATAGGTGGTGCTTCTCAGCTTCGCTCGGGTATGGGTGCTGCCGAAAGTAGACGAGCGGCGTTAGGCGGGACGGGCTATCGGTGATTGCAGCACCTCCGAGCTGTTTTGACAGGTGCCATCATCAGGTGCGCGGCATCCAACAGTCGTAATGTCGCAAGACATGCTTATTGTTGATGCGTACTCACCATTTCACATTGCAACATAATCGGTGACCTTCGGGGAAGACGGCTCCTCACAAGAGTAGTGCGGAGACGTGAATAACGCAAAAGGGAATAATTTAACTGGAATTTAGTTTGTAGTTAATAATAACCCGGACGTATCTTCGCAGCGCATCGTTTCTTCAGTTATCTTGTGCTGCAACCGCTTGAGGTGTGCGAACTGGAGACAATCTTTCAGCCCGCCGACCCTACAATTTCTGGCCCGCGAGAACCCGTTGGGCTTGGGCTGGGGTATGAGCCGGACGAGGCGGGCCTTTGCGGGTCAAAAATTGTAGCAAACAAAATGATGTATTTTTGCTTTTCCCTGAGTTTTAAAATAATCTCAAAACCAGAGTATACGGAAAACCCATAGAATACATGACGCACCAGAAAACCGGGTTCCACAAATTCAACAGCTCTAGGCAACCATCTCACCGAAAAATCAAAAATATCGACTCAAATTCCCAAGACTATAGCCTGATTTCATTGAGCAGCAGTTGGGTGAGTCCTTTATATAACTACAGCTGCACACTGCGCTTGACTGTTGGCTGTCAATGAAGCATTTGTTTAGGATCGTGAATCGCGCTCTCCAGGCTTTGTGTGCTGTAAGAGTTCTTGAAAATGATTTCCATAACTTTTGGTTGTTTCCATGGATTTTTTTTGATGCTACAATTTTACATGGTTTTTGATGGCATCGCCAATCTGCTTTCCTTGCTTTGAATGCCGTATCACTGAAGCGGCGCGGAGATTGCTGTCGGTTGGACCACGGATTGTGGTGTGAGGGAATTTTGAATTAGTCCAAAGCGAGCATGTGGTTTTTTATGTGGCGTGGTCACGTGCCGTGTCCACTTAAGGACAACAAACGTCAAATTGGAGGCTGGCTGTGATTGTTCAGTGAGAAATATGACACGTTGGCAGTTGTGATGCAGTGAAATGAGGACTGAGCTTACGTTCATGTAATGAGCTGACGCTTGCCATGACGTGAAACATCCAGCATCTGATTGCTGCTCTTTGAGTAACACCATTGGTATAAGTCAAATAATGCATGCATTAAATGAGATGAACTTGCTATTTTATGGACCCTTAATGCATTAGTCCAAAATTAAGGTGAAATGATGCAACGCATGTTGCAATAAATTAGTACTTACAGATAAATGGTGGATCAGCATATCAGCATGGCAGGCTTTTGCAGGCTGGATGATTAGCTAGGTGGCGCGGGCTAGACTGTGGGCTGATATTTTGGGAAAAAGTTGCACCTCTATCGCGGGCCTACCGTCTTCCCTAGACTGGCCTTCGCCCCCATCCACGTCGCAGCTCGAGTCTGCGTGACTGGTCTGTTTCGAGCCGGGATCAGCACGGCCGGCACTCGGCGTGCTGACACGGAGCACTCACGGCCATGTGCTGGAACAGCCATGACTTGAGGACGTCCGTCGAGTGTTTGGGGAGCACGCCGCGCTTCTGCTTCCTGCCGCCAGGGTCGCTGTCGTCGTCGGTGCTCGGCGAGGACGGAGATCTGATGCCTGTGGCCCGACAGAACCACCAGTTGCCGGGGTTGCGCGCGAACTTGAATCTCACTCGTCCAGACCCAATCGAATCATTCATTTTGTACACATCCGCGAGGCTCTTATTGCGTTGACAGAATCCCGTTTCGCAAAGTAAGATGAATACAAACGTAACGCGAATGTGACTGCAGTTATTAAACAAATGGCGGAAAAACAGCGAGACCCAAGCTGCATGGCGTAGCTGATGAACGATACTGTACTGGCGTAAAGGCAAAGCATACTAAAGACGCTGTAGAGGCGTAGAGGCGAAGCATCGCGAAAGATACTGTAGACGCACAGAGGCGGGGTCTGACGAAAGATACTGTAGACGCACAGAGGCGGCGTATGATGAAAGATACTGTAGAGGCGCAGAGGCGGGCCCACATGCCGAAGCCGCCGTACCGTGCCACACGTGCGCACAGAAGCCAAGCATTGGTCTGCGCCACGTACCCGTGCAGCCGGGCAGACCGGGCGAGACAGCAGCGGCGGGCGGCCGGCGCGCCGACCCCGTCTCCTCCGGCGACCCAGTTTGTGCGCGACCCAAGACTAGAACCTGCCCCCTATCGCGGACTGCCTGAAACAGTACGAGTGAACAGGATCTGGACTGCGGCGGTCGGCCGCTGCACGGGCCGCCACTGGGGCGGCCAGCACGGGTGCCGTCGCTGCGGACAGGCAAGCATACAGCACGGCGGGCCACAGCAGCGGCGTCCGCGCCGCGGCACACGCCTTAATGTCATCAGAAAATGCTGACGAGCAAACCGGTCACAACGGAGCATGGCTATACAGACGGCGGGACACCGCACAGTCAAACACAACAGGGCACGAGCGACCGGCGGTGACGGGGCGGTGTTCCGCAGGGCGTCACCGCCGGCAGGTCACACGGCGGGGGGAGGGACTGGGAACTCGCACGGCTCGGTAATCATGGCTGCACACGGCTGCCGGCCGCGCCCCCGTCCGTGCACCTCCACCTAACGCGCGCTGGCTCATTTCACCCTGACAATGTCATCAGGCGTAATGGTGGCGGCGGCGCAATGCCGTCATTAGCCGCACAATGCGCCCCACTCCAAACTGCAAATTTACATGTTCTGCCCGACAAAGCAACACCTCCCCGCCGGAGTGGATCAAAGGAGCACGTAATGGCACGCTGCCATGATGGCGCGCGTTAAAACAGGAGGCGCGCGCGCGCGCGGCGGCGCGGCGCGATCGGCGCCGGCACGGCAGGGGCTCGTTTGGCCGCGCCGCCGCCGCCGCCGCCGCCGGCAGCGGTGACGGTGCACGGCGTTGCAGGGCGGTGCGATCGCGCGGTCGATGGCCGGCGCTGTTTTTGTTTTGGTTGCACTCGGCGGCCGTGTTGACTCGGGTGATGGCGCGCAGCCGGCCGGCGTCGAGGCGCCGCCGGTCCGCCGGACGCCCGCCGCCGACCAGCTGACCGAGGGGCGGACGGGCGGGACCGACGCCGAGGCGGCGCCCGCCCGCCCGCCTGTGGTTTACTTAGTGTCTCATGTCCGCCCGCGCTCTGACTGCCCCGTCGAGTGGCGCCTCATCGCCGCGCCGAGTGATCCGTCACGTGACGAGGAAATGGACGATCACGCTGGGCCGGTAAGAAAACACCAAACACATCCACACAAGGCTGTTTTTCTCGCCCACGCGGCAAACGGATGTGCAGTCTAGGCGGCCGTCTTCAGATGAAAACCCTCGCTTGTAAATCCCTTGTCAGCAATAACCGGACGTAAGTAAAGCTCGCTGTCTGTTATGTCGCACAGATCGATGGCAATTTGTCAGAGCATGTTATGTTAGTCCTATAGCGTTTCTGAATTGGAAATACATTGAAAAAGTAAGGGACGGGCAACATTGAGTGCTCAAGACCCGACAGGTCTGGACAAATTACAAACTTTTTCAGAAACGTCAGAATTCAACCAAAGTCCATCACAGAAAAATGCACTTTGCATAGTGCATCATAACCCCCGGTATTCAGAACGTTAAGTGACCAATTTATTTCGCACACGCCGATGTCCACTACTCATACACGTTAACCACATTTGGCGTAGTACATCTAGGCCCGTGAGCACACATTGCAGCGCAAGCGCTCTGCACATGCGAGGTTGTACCATAACGACCGCCACGTATCATGACCGTGAGCGTATCAGCCAGATCGGGCGGAGAAGCACCATTCAACGAAGGACTACCCTCGTTACCAGAGCTTTTCATCCTTTCCCCATATCGAACCTCCCAACACAAAACGCGAGCCTGAATCAGTAAATTTCCCCACGACGTATAGTCATGGTTTCGCGAATTATTGGAGCCGTGTTTACCGAGGCGGCCCTGCACAAGCCTTGCTCATGGCCGGTGTAAATCGCCCGTTGCATGCAACTAATTGCCCCCTCCGAGCTCCCGCGGTCCTAAATGCCGGCGGCCGCTATTGGACACACACCGCCGCAGAATCAGGACATAAAAGGAACTTTATCGTTTTATTTCCCGGAAAGTAATGCATGTGCTATACGCCCCGAGCATTTTATAGCATGCTGTGGAAAGAAAGAGCGCCGGCGCGGGGCACCTTTGCCCCATCCGGCGAGCGACCATGGGCGCAATAGGTTTAATTGGGTGCAGTTTTAGCAACGGCCGGAGCCAGGCCCGCAGCTTTTAGCACATGCAAACGCTCGCTGCCCTCACTCACCCTAGAACGGGCCGCGAGTCAAACACCGGCGGCCGCGGCTGGGTACCGGGCAGGGAGCGGTCCGTGACAGGACGGTCGGCAGGGAGGGAGTGATCCGTGACGGGACGGCCGGTCAGGGAGTGGTCCCTGACAGGGCGGCCGTCGGGGAGTGGTCCGAGACAGGGCGGTCGTCACGGAGTGGTCCGTGACAGGGCGGTCGTCAGGGAGTGGTCCGTGACAGGACAGCCGTCAAGGAGCGGCCCGTGATAGGGCCGCCGACAGGGAGTGATGTGACAAAACGGCCGTCAGGGAGTGATCCGTGACAGGATGGCCGTCAGGGAGCGGTCCACGACATGACGACTGGGTGCCGAATAGATAGTGGTCCGTGACAGGGCGACCGGCATGGAGGGAGTGGTCCGTGACAGGGCGACCGGCAGGGAGGGAGTGGTCCGTGACATGGCGACCAGCAAGGAGTGGTCCGCGACAGGGCGACCGTCAGGGAGGGAGTGGTTTGTGACGGGGCGGTCGGCAGGGGGTGGATCGGGAAGGGTCCAGCTGGGCCAGCCGCCAATGACAGCGGCTCAGGCAAGCGGCAGCCGGGTCTGGACGAGTCCGCTAAGAAGGAGTGGTCAGTGACCGAGTGCCGGGGAGCGAGAGGCCGCTGGCGCGCTCCGACGAGGTAGCTGCTCAGCAGCGGTCTTTTCGAAGGGGGCCGACCCCGCTCCCGTCTCTCCGGGTGGGGGAGGGGGCAGAGGAGGGGGGGGGGGGGGGGCGCCTCCGAGCGAAGCTGAGCGCTCGCCGGCCAGGGCGCGCATGAGCGCAGCCCTGACTGGCTTAACGACTGTTGACTTAGCCAGCCTGCCGGCGCCGAATAATGATCACACGCAAACACATCACATCATGACTTCAACCACGATGGCTCCGTCGGCGCCACAGGCCCGGCGACCCGGGCGTCGCTGAGTCCGAGCCGGCCGCCATCGTCTCCCCAGTCAAAACCACTCCGGGCGCTAGCCCGAGTCAACGGCGTCGGCCTGTCGCGCCCAATAGCAGCAAAAGAGGCTCGCTTGGTTCGCTTGGGCTGACCGCCTGCGCCGCTAGCTGGTCACGCGTCCCCCCAGTACGGCGCACTGCGTAACGACATGATTGCATGCAACGTCTTTCGGTCAGCCGCGCCATTTTCCGACAGATAAATTCGAGGCAAGTAATTAATGTGTCACTCGCGATTTATACACGTCGGAATGAAGAGTGCAGCATGTGAAAACTGAAATAATATTGCACAATCACCAAGCCATTACAGCTATCCGCCAGAAATTAAGCGGCATTGATGAGTTGAAATTGGCGTTTGGTGTAATTTTACGGAGCTGTAAATGCCGTTCCAGCCATCATTATGTTCAACATGGTTGCCCCGTAAGTACCCGGCAGTGCAGAATGTAACCGCTACATTAATCGGTGTCCGGGTGTAAATTTAGCACCGTGATGGCTTCTGTAATGGGTCGGTGAGATGTTAGCCCGTTTGTGGTTGCCTCATAATTTTAGTAAAATGGATGCTTCCGACACAAAAAAGCGGCCGGCGGCGGGTCGGCCACGGCGTTAGGCCGCAGCCGGCTCGCGTTATGTCGCCGTTAACAGCGTGTAAAGAGCTCGCTGGAGCGTAGAAATCATGCCGCAGACAGTTCAGCTGTATGGAACACCCCAACTATTAGTTCAGCTATTTACATGTGCTGCGGTTACGGGCACCAGTTGCAAGTACTTTCGCAATCATTCACGCGGGCTGACGCCCGTGCAGAGAGAAACTCTCGCCCGGGTTGAAAGGTCGGGCCACAACTGCACGGGTCAGGAAAGGTCCAGTGCGGTGGTGCGCGACCCTGCTGATGTACCATGCATCCCGGCATGGTGTGCGGCTCTAATTTTGAAGATGGGAGCGTCCTAAGCTGACAATATCGGCCGATATGTAGGTTAAACTGTCCGCACCACTTCTCTTCCTGAACGGCAGAAGGTACTGAACATCGCCCGACTTTCGGCAAGAGTACCTACCCACCTTTCTCAATCGTCTGTACGAGTATGCCTTCCTGGATTCGGCAGGAACGCAGAAAGCATTGTTACGGTGTCATATTTGAAAGCCTCTCAGAAACATGGTATTAACCAGTGACGTACGACACCACCTCGTCCCGCGCCGTCGGGATACCAGTCCACCGGACCTTCGTCATGTACACTCGATATAACCAACCGTACTTCTAACATATCGGTGTTCCCCAAACTGCTTTTTTGACAGCCCGTGCGTGACCGACTGCATGTTTCTGACACGCCTGCGTGCCTGCCTGACACAGCCGTACGTCACTGACACAGTACCTGGTGATGCACCAGCTGCTCGGCGGCACCGTTTATGCTGTGGTGAGAGCCCGGTGAGCTGACCGGTGAGTCGTAGTAATCCGAGCGCAACAGATTCTCACTCTGCATCTTCCCCTTTAAACACGTAATGTAACGATTACAGAAGTCTTTGCACAGCTCTTGCACTTTCTCAAGTTCTAGCAGGTGAATCCGCAACACCTGGATCGCCTTGATCATCTGAAACGACAAAACATGCATTAATTTACATTTCCATGTCGCGTGCCTTATATCTCCAACGCAAGCAGCACGAGCACGCAATTAAGAGGGCACACCTACATTAATGACAATACAACTCATCAAGAGCTTCCGCCACCAGCAACCTTAACAAAGCAGCACCAAAAGAACGACGAACCGAGACGTAACGGCAGCAGGCACAGCAAAACAAGTCGCCCCAGCACCAGCGGCGGCACACCGGGTCACGACGACAACAGGAGTAGAGAGTCGAGGGAGCGGCCGGCTTCCACATCCGGATCACACCCTGCCTGCCTCCGTCACCGCGGACGACACCCACCAGCTCCCCACACCCCAATCACACCCTGCCCGCCTCCGTCGCCGCGGGCGACACCCACCAGCTCCCCACACCCCAATCACACCCTGCCTGCCTCCGTCACCACGGGCGACACCCACCAGCTCCCCACACCCCAATCACACCCTGCCCGCCTTCGTCGCCGCGGGCGACACCCACCAGCTCCCCACATCTGGATCACGCCCTGGCTGCCTCCATCGCCGCGGGCGACACCCACCAGCTCCCCACATCTGGATCACACCCTGGCTGCCTCCGTCACCACGGGCGACACCCACCAGCTCCCCACATCTGGATCACACCCTGGCTGCCTCCGTCACCACGGGCGACACCCACCAGCTCCCCACATCCGGATCACACCCTGGCTGCCTCCGTCACCACGGGCGACACCCACCAGCTCCCTGCCTCCGTCGCCGCGAGTGACATCCACCAGCTCCCCGCACCCGGATCACACCCTGGCTGCCTCCGTCACCACGGACGACACCCACCAGCTCCCCACATCCGGATCACACCCTGGCTGCCTCCGTCACCGCGGACGACACCCACCAGCTCCCTGCCTCCGTCACCACGGACGACACCCACCAGCTCCCCACATCCGGATCACACCCTGGCTGCCTCCGTCACCGCGGACGACACCCACCAGCTCCCCACACCCGAATCACACCCTGCCTGCCTCCGTCGCCGCGAGTGACATCCACCAGCTCCCCACGCCCGGATCACACCCTGCCTGCCTCCGTCGCCGCGAGTGACATCCACCAGCTCCCCACGCCCGGATCACACCCTGCCTGCCTCCGTCGCCGCGAGTGACATCCACCAGCTCCCCACACCCGAATCACACCCTGCCCGCCGGCATCGCCGCGAGCGACACTCACCAGCTCGTCCACCTCCGGCTGATTGATGAGGAAGGGCTTGCGGTCGCGCTGCTGGTGCTGAATGAAGGCCTGCACGTCGGCGGAGAACGTCTCTGCCGAGCAGACGTCGGCCGTCTGCGTGGCCAGCTCGCACTTCTCCAGCAGCAGCGCCAGCAGCGGGAACAGCGGGTGCCTGGCGGCCGCACACGGTCAGACTCAGCGCGGTGACAGCGGGCGCCAGCGGGGTGGGAGCGGAACAGTCGGTGCGGGAGCAAGGGAAGGCGGCGGGGCTGGCTACGCCACGTCACCCAAACAGCGAGGCAGTCCCTCACGCAGCGCGAGCCGTCAACGCTACCGAGCGGCAGCCCGACGAACACTGGCAAACGGCCGATACCGAGACCTCGATCACCGGCACGCCCACAACACGAGCAACCATCCACCCTTGGGAGCTCATCAGACGGCCGCCAGGAGCCGACAGTCGTGCAGCGGGCGCGGTCACTGGTGGCGCCGAAAGTCACTCGCACGACGGGAGCAAGAGTGTCTGCCCTTCAGTGTTTCCGGCAGACCGGACGGCGGCTAGTCCGGTGCAGTGTCGCACCCAGCGAGCACCCAGCGAGCAACCACCCCTCGCTGGGCGCCGCACCACACAGCCGCTCACAGCGCGAACATTGCAGCGGAGGGCGAGCGTCAGGCTGCAGGGCAGCGCAGCATGCAGGGACAGCCGGCCGTCCTGCGCGGCGGCACAGCTTCCCAAGTGTGCCTCTCCCTCCAGGTGACACCGGCTCTGTGCGTCATGAAAGGCAGAGGGAAAGACATCGCGCACCGCAAAAAAGGAGAGACGGAGACAGAGACAGAGACAGAGGACAGAGACAGATAGAGAAGGAGGAAGGAGGCGGGGGGCGCGGAGGCGGAGAGAGGAGAGAAAGAGAGCAAAGAGAGAAGAAAGAGAGAAAAGAGAGAGAGAGGAGAGAGCGAGGAGCGAGAGACGGGAGAGAGGATGAAGAGAGAGGAGAGGAGAGAGGAGAGAGAGGAGAGAGAGAGAGAGAGAGAGAGATAGAGAGAGAGAGAGATGGACGTAGAGAGAGAGAGAGAGACGAGAGAGAGAGAGGAGGAGGAGAGAGAGAGAGTAAGAGAGGAAGATAGATAGAGAGAGAGTGAGAGATGAGAGAGAGCTTGAGAGAGAGAGAGGGAGAGAGAGAGAGGGGGAGAGGTGAGAGAGAGGGGGAGAGAGAGATGGAGAGGAGACAGAGAGAGGGAGAGAGAGAGGGGGAGAGAGAGGGGGGACGAGAGAGAGGAAGAGAGAGAGGGAGACACAGGGCGACTTACTCGTAGACGGCGCGCTTGTCGGCCTCGAACTGCGCCTGGTTCTGGTAGGCGGGCGGCTGCTGGTGATCGTGGGCGCCCGGCTGGCCGCCGCCGCCTGTCAGCGGCACAGAGCCGTCCTGGAGCTCCGAGTACCCCGGCGACATCATCTCCAACAGCATCGGACCCAGCACATGCCTGCGGGACAGCGGCGACAGACGGTGAGCGCGAGGGGGGGGGGGGGGACGGCGGCAGAGGGTGGCTCGGCACGCGGCACAGTCTCCGAGCCGCACGGGCGATACTCGGCATCAGCCAAAGTGCAGACCGTGGTCAGTGTCGACATGACCAAGAATTGTGTCGCACCCAGCTCTGATCTCACTATGTTCTGCCGTGCCCCATTTTGGGCACGACACATGACGTTCGATCATCCAGACGGGTAGCAGCATGACCAGAACACCTCGGGCCATCCACCAGCTCATGGGAGTGCCGTTCACAGCTTGACTTCACAGCGGTTGCGTCCGCCACAATGGCCAAATCCCGACTCCATTACAAGTTCCGTTCGAATCGCTCCCCGTTCACATCGCACGTCCCGTTGCAACGGGCTTCCGCCGTTCTGATCTTCAGAGCCGTTACGATTTCCTGTCTCGTTGCCTTCAACTCCAGTCCTGACCCTAGGTCATCTCGGCTACGTGCCGTGCCAGCGTCAGGGCCCGCTCCACCTAAGGCCGTGCTCTGACCTCCGGTCCTGCTTCAATTTCGGTTCATCGCTGCGCTCTTCTCTGTAGACAGTGACGCACCGCCTAAAAACTCCGGGAGATTTAAATGATTCATTGCCACGATTTAATGCCCCTTACTGCAAGCCTATTTACCGCAATAATCCGACACAATCTTTGTTAATGCCACAAATATTAAGCAGGGCATTGCTCTGCAAATAATTAAGACCGGAGCTTTAATCGGTGTGTGCTGCGCAGCACATATATTATTCATGCAAAGGCGACCATGCTCGGAATTCAACAGCCCAAAATTGCAGAGCATGTAAATCACCGGCGGTGGCTGGCACGATGCCAATTCATGGCGTTGGGCAGCCTGGGTTTGGGAAGATTATCATTACGCCGAGAGCGGCTTCATCCCAGACGTCTCCACAAGACGACTCCGGAACGTCAAATCACCGTCAGGCGAGGCGTAATAAAAACATAAATTGTTATCGCGGGCCGTCCGTAAATTGCGTCTGGATTTGTTGGAGCGGTTTGCAATGAAGTAATTAACTGCAGTCGGAGTTTGTGGCACAATGGCTGAGACGGAACAGTTCATCTGTCTCCAGTCATGGTATCATATTTCTACATGTCTTAACTGTTGCAACTTTATGTAGGCTATTGGTTCAATACGTCACCCCATTTAAGTTTGCAATGACATTGCGTCTCAGTTTCTCCTGGGTTTTAAATTATGCAGATAAATGTAGCAATCGCCGGCTACATTATTTCATGGGAGCCGATTGATATTGCCCGCAATCCTGTCGATGAATTGCACAAATGGCGGCACGCTGTTGACTGCCGGGCCCACCGACTACACCGCGCCGGGGCACTACTCACCGCCAAATGGTGGCCAATCCCTGTACTGGCCGACGGAGCCGCACGCCAACGTGCGCAGAGGACCCCCTCCACCCACGAGCACTGCATGTAGGTCGAGGGGCCCTGCGTCACGGAGTGCACTGGCGTAACACCAGGGCCCACAGCTCTCGTCGAAATGCATTCAAGAGGGGTCGCAGTTCAAATTTCTACTGATTTGCTTGGTCGAAGCCGCCTGGAACACCCACAGAGCAGCGAAATTGATGACTAATATGGTGATCCGTCAACATTACCAATTAGTCACAAGTCCAAGTCTCCGCGTGTTTCTGGCTTCGACATGGCTGCCGCTCTCTTTCGCTAGAGCCAGGGATTAGAAATTGACTTATCTGCTAACAGATGCATAACTTGTTTCATGCGACATTCTTTTTCTACCTGCAGTTTTGTCGTGCCATCGTAATAATCATACGTTCATGTGACCAGGCGCACCACAACCTGAACGATTTCTCGACTTAATGAGCAGCATGAATACCTTCGAAATAATTCGAACGCTCATGTGCCACACAATGACCGACAGAGTCGACCGTGACGAGGACTTGCAAACAGCCAAATTCCTGAGACGTGCGGTAACGTTGCATTATCACCGTGGAATGCGGATAACGGGGTGCGGTGCCTGCAAACTGCAAAGTGCAGCACTTCCCTCAAGCAGCATGCAGTTTGTGTAGTGGTCTCACGGGCCGACAAGTATCCAGCTCCAAGCCCGGTCAATGTCCTCCAGGCCCTGAACCACACACAACCTTTGACAGCAGCGGGAACTCCCACCGCAGGCTCTGAACCACACACATCCTCTGACAGCAGCAAGAGCTCCCACCGCAGGCTCTGGACCACACACAACCTTTGGCAGCAACAGGACCTCCCACCGCAGGCTATGAACCACACACAACCTCTGACAGCAGCAAGAGCTCCCACCGCAGGCTCTGAACCACACACGACCTCGGACAGCAGCAGGAACTTCCCAGCGGCGGCAGCGGGAGGACCACGTCATCTAAGCACCGCCACCCAGCAGAGGCGCACACCTCCCCCGCTCGCCACGCCTGGGCGGTGGCCACCAGCGGACCGTGCGCGCCCCTTCAGTCAGCGGCGGCGGCAGCGCCGTTTCCGCCAGCGCGCCGCCGTGGCATTAGCGCGCGGCAGAGCCGGCACTTAGTGTCGCCAGGGCGGCCGTTTTTGTCCGTCACGGTGGATCTGGGCCGCCAGCCGATGGCGGGACGGGGACAGCGACACGGCGGAGCCTGGCGGGGAGCGCCGGTCGGCTCACGGACCGCGACCAGTCCCAGACCCAGACCCGCCGACAGACCGGCCGGTCTGGGCGCGGTCAACGGCGACGGGCCGGAGAGAACAGGCCCGCAGACCCACATCGGCACACCAGCCCCTCGATGGCTCTCGCGTCACACAACGCCAGCCTGTTGGGCTGTCCAGACGCAGTGCAGACCACGAACGTCTCGCATGACGGGCCAGCTGAACCCCCGAGCGGTCCCCAGCAGGAGAGTCGCGCATCTGGCCGTTCACGTGACTCGCCGCGCCGAGGCCCCGAGGACGACACCAGGTGACGGTGACAGGTCCGGACACGCCAGGCTCGGGCCGCTGCCGCAGGCAGCCGCGCCAGGCCACGGGCCCCGGCGCCGTCGACAGACGCCTGGTCCGGGCAGTCCTTCGTGGGCTCCGGGCAGTCCTCCGTGGGCTCCGAGCCGCTGCCGGGAGCTGGCGGCGCGAAGCGCGTCTAAACGGCCCTCCACGCCGGGCTGCCAGCGCCGAACGGTCTGCCCACATTGCCTTGACGCACGGCCTGACCATCGCGCGTCCCTGCGGCGCCCGCCGATCCGCTCCACTGGCCTTGGCTGGCCACGGGGACAGCAGCGCCGGCCGCCGCCGCCCCTCCGTCTGCGCCGCCCCGGCCAGCAGCCATCATGGCGGCAGGCATTCCCGTTTCGGCGTAATCGGGCGGCCGGCGGCCCGGTCGTAAAGCGTGGCGTCACCGTGCGGCGGCCGGTGGCGTGCCGGCGCGGCGTTCCGGCGTCGAGCCGGCACGGCCCGGTCACATGTCGGCCGGGCCGGCACGGCCGTCGGTGAGCCCGGCACCGGCCTCGTCACATGTCGGCCGGGCCAGCGCGGGCCGTCGGTGAGCCCGGCGCGCGGACCGTCACATGTCGGCCGGGCCGGCGCGCGGGCCCAGCAGCGGGGTCAGAGGTCAGCCACAGGCCGATCACGCCATGTGGCGGCACCGGGAGATACGCCCGTGCAGGGAGCGTGCTGGCGCGAGGGCCGATGTAACGGTGCCCGGTGCTATGTGCCAAACATACGCTCCTTCTGCACCGAAACCCACTAGGGCGTACAGAACAAGTTCAGTGGTACAGACAGGGCCCCAAACACCGTAGGAACAGAGTGCGATCCTGTCCGGCGAGCAGTGTCCGGTTTCCCGTTTAAGCGGAATGTGGGCGTCATGAAAAGCCGGCGACTTCTCCCGCCGACTCCTGAATGGCAGGCGGAACCTCACCTGGGGAGACCAGGTGGGTCGGCGGGCGCAGCTGGCCGGCTGGGATCACAAAGAGGTTCCACAGTTGTCCCATCCACGGTCGGGGACAGTGAGGGGGCGGCCATCAGTCGCAGCCGGTCCTTTTTCAGACCGCCGGTATGTCGGTTAGAATGGCCAATGCATGTGCTGTGATTTTGGACATACCAGACAGACCACGTCACCCACGGCTCTGTGAGCTGCCCGCAGAGCGCTGACCGCGCCGGCAGCAGCCGGCACCTGCCCATTGCCCGGCGTCGCAGTCCGTCGCACGCGTCCCTCGCTACACCCCGGGCGCATCCCGGTGAGGGCCGCCGGCGGTGGCAGCGGCGGGCCGACGGCGGAGGTACCGTGTCCTTCGGTCCGGCTGGTGATAACACACATTACTAGAAAAACCGCGCTCGATCTGAGACGGTCGCCCAGATGATGGTCCGAAGACGGACAAAACGGAAAATAATGGCCCGATCGGCACCGCACTGAGGCGCCACCCGGGGCCAGCCGCGGCCAGACGTCGGCGTCGGCCAGTCTGGGCGGGGCATCACTCGAAACGTCACGACAGCTCGCTTTCTGACGCCCAGTTGGCGTTGACGAAGCAGCGCCAGCAGCATGAGCTGCCGTCCGTAAGATCAGCTGATTCGTGGTCTGAGGCTCTACAGCTAGACCGGGTGCACGGTCCATTACGAGGCCTGCCTAAGCTCCACTGGCAACCAAACCATAAAACTGACAATATATTGTAAAACCAATGTACAGACTCTGCCGGTCTCACTAGCGCGAGCGACTGGCACGCAGACCCGCCGGAGTGGACGTGCCACCCCGTCACCACCTGATGCCCCTCGCGAGCAGCGCACAGTCCCACCACCGTGAGCCGTGTGAGGCCACCGCATCCAGCCAGATCTCCGTCTGTTATCTCGGGGTGGGTCACAGGGTCCAACCCGGACACCATACATGGGAAATTCGCTATCTCATCGGAGATTGCACAAGGGCCCGGGTGCCGAGGAGGGACAAAGGTGCGCCTGTGTCTGCTCCAGACGGGTGACGCCCCAGCGCGAGTCTCCCAGGGGGCGGCC